ACTACACGGTAGTTCTCTAAATCTCCCATACGTTGAAGATATTATGTTGGATCAACGAAGAACCAGTGTCAGTTATAGATCTGCCTTTTTCAAAGCCATATTGTTTTATATATGAAACATACTGTTAACATTGAATGCACCCATTACACCATTGCTGATCATAAGTTCCTGGGTTCGAATCCTGTGTAGGCCAAAATCAGTAATTGGGTTAAAAATTCTTAGTAGAAAACTGCTTCTGATCTCTCTCTCTCTCTCTCTCTCTCTCTCTGATCGTGTCGAATTTCCCTTCTATCGGACTATGAGTGCGAACAAATAGAGAGTGTACTTTTGCTTGTAGTGCACTATGTTTTTTCTGCGTAGATCACTTTCCGTTGGGAGTTGTGACTGCCTGCCGTAACAGAAATTCGCTCTGGAGTACGTTATTAATACTGGCAAGGAAAACTCCCATAAGTCCTCATTTTTCATCATATTTAAAGATTTTTTTATTATAATATTGTTCTTGTATCTCTAGCTTTGTTTCTTTACGCCTTTGGTTACCTGGAAGAGATCAATATACAGCGATAAGGCCGCTTAATTAGGTATGCCATCTATTTAGTTATTTAATGTTTTTTGTATCTTTTGTTTTGTGGCGATGACGTCCAATAAAAGTGTAGCCGTTCATTCATTTTTGTCATCTATTGGATTGGTTCTAAAGGTCTGGGTGCTTTTACCTACAGTATTTCTCCTAAAAGTGATTCACCGCTTTTACCAGTGTTTTTATTGAACGCGAGATTTCTAAAAAAGCATTAAAGATATTAGGAACAGATTCCGCGGGCCTGTTTTTGATTTCCTAAATACGTTTAGAAAGTTGTTTCATTTCAATGTCACCTATGTATAAGGATAATTGTAAGAATTATTGAAGATATCAAGTTAAAATCATATTTGCATATTAAAATTCAAACACTCGATATTTATCTTCTTAACTGATAAACTCAATTTAGATAATTTAGATAATGGATTTAAATAATGTATTACAATGTATATAAATAACGACAACAGAGCTGTAACTTCATATTTTATTCGAACAGGATACTGCAAAGCTGACTAGCAGTCAGCCCATTAATTTAATATGGGCTTGACAAAACATATAGTTGTATTCCTTGTTCTATCACTTCTTGCAGCAAGTTTTCTTTTAATTATGTTGTTATTATATTTAAATATGCACTTAATTTGTTTCTTTTTAGTTTTTATTGCATAAAAATATTATGTATCTGTCAATAATATTCATAAAATATTAAATATCCAGGTTTCGTTAACGACTTGATATGTAAAAATATTGGTCTTTTAGAGTGGAGAGGCTCTATCGGTCTGTTGTCAAATCTTTCTATAACATTTAATTAAATAAAATTAAAGACAGCCCAATTATTTGAGTATTTATACTTTATTTAAGCACTTACTCGTTTTTGTAGTTTAACTAGGTACTTACTACGTACTTATTAGAAAGACTACTTTTCTGGCGTCTGTTCTGGGGGTCTTGACCCCGCGAGGCGGGTATGCGTAGGCATTTCCCCATGTAAAAAAGGTAGTACAGTAGTGCATACACTCCTTTGTTCCGGTTTGAGGGGTAAGAGGTTCCGTATAATAGAGCCTGAGATGCATTTCATCTTATAACATTGTCCTCAAAGGTGACAACTCATCTGTGGTCTTTCTTGTTCGAGGTTGGTGGTGGCAGTGGCCTGTATCCGTAGAGTGCAGTGGCCACTTACCAGCAGGTGTATTGTTTAATCGTATGTCACTCTAATATTTATATTTTTTTTTAAAGTGACAAACGAACTAAAATTTCCCTGATAATAAGTGGCAGTGGAGCCCATGATCACAAAAAACAAAGAAGACTGCTACCTCTGAAGATTTAGATGAAAAACGTCATAGCCTGTAATTATATGGCATTCTAAACACTTTAGACGAGAACACCGCAGTTCAAGCACTGTTATTTGACGGCAGGAAGTTGGTACCTATTTAGACAGGGGATTGTATGACCGAAAAATTATGGGTTATAACGGTTAAGAGTATGATGTCATACCTTTTTATTGCGATAGCTTAAAATTCAGATACACAAATTTTTCGGTACAGAAAAATAAGGGTACCGTTATATTTTTCGCTACTTTAACCATCAACATAAAGGTTTCTTCCAGTTACCGCCAGCCGGCCGTGACACCCCACTGACCCCGCACTGCACGCACTAGCAAAAAAATTACCTTAGCTTTATATAATAAGCTTTACATGAACGAAAGAAAAAGATATTTACATACAATACAATACATGAACAAAATAAAGCATGAACAAAAACCAAAATACAAACAAACTATGTACAAAATTAAAAAAAAAATATTTATATTCTAAATCGAATCGTCTCTCTTTCTTAAAGAAAGATTTGATTACGTCCACGTGAAATGTAGATGAACGTTTTAATTGTACCAATATATAATATAGCCTGTCTAAGTCTTAGACAGACCATTAGGCAGTAAAGATTACCTAGTATAAATGTATTATTGTAGGAGAGTGGTAGTATATTATAACCGTAAAACAATGCTTAAATTATAGCTGAAGACCACGTCATTAATTGAGACTTTTTTAATTATTTTATTCCCTGAGAATCTTATCGTGGTAGCTCAGAGGCTGAGCGCTCACAGTAAATTTCATAGTGAGCAAGCTACCTGAATATGAGCCGCGACGCTACTAATGCAATTATTTTTGAAAAGTGTACTGTGTATAATAAGTTCTGGATGTACCGTGTGCTCGGCGGTGAAGGAAAACATTGTGAAGAAACCTGCGTATTCGAGGAATAAAAATATTTTGAGGACATTATGACAGAATGATTGACCTGTAACTTTTCACAAGTGAGGACAGACCTGTGAGACGTATATAATATGCTTTCATTTTAGTTTACGCTTTAATTTCAGAGTGTTTGCACCTCGGCGACAGTTCCTTGGTATCAGCTCAACGATGGACGTCGGATGCCAGGCTTCGGCTTAGGCACATGGTTTGGTATGCTTAATACGGTATGTAGTCCTTTTCCCAATATTTTAGATATTTCATGCAGTGTAATAGCGGCATATAACAATCCATTACCCCGTAGCATCATTTATTTTAGTTTTATTCGTTGTTTCTGCCTTACTTAAGAAGAAGATTAGAGCTTTTATTTCGATAGTTATACGAAACAGTTATTTATCGTAGGGTAAGGCAAGAAAAGTCAAGTTAGTGCATGAAGAGAAAGGGAAGTTAGAAATAAAAAAATAATACTTTAAAAAGCTTTTTAACGAATCTAAAATAAGTTTAAGTTCAATACGAAATGGGATGAGATACATTTTTTCATGATTTTATGTACTATCCCGTATTATGACTTACCTTTATCTATTTTTAAATTATTTAGACGCATGCAGCAGAAGTGTTTCCCGATCAAATGGAGCAAGCCGTGGCCTGGGCAATCGATGCTGGGTACCGGCTGTTTGATGTTGGCGTGATCTACCAAACGGAAGAAGCGGTGAGATAAAACATACGATTTTTTTTTGTTGATACATTTACATATTTATTGTAGATCTTAACTGGTAGAGTATATCTATCAGAATGTCAAATCCTCAATAATATACCGCCACGTCCGCCGATTTCTTTCCCTTTTTCAAACGGAAGAGTTCGTTTCCGACTTCAAAACGAAGAGAGGTTTACAATTCGACAGAATCTTTATTTTCTTACCTATGTACACGGATTACTCGAAGACACCTGAACTGTTTTAGAAAATTATTTTTATGTTTCAAAGGATATACTTTCCAGGTGATCCCATTTAAATTTTATGGAAATCGGTCAACTTGCGGAGTGTTGATATTAAATTTCATATATAATCGTAAGGAGTAAACTCCAGTCGTGCGTCGGAACATACACACACTTTTTTGTGTTCTTATCATTATGACAAGAACCGATTCGACGGCTCCGTGGCACAGTGACTTAGCAATGAGTTGTTGTGCTGGGGGCCGCGGGTTCGAATCCCACACGGAACAAGTATTTGTATGGCCTACAAATAATTGTTTCAGGTCTGCATGTTTGTCCTTGTGCAATTTATGTTTATAAACTGCCTCCACGATAGAGGAGAAAATCCTAGTGTGGGGTAACGTTTGAAAAAAATACAATAAAAAAAATTATAGGGCAACATTGACCATTGGCAGAGATCCGGAGGGGAGTATCCATAGTGTTTTTCTCCGATACTGTACTGTCTGCTATTTTGCGGGGGAAATCAGCGCACACAAAATCTATCAACTATCACTACGAAAGTCATAACAATTAAAACAATAAGCTACCAATTTCACATACACTTAGATACATTATAACAGTATCACTCGGTCGCACCATCGGTGGAACAAGGGCACAAATGCATGTTTTGTAATTTTTCACTAGAGACATTCTAAGATTTTGTAGAATAATATCGAGTTTGTCTGCTTAAATTGATTTTAGGTCATATATATTTTTTGAGTGAAGTAAGCTTTACACTTTTGTGAATTTAGGTAGGTACTTTACAGGAGTAAATAATTTATTATTTGTACTATAATTGAAAAAATAATATTTTTGATGTGCACTTTTGCCCTTTTTGCACCAAAATTTAAATAATTTTGTAATTATGACCTTAGTAACACATTCTTTTTAGATGATTTATGTAATAAAACAATATTAAGTAATATTTTCTTAATCCTTACTTATAGTGTCTTATTTTACGTATTTAACAAGAAACATTTTCTTGGAATGTGTCATTAAAATAAACCATTATAAAATTGTTCATAGAATTTTGGAACAATGTTTGAAGCAATCAGTTGACGAATGTCTTCTTTTTTCCGATCGGGGAGCGGCAACTTTTCAGTGTACAACACATTTAATGTAATGTCTTTCAGTTGTTTTCTATTAGCAGTCCGGCCTATTTTGACATTCGCTTTTGTCCAGACGACTGATTTATAGCTGTTTCTGAATTGGTATGTCTCTTACCTTTTTGTGAACTTTATGGCTTTCATTTCGGATAATTTGACATTATTTCTCTCAATATCTTTGTTAAGATTCAAGTTGACTTCATCAGCTAACAGCTTTAAATCAAAAAATAAATCGAAGTTCATTTCTTTGACTATAAATTTGTCGCCGCTTTTTTTTGCGTTTCTGATGAGACTTATATATTCGACTGGAGAGTATATAGGACCTGCTTTCTTGGCCCGTTTAATGTTCTTCTCAATGACGGAATGAACAGAGTCAGCTTTATTCTGAGTATGTCCTCTAATGAGGAATTTGTGAGTAATTGATTTGATGGGCAATGTATTAACAGCATAATAATACATTCCGAAAACGAATCTGAAATTAAAGTTTACATTTATGTGAAAAAAATATTGTGATTGTGACGATCAAAGTAACAAACAAGCAAGTAATTAGAGATAAACTTGTGATGCAAGATACTTACTTATTCTTCTGCTGCCCACAGCAATTATCAGAATATAATATGATGTCTTTATCAGGTTGTTTGTGACTAAGTTCTTCCAGAAACTTGTAGACGCATGTCCCTATCTCATTAGCTCCACGTTTTGCGAGACCTTCATGCCAGAAAAGCATAATGTTGTGTCATCGTTGATATTTGAAACCTTAAACAAAAATAAATAATTAATTCAGTGCAAGAATGACGTTTGTTATAATTTTATAAATGTTAAGTTAATATTTAAAAAATAGCAACTCATACCGTGAAATTGTAGCAGTTAATCTTTGACTTATAAAAGAAAGCTGACGATTGGCCAATAGGACATGGTAAGACTGCCTGTAGGTCGAATATGGCTACTATATTATTCGAATCTATCTGTTTGCTTTGTTCTATGTCCTTTTCAAGTTCCAATCGGGCCAGACTTTTTTCCTCAAGGTGTAATTTATGCTTATCCATCAATGGTTCTTTGTCGACAGCGTTTTTGTAGGCTTCGCATTCGTCGCACTGGTCTTTACGAGGTGCAAATAAGCCTAAATTAAAATCAGTGTTGAAGATTCGATGGTAAGCGTCGTAATTGACGGCTGGTCTACCAGCTTCTTGTCTGAGTCTTTGATAACTGCGATGGAGCTCAGCTATAGTCAGACTTCCATCTATGTATTCTCTGGTTGTATTCGCCCTTAGGTAATGACTCTCCGTCCGTGGGATCGAATTTATGTGGTCATGAACTGATTGTATTTCTTCATCAGTAAGTTTACAATGTTTGCCGTGATTTCCACGTTTATCAGTAAAACTCACACTCAAAGCATGAATAGATACACTGTCAATTACATTTCGTAAAGTTTTTTCACCAATAACCAATGTATTTAGCAAAAATGTCCGACAAACCCTAACTTCTTTTCCATCTACTATAAAGTAGAAGCTCGAGTTTGGTTTTTTTGGTTCTTTACAGGTGCTATTAACAGTGACTGTGACTCTTCGGGTTGCAGGATGAATTTTTTTGACACAGGACGCAAGAAAATCTCTTTGTCTTTGATGTGTTCCCAGTTCCCAGTAGGATTTAAAAATTATGTTCCTCTTTTCAGAAGAAACTTTAGTGGAACACGATAGTCGGCATTTGTTAGTGCAAGGAGGAAGAATAGATTTTGCTGCTACAACTTTTCCTTTCTTTGTTATATACTCTAGGCCACTGTTCTTAAAACGCTTCGATATAACTTGTTTCCACTCACTCATATTTCTTTGACGTTTTCTAGACCGTTTTCTATTCGATTCTAGGACAACATTATCCTCATTTGTGCGGAAAGTTGGTTCTGTTTCAATATTACCTTCATCATTTTCCAAATCAACCGTAATAGGCTGAGGCGACCTGGTGCTGGAACTTGAAGAGCTATTGCTGGAACTAGAAGAACTTGACAAGTTTCTAGGTTGGGAGGATCTAGTGTTGCGTTCAATCTCCCTCGCACGACTTGGAGGCTTATATTCTGAACCTTCTGATGGTGAAAAATCTCCATTATTTGAGGAATCGGAATCCTCATTACCTTAAAAACAGGAATATTAATTTAATTAGTGCGCGTAAAACAATATTACTTTTTAATTGATCCAATTACCATCTTTGTACTTTATCAATTAATATAAATAATTATACTACTAGATTAATATTTGTTTTGCATTCATACCTGAGGTTTTATTTATAATGGGTGGGTTTACTCCGTCCGAAATATCCACTAACATAGGCTTCTGAATTTTATAGTCCTTGCTGTCTGTGCATTTCTCAACCGTAATATCATCTGTATCCGATGCAGTTATAATGGGTGTATTTACTGTTTCTGAAGTCTCACTGTTTAACAGCATAGGATCCTGATTTTCAAAGTTATTACTATCTATCCATTTTTCAACCATTGTTCTCTTCGACGAATCTTAAAATAAATATCAATATAAATCTATTCTGATTAAAATTTTAAGTAAAAGTTAATATAAATAATCTAGGTCAGCAAAAATAATAGAATTTTCATACCCGTCGATGAATTAATGTTTGGAGTAGTTATTGCCGTATTGTGATAATTTTCATTACCACAGGTGTATTCTAAATACTCAGCAATCTGAGGCTCCTCAGTAGACTCGGTATGCCTATTGGCTTGATCATCAAGAACCATACTTAAAATTTTTCTTCCTCGTGATTCCATTATGTTCTGAAAAAATTATATTATTATCTCAATGAAAAGTTCAAAAATAATACAAAAATATAATCATAATAACCTTGACTAAGGGTTAATTAATATCATACACTACAATAAAAAAATATATAAGCAATTTGGAATGAAAAATCATAAATGTAAATAAAAAAATATATTATATGTACCTAAATACTACAAGAATTGGAATGACAAAGTCAGATTTGTATTGAAGACTACGAAATGTGCACATGTTGGACATACAAAGGCACAACTGCTTAAACGACTTTGTTTTTCCAAACATGTGCCGATATAATAGGCATAAGTACACCAAATGTGACTTTGTCTTTCCCGAACCTCAAACAAAAAAGGGCATATTTACCTTAACGGCTTTGATGGTCCAACACACAACTACACAACGCGCGGGCGACGACGCAACTGACCAATGCGATTTCGTCGCTCCAATATTTCACAAAAAATGCACCAATAAGACAAAGACACAATAGCGCTCTAGCGACATGAGACTGAACTTAATGAGCGACTTTGTTCCACCAGTTAAAGGAATGTTTTTAAAGCACATTGGCATACTTAAATCATTTTCAAATTTTTTGTTAGTTGTGCCCTTGTTCCACCGATGGTGCGCGGTGACAGCGACAACTCGGATACAGACTTGGATCAGTCGCTCGACCGATCTGTATATGGTATGAGGGCGAGCGGCCTGTGTTCGTAAACAAATCCGAAACAACACAACCGTTAATTGTATTTTTTTTAGTTTAAAAAGAAATAAGGAGCAATAATGTGATTAAAAATTATTTAAATATGAAAGGTCATGTCCATTTTTCGTAAATTTGACGTGGCAGATCTATTTTTGCAGCAAAACAATTGATTTAGTGTAAAAAGCAGTGCGGCTGCAACTAGTTTTATTGTACGCATGGATCGCGTGGACTTATACCACAGAATAAATAATAGTACAAGAATAGGATCACTTTCCGGTAGCAAACTTGCGAGTTTAAACCTAGTTGCAACGGTGCTAATGTTCATAATAGAAGTGACATTCGTGAAATTAGCCTACGTCGAAACAAACAACATGCGGCGCGCGTATTAAATCAAAATGCACCTTACGTCCGCGTGCGAGTGTCTTTATCACTCAGCCCGTTACGCGCCTTTCTTAAGGCCGCCCCTACTGTAGGGTTAGTTAGGTGTTATGAGAAAACAAATTGAATCCTTTTATATATCTTGGTATATAGTAGAATACACCGAGGTGTTATGCAATGTATTAGTATTTTTTTATTTTGGTTAAAAAAACACGAGGATTTTCTCCTGTATCGTGGAGGCAGTTTACAAAATTTGGAACAGGAATTTAAATATTGTAAATTCACCATATCCACCTCAATTTTATGTTATAGCTAATAATTACTGCCGCTTTGTATTTAATGTTTAAGAAAGTTGGTACATAAATATTATAACAACAATTTGGTGTTGGAACAAAAAGTGACAGGTAACGAACATTGTTTTAAAAATTATTGTAATCCTTATTTCATATCATTCCTTTTATAAACTAAAGATTTATTCTATTACTCGGGTTATTAAGTAAATTCTTTGCGGGTTTCTTTTCGAATTGTTTTAACGATAATTTGATTTGAGACTTGTAAATAGGAAAAAAAAAACAACTTTACATTAGCTTACTCTGCTCCTTCTGTTTTCGATCTTTGTTTTCTTTTATTATTTATAATAAATAGTAAGATGAATACTCGCAACGCCAAGACGCGCCAGATGGAGAACCAACTCCAGCTTGCGCTCCAAGAACTTAAGGCGTCCAGGGAGCAGTGTGAACTGTTGCTTAAGGAAAGGGATGATAATGAAAGGGAAATAGTTAGCATAATTGCCAAAAATACACAATTGAAATGTGATATGGTTAAGCTACATACAGAATACACAAGTGTTATAAAAGAAAGAGATCAGCTACAGGGAACGGTTAATGAGTTTGACCAATGCAGCAAGGAATATGAGGAAGCTCTCAGGTTAATTGCTGCATTGAAGTTACAGTTGAATGAGGCTAATGAGCAAATAACACAATTTAAAACATATATAGATAACCTTAAAGCCTCCCAGACTCAAAGCCTGTTCTCTGAGCTTGTGCAATGTGATACTTCAAGAATGTTACAGCAATCTGCAACAATAGACTTGACTGGTGACGACTCTTCCACTTCAGGAAACACAGTAAGAATTAATTGCAGTAAAACCAAATTAAAGAAGTATATAAAAGTTAATAAATACATAAGGAAAGTACAAAAATTAATAAGAAATAAGATTAATACCAAAAATTATGTTAATGTATGTAAAGAAAAGCAAGCATTGTTATATGAACTTAAGTTGTATTCAATTGAGGTGGATAACATAAAAAAATGTTATGAGACTGAAGTAGAGTGCCTTAAATCAGAAATATTGTCACTTATGAACTCCCTTCAAACTGTGTCCAATAAATATAAATCAGCCCAAAATGAAATAAAAGAACACATATTGGCTATGGATAATCTGGTAAAGACTTGTAAATATAATGAGGAGCGGTTTGACTCCTTAGTTAAATATCAATGTGAGTGTCAGCGCTCAATGCCAGATTCTTCAAAGTCAGTGTGTGCTGATAATATTATACCACCACAAAAACTCTATGACAGTGCCATAGCAGAGGATATTAAAATAATAAATAACTCAAATATTTCTAAAAATAATATAATTGTTTATAGCGATGACATGGGAAAAAATCTAGGCATAACTTTAAATAACTCTTTAAAGGGACAAAAAGTTACAAATTGCTGCATGCCTGGAGCATCTTTTAGTGACATCCTAAATAAAATTATTGTTACTAAATTTTGCCCAAATAGTACAATAATAATTTTTGTTGGTAGAAGAGGCAGTCAACAACAAACAGTTATTAAGATATATTGAACAACTTAATAACTTAAATGTACACAAAATTGTCTTGTTCACACTGCCTTATATACAGGGATTGCCACAAGAAAATAATTTAAGACATAATTTAAATATACAAATGCATAATTTAATATGTAATAATAATTTAAATTTGACATATAATTCTAATGATAATAATCATAAATTTCATGTAATTGACATAAATAATTTAATAAAAAAGTTTTGGACAAAAGATAGGTATTACCTATCCAAATATAATTTAAGACTGATAGCAAATGTGCTATCTTATTATTTACTTTTTAACTCAGCCAAGTCTTTGGCTACCAAGACTGCTCTTATTGAGCATAATCATTTGACATTTAATTTGGAATCAGTTCCAACTAATTTAAATTAGTGAATGTGACAATAGAGGCAATCTCTAGCAATAATAAGAGTTTAATTAATTTTGAATACAGCCCACAAATAAGTAATAAAAATTGTTTACACCTGGTGCATCAAAATATACAAGGCATGTTGGGCAAAGAATTGGAAGTTGAATTGTTTTTAAATAGTAACAATATACACATCCTTTGTATTACTGAACATTGGCTAAAAGATTATAATTTCATGTTTAATTTCAGAAATCACCAGGTGGTCAGTTCCTTCAATAGAGAAAAAAGTTTACGTGGTGGCTCCTTAATATTAGCAGATAAATCATTATTATATAAAGAACGTAAGGATATTGTGAGCCTCTCTGTTGAACGAACTGTAGAAATGGCTTGTGTCGAGCTTGAGCACCTCATTGTTGTAAGTGTTTACAGACCCCCATGTGCTACTTATGACCATTTTGAAAGGATTGTGGAAGAAGTTTTACTCAAACTTAGTAAACAGAACAAGTCTGTTGTAATGTGTGGAGACTTTAACATCAATCTCCTTGAAACTTCTTCCATTAGTATTAAGTTTCGCTCATTGTTTAAATCGTATAATCTTGTAAATTTATTCTTAGAACCAACACGTATTGCTGGGCCTAGTGCGACCTGTATAGATAACATTTTTACAGATGTTAAGCCCTTGCATAAATCAATTATTCAAAATTTAAGTTCAGATCACTGTGGACAGTTAGTATCACTACCTTACATACACAAAAAACAGAAAAATAAGAAAGTTGTGTTTGTTCCAATAAATGAACATCGCTTGGAGAGGTTTAGAAGTAATATAATAAAAAGACTTCCATCACTTTCGTTTAAAAATAGTGCTAATTATTTGTATGCTACATTATTTGAAATTATACGTTGTGAATTTAGTAGAATATTTACTTCTAAAACTTTCTCTTTTAACAGTCGCAAATCATTTAATGAATGGGCGACAGTAGGAATTTATAAAAGTAGGCAAAGGTTATACGAGCTTTATGATGAAAGATCATATAATAGTAGTGTTATATTTAGAGATTATGTAAAAACATATTCTAAAATATTTAAAAAAGTGTGCTCCACTGCTAAGGCTTTACATTTAAGCAACAAAATTAAAACTGCATCCGACAAAATTAAAATGACCTGGAGAATAATAAATAGTGAAACGGGCAAGGTCAAACCGCGCAACTCGGATTTTCAATTGAATATTAACAATAATTTAACGCGATCTGATCAAGAAGTTGCTATGGCTTTTGAGAAACATTTTACTGATGTTCCTTGTTTGACAACAAAATCATTAAATTCTTCTCCTACTGTCGCCGAATCATTGCTCAAACAAAATGTAAAGGCTTGTTCAAATACTTTTAAATTCCATAGGGTACTGCCAAAAGATATCGTTAAATATTTTAAAACTATTGATGTTAAGAAAACGGCAGACTTATGGGGGATTTCCGTTAAAGTTATTTTATCTATAATAGATACATTAGCACCTTATCTAGCCACTATATTTAATATAAGCGTCGAATCTGGTGTGTTTCCTGATTTAATGAAACATTGTAAAGTCATACCTATATTTAAATCTGGTAGTACATTAGACCCCGCCAATTTTAGACCAATTTCTGTACTACCAACATTAAGTAAAATTTTTGAAAAAATTATTTTAGATCAGATGTTAAGTTTCTTTAATATTAATAAATTGCTACATAATAATCAATTCGGTTTTACAAGGGGTCGCTCGACAACTGACGCTGGAGTTGAGCTTATTAAACATATTTTTTGTGCATGGGAGAATTCAGAGGATGCTTTGGGTATATTTTGTGACCTTTCCAAGGCCTTCGACTGTGTTCACCATGAGACATTAATCAGGAAGCTACAGTACTATGGTGTCAAGAACACAGCGCTTAAACTTATTATTTCATATTTAAGTAATAGAAAACAGAAGGTTATTATCAATGGTAAAAGTTCTTCCGGGTCACCTGTACTAATGGGTGTACCTCAGGGCTCGATTCTCGGCCCATTCCTGTTTCTGGTGTATATTAATGACTTACCTCACCTTGTAGGGGATAGTCATGATATAGTATTATTTGCTGATGATACTTCCTTGATTTTTAAACTTAAACGTCAATCATTTAAATGTGACGAAGTGAATAATGCTATATCAAAATTAGTGCATTGGTTTAACGTTAATAATCTGCATTTGAACGGAAATAAAACTAATTGTGTTAAATTTACAACAACGAATGTTCAAAATCTGAATACCATTGTGTTTTTAAATGGGGAGGAATTGAGCCCTGTTGTATCCACTGTTTTTCTTGGCATCACTCTTGACGCAAAGCTCCAGTGGGGCCCCCATATATCCAAATTAGCAAGCAGACTAAGTTCTGCAGCCTATGCTGTAAAAAAGATTAGAGGTCTCACTAGTGTCGAGACAGCTAGATTAGTTTATTTTAGTTATTTTCATAGCATAATGTCTTATGGGATTTTGCTATGGGGAAATGCGGCTGATTCAGAAACTATTTTTGTTTTACAGAAGAGGGCCATTAGAGCTATTTACAATCTAAAACCGAGAGAGTCTCTTAGAGATAAATTTAAAGAAATTAATATATTAACTTTGGCCTCTCAGTATATTTACGAAAATTTAATGTATGTTCACAAAAACAAAGATAGTTTTAGTAAAAGAAGTGATATACATTCTGTAAACACTAGGAACAAACACAAGCTAGTGATACCAGTTTCTCGACTCCACAGAGTCAGTAATTCATTCTTGGGGCAATGTATACGCTATTACAACAAGGTCCCGGAAAGTGTACAGGTTCTCTCTATTACCAAGAATACATGGTTGATAATAACCCCTGGGAATGAGGTGATCGCTTCCAAGCAGTTTCTAAAATAAATTTTGTAAATAGTTCGTAATCATTTATATTGTAAAATTTATTTTAAAAAAAAGTCCCGCTGGGTTTCTTGCTGGTTCTTCCCAGGACAGAGGGTTTTTTTCGAACCAGTGGTAAAGTTAAAAATGACTTTCAATAAGAATTACACATGTAATGTATATTGAATAAAAAATATTCTATTCTATTCTATTCTATTCCAAACATAAATTGCGCAAGGACAAACATCTACACCCGGAACAATTAATACAAATAATTGTTCCGCGCGGGATTCGAACCCGCGGCCCCAGCGTTGCAACTCATTGCTAAGTCACTGTCCCACGGAGCTGTCGAATTGGTTTTAAAAAATCTATAAACTTTTGGTTTTTACATATTTTTATAATTCCCATCTTCGGCAGTGTGTAATCTTTGTTTCTAACAAAGGCCAACTTCATTATATCACCGATATACATTTAATATATCTCAATTCACTACATATTTCCTTACTTCGGCATGTACGACACGTACAAATACTACCGACGGACTGTCAATAAATTGTACATGCACAAACATCCAGACCCACAATAATTATTTATAGACCATACAAAAACTTGATCAGTGCCAGGTTAGAAGCCGTGGCCCGCAGCGCCGCAGTCAAATGCTTTGTCATTGCGCTACTGAGACGTCAAATGGTAACCCTTAATTTGAGTGAGGATGGCGTTTTCGAACGAGGTCTGTTGAGCGTGGGAAGAAATGAAACTCCTCATGAAAGGATTCCGATCGTAGTAGTATATACGCTGATGGAAGAATGAGGGAATATTCCTAAGGATCGGCTTCGGTTGGTAGGACCTATGCCCAATCGCATAACATCCAATAGTTTATAGCTAGTGCAGGTAATGCGGTGTTCAAAAGTAAAAAAAAAAAATGCGCGAGTGTTCCACGACGGTTCGAACAAAGTTCCTTTCGTAGTATACTATAATATATTATTGATTAACAAATACAAATAAGTGAATTACTAGCATCTATTAAAATGAATGGTCATTTGAAGTAATATTGTTTGCTTTCATGGCAAGATAAGAAAAAGTGCGACAAAGATTTTTTTTTATAGAATAAGGGTGACAAGCGAGAACACAGTCCACCTTATGGTAAGTGGTTGCTGTGGCCCATAGACATCTACATCTATCTTCGTTTGCGGATTAAAATGCAGATGCGTTGTCAGCCGTGAGGACTAAGATAGAATGCCTCTTTTTCAGTAAAAAGGGTCTCCGGTTCTCTACACTCACCTTAAGAAACACAGCAGTGTTAAGCTGCTATTTTACGCTGGTATTCTGTGAGAGCGTGGTCCTTCCCCGATCGAGCCGACCCATTCGTGCTACAACTATAATGCTATTAATATAGCTGCAGCATAGCTCTACCACGTAAAAAATGGATGGATACAATTCCATCTCGCTCGCACTATAGAAAGGGGGTAGTGACGGAAAAATCTACACTTTTCTCGCCTAGCCGCCATCCGTCAACTTCGTACAGTGCGATAAGGAAATTTGTTCCAAAATGTTTTTTACAAATAATTCTTGTTTGTCAGATATCAGTTTTCAGTAAAGTTAAATGCTTCTATTAAGCATTTAGTATAAGCCTGTAAAATATCCATCTCGGCGACGTGGTGTAGCCATCTTCTGAACGAAGTGGCTACGTCAAATCCTCACATATTCGAAACGGTCCCAGAGCAGATGATGAAGACTGATAATTATTATCTGTCATAAATAAATTTACGTATTTTTTTTTTCAATAGCTGGGTCGAGGTATTCAAAGAAAGATTACTGAAGGAGTCGTAAAGAGAGAAGATGTTTTCATAACAGATAAGGTACCATTTTTTTATTAATTGTAAATAACAATAAGTCGTATAACTTAGGCTGTTTAAAGAATAATTAAAACCAGAATTTAATATTCTGCCATTGTTCAACAAGACGCGTAGATCGATTCTTTTGTTATGATTTTGATATTCAATTTACGTCCTCTTATCAAGCGTTTTCAACGCGACGTTAATTTTTGTACACATAGTACAGAATGAACATCTTTACTAACATCAGATTCACTAGTAACATATAAGTCAATGACCTAAGTATATTAATATTATATAACAGTGTCATTTGTTGCAATGCGTTTTTCGGCGGGAACATCACAACAATTCACCAAAGTATTATCGTAATCCGATCGTAATCGGATAAATGGATTAAATTATGCATACAGGACAATAAACATTAATTATTGTTATATATAAGTACCTATATATATTTGAATGTTTGTGAAAATGTTGGAGTTTATTAATTTTACTTAATATTTTGGTTAAAATTAGATACCTATACGTAAACCATTAATTGGTTTCACACATGGGACGCATTAATATCTTTGATTACCGTTTCTTCATTTTGTTTTATTTTAACAGCTTTGGAACGACGCACACGCACGCGATGCTGTGGTGCCTGCTTTGCGGAGGTCTTTAGAAAAGCTTTCTATGGATTATGTGGACCTATACCTCATACACTTCCCTGTCGGACAATTCGTGAGTTTCTGTGACTTATTTTATAAAAATCATATATATATATTTAATGATAAACAGATGCTTTTTATCACTGAGGACTAAGACGTACATAAAAAGTATCCAGTTCCCGTCACTTATCTGTAAGAGATATGTTATGAAGTTCACTTATGCATACACAGTGCTGCTCCCGTTAAATAATTAGTTTATTATGTGTTTTTGAGAATTATTTATTTGAATTTAAATACGTAAGGTGAAATAGTACCGTGCTCACGAGTGGGGAGCGCGTTATTTTTTGCATATACGTATGCTCCTGTTTGGCCGGCCCGCGCGCAATTATATTGCACGATATTTATTTGATATTTCTTTTTCAAATTAAATATACCCCCCATGTATTTACTGGTGAACGCATAGAACTATTTAATTGAAATTGCTTTAATTACATTCGAATGAAACTGCGTTTTCCCTTAATGGACGTACCTAAAATTGTAGATTTTGTGAAAACTGCGATTTTTTTGTATCGAGCAATTCACTAAGGAAAATCTTTAACTTTCATAATGATTTAAAAAAAAGCGAATTCGTAGTTTTAGTGAGAAAAAAACTTTCCATTCAAATATTAAATAAACTATCAATTTGCTAATATTAAGCATTTTTAACGAAACGAAAATTAAGTACAGTAATATTTTCAGTTTAGTTACATTGTACATCACCCTGTCCAACATTTGGTAAAGCTAGTACGATTTTGCGGCCACTGCTGATGCGGATTATTTCGGGCTGATGTTAATGAATAATAATTTTATATTTTAATATTTGGGTGTATTAATAAGTGTATTTTTTATATATAAGTAACACTGTGTCTTACAACTTTAATTCTAGGAAAACGGGACATATGACCTTACCGACTATCTAGAGACTTGGGAAGGCATGATCGAAGCTAAGCAGCTAGGCCTCGCTAAATCTATAGGAGTTTCAAATTTTAATCCGCATATGATAGAGAGGATTGTTAAAAATTCACGCGTTAAACCGGCGGTGGCGCAGTTTGAGGTATGTACCTAGGTTCTATTCAAGTATAGCGTCGGAGTTTTCCCATACATCATCATCCTCAATAATATATTTCATACTTGGTTATGTCATTGTTGGGTATGTCATTTCTATACTTGGTTATTTTAGTAAACTTGTTAAGGACAAGATTTAAAATTTTATATTAAATTGTTGCACTACATTTTTAGACTTTCTAGTTTTTGATTGAAATAAGTTTGATGTTTAACTTCTATTTTTATCACATTTTACATACGATTTCAGCTAAATTTGCAAATACAGCAGCCTTCTCTGCTGAAGTATTGCCGTGAGAATGATATAGCTGTAATGGCTTATTCTCCTTCTGGATCCCTTTTCCACCACATAGCATTGCCAGGCGCACCGCCGCCGCGTGTCGAGGACCCCGTCCTCAAGCAGATAGCTGACAACCACAACAAGACGGTGCCGCAAATCGTTTGGAGACATCTGGTAAATAATTGTTGAACCACTGGTTATACGTACACCTTCATCTTTTTCAGTTTCTAATATTCACTACTTAACATTGACCTCCAAGGGCAGTGGGACCCAGGCGATCGCCCGTAGCATAGGCATCAAGGGGGGGCGGGGGGGCACCTCAACCCACGAATCACTCATATCATAACCAATATAGCAGTACATCTACTAATACTATCTACAATCTGAGGAACATCTCGAGGACATAGTAATTCATCCAGCACGCAATGGAGCAATGCGGCGGACTCTGAATGCGTTGGAATTATAACTAACTAGCGATCCGCCCCGGCTTCGCACGGATGATTTTTTTTATAGGAGAGGGGGCAAACTAGCATGCGGCTCACCTAATGGTGACTACCACCGCCCATGAACAACCGCAACACTAGGGGAATTACAATTGCGTTGCCGGCCTTTTAAAAAGGAGTAGGCACTTTTCTTGAATGTCCCTAAGTCGTATCGGATTTCTGAATCTCGACAACAACGCCACCTACCGGGTCCAATTGTTTATCTAAACTATCCAGGGCAACTCAAACGCACACAAATAATTTCATTTTCATCAAAATCCTTTGAGCCGTTTTCAAGTTTTAGCGAGACTAACGGACACCAATTGATTTTTGTTGCGCTCCTGTACTAGTTTTATTTGCCTCGTTATCTGTAATTACGACTGTTGACCATGAGTCCCGAGTTTCCAAATTCTCAGTAGCAGCCTGGAGTCACGAAGTTGGCAGTGTTTCACCTTATTTGCGTGAAAGCATGTCCAAAGCCATTGATCCAGTGCCTGAACTGCCTCCAGTAGTTTTGGATTGCTGTCCCATCGCACTATGAAAGCGAGGGTTAAAAAGTGCACTTTGTTTCCAGTCCTACGTAGATGGCTCGTCTCCGTTGTGACCAGCCGCCGTGATCGAGGATTTTAGTGATCAAAAACACAAATTAATGCTACTATGTACAACCTTAAGAAGGTTTTCTCTTTATTATACAGATTTGTAAAAAATAACATTGGAATAGTTGAAATTTATTTTGAAACTAGAGATCCACCCCGGCTTAGCACGGTTAATATCTGGATTCCAATGTGAATCTAAAACAATCTCAAATCAACCTCAAAATTTCAGTAAGATCTGTCCAGCCGTTAAGGAGTTTATTATTATTTATATTTTTTTAATCACATACACACAGACAGATGAATTATATAATATATAATATGTATGTATTATACATATAAACCTTCTTAATTCATTCTGTCTATTGCTGAAAACCGCATCGAAATCCGTTAGGTAGTTTAAAAGATCTAAGCGTGCAGACGCCGGTAAACGACTTTGTTTTATACTATGTAGAGATAGAATTCTTCTAACTCCATACACAGATACATCATCATCATCATCATTACAGCCCTTCACAAGTCCACTGCTGAACATAGGCCTCCCTCAAAGAATGCCACAAAGCACGGTCCTGAGCCACCTGCATCCATCGACTTCCTGCATATCTAACCAGGTCGTCACTCCATCTAGTGGGGGGACGCCCTACACTTCGCCTGCCGGTACGAGGCTGCCACTCGAGAACCTTTCTTCCCCATCGGTTGTCGGTTCTTCGAGCTATATGGCCGGCCCATTGCCACTTCAGCTTACTAATCCGTTGGGCTATGTCGGTCACTCTGGTTCTACTGCGGATATCCTCATTTCTGAGTTTGTCACGCAGAGAAACTCCGAGCATAGCCCTCTCCATAGCTCGCTGAGCGACCTTGAGCTTCCTCATCCGGACAGCAGTGAAGGACCACGTCTCAGTTCCGTATGTCATCACTGGCAACACGCACTGGGTGTACAGTCTCGTTTTCAAGTTTTGAGGTATACCTGACGAGAAGATGTGCCGTAATTTCCCGAACGCTGCCTAACCGAGTTGAATCCGTCGATTGACCTCTCGGTCGAAGTTGGACTTACCTAGTCGGACTATTTGTCCCAGGTAAACATACTCGTCAACAACTTCGAGCTTAGTGTTCCCAACAACTACCGGCATAGATGTGACATGGACATTAAACATGATCTTTGTTTTGTCCATGTTTATCTTAAGACCTATCCGTTGGGAAACACTATTGAGGTCATTGAGCATAGTGCTTAGGTCCTCCAGCGATTCTGCCATAAGTGAGTGATGTACTCGCCATTGATGTTGATACCGTATCCTTTCCAGTCCAGAAGCTTGAAAACATCTTCCAATGCAGCGGTAAAGAGTTTCGGGGATATGACGTCACCCTGTCTTACACCTCTCTGCAATTGGATAGGTTTCGTACTATGGTTCTGTACTCGGATAGCCATGGTAGCCCTACTGTACAAGCACTTCAACACTTCGATATACCGACAGTCAACTTGGCATCGCTGAAGGGACTGCAGCACCGCCCAAATTTCGACGGAATCAAAGGCTTTCTCATAGTCCACATACGCCAGACATAGTGGCAAATTGTACTCCTCGGACTTTTGTACAATTTGCCGAAGGGTATGTATGTGGTCTCTGGTGCTAAAGACTTTTCGGAAACCGGCTTGTTCGGGAGGCTGGAAGTCGTCAAGTCTGCGCGCGAGACGATTCGTAATGACTCTCGAAAACAGCACGTAGACGCGGCTCAGAAGGGAAATCGGTCTGTAGTTCTTCAAGAGAGCGTTGTCGCCTTTCATGAAGAACAAGACCACCGCACTTCTGCTCCACGCCCCGGTGTAATGCCACCATGGAGGACGGAATTAAAGAGCTTCTGAAGGACTTCAAGTACCGGTTTTCCACCCGCTTTCAGAAGCTCCGCTGTAATTCCATCCTCGCCTGCGGCCTTGCCGTTTTTAAGGTGCTGGAGAGCTATTCTAATCTCGCTCAGACTGACGTCCGGGATATCATCGGAATAATGTTGGATAAGACTCGCTCTTGGATCGTTACTCACACTTGCATGCGGCTCCAACGATGACGTGTACAGCTGCCCATACAACCTCTCAATCTCACTCAAAATCTCAGGTGGCCCGGAAACGATGCTGCCACATTCGGTCATCAGCTTTGACAGTTGGCTCTTTCTGGCAGACAGATCTCTGGCAAAGACTTTGGAGCCTTGGTTCCACTCGATCGCTTCTTCAATACGAGCTGTATTGAAGTTGCGTAAGTCCCGCCGCATGCATTTGGAGATCTGTCTGTTCAGTTGCCTGTATGCTGTCAAATCTGTTGAAGAATGTAGCTTCATCTCCCGTCTAACAGCCATGAAATTAAGAGTGTGATCGAAGAGTTTTTGTGTTCTTCTGCGACGGGTCTTGCAGAACTTAGCTCCGACCGCATGGACAGTTTCCACGAGCTTGTCATTCAAATCGTCCACTTCATTGCAGTATTCTAGGCAATGAAAACGGTTTTGTAACTCGAGCTGAAAGGTTTCGGGACTTTGGATTAGAGTACGAGGGGGACGGAGCGTTGACTTCATTAGAAGAGACCTCTCCAACTTAACGTTTAGGTTCAGTGTGCCTCTAACCATTCGGTGATCGCTGCCGGTTTTCACCCTCGCGATCACTGAGACAGCACCGAACAGTTGTCGTCTGGTCGTCATAATGAAGTCAATCTCATTTTTTGTCGAACCGTCGGGGCTCGACCAGGTCCACTTCCTGTGGGGCTGCTTCTGGAAGAAAGAGTTCGTCATAAAGAGTCCCTCTTTCTCCATGAAGTCGGCCAGCTGCTGGCCCCTTGGGTTCCGTTGCCCTATTCCAAATTTGCCCACTTTCAGCTCACCGTTCTCTCTTGTGCCTAGTTTTGCATTGAAGTCTCCCATTAACACCTTATATTGGGTTTTGGAGGAATGCATGGCTCTAGAGATATCCTCATACATTTCCTCCACCGCCTGATCGGGGTGTGCCGAGGTTGGTGCGTAAACCTGTATGACCTTCAGCGAATACCGTTCGGTGATTCTGAGTATAAGGTACGCAACCCTCGTCGACACACTCTCAATCTTTACAACGTTGTTAACGAGACTTGTGGACGATAAATCCGACACCTCCTTGGGACAAATGGTCGCCCTCCCGGTAATAGAGCAAGTTGCCGGATTCGAGGATTACCGTGTCCTCCCCCTCTCTTCGGACTTCGGATAATCCTGTAATATGCCAGTGTAACTTGTCTATCTCTTCTTCCAGCTCCACAATATTCTCGTCAGTCCTCAGGGTGCGTGCGTTGTATGTTGCCAGGTCTAGTTGTCGTAGGTGGCAACCGAACCTCCACCGGAGATTCTTAGCACCCCCTGCCCCGCCGTTACCATGGTCGCCACCGTAGCCAGGAATAGCGGGGCCGCCGGGGACTGGGGGCCGTCTCTTCGTAACTTTCATCATGGGGGGTATATTGCCATAGTTGCCACGCTTGGCGAGCGGGCTGGCAACCGAAGTTTTTTATTGTATTTTGCCGTTACCAGGAAGATGCTGCTGCCCATCTCCTGCCTGTTTCCCTTTGTCGCCTTTTACGACACCCACGGGAAGATATGGGGTAGTGGATATTCTTAACCGCCACTACACGGCCAACACAGATACATAATATACAAATCTTAGAACATCAGAAATAATTTCACCTTAGTCCATACTGCACACTGATGTGATTCCCGATTTAGATTGTCAGTCGAGGATAGATGCCTCAGAGTCCACTTACTATCAGGTGGATTGTGTGTTCGGTTTTCTTTATCGGCTCTTACAAGGTACTTAATAATAAAGTAAACTTTTTTATACTATAACTAGCTGTTCCCCGCGACTTCGCTCGCGTGGAATTTATTACAATTGGATTTCACGAGTTTTAATTTTTTTACGCGGAACACTAATTCTTTTTCTAACATAAAAGTAGCCTAAGTTACTGCTTATAACATCAGTTATCTGCCAGACTCAATCTAAAAGTTTCGTAAAAATCGCTGTAATTTTGACATTACAAACAGTGTTTTTCTTAATTTAAAAATTTCTTCCCGCAGATCGAACTTGGAGCCATTCCCATTCCAAAATCGATAACCAAGTCAAGAATAGAAGAAAACATTGACGTGTTTGATTTCAAACTGTCGCGCGAGGAGAGTGTGTTTTTAGGCGGCTACGATGTAAACTATGGAACCGGAAAGTTGTGGTCCGACTCACCTTATTATCTGACAAGAAAATTATATTTTTAAGCAATACCATTATGTACACAACAGCTGTTTCTTTTTGATTCTAAAGTAATTGTTACATGTCTTAATTTGGATAAAGTAAATTTCATTAAACTTTTATGAAACTTTATTTATTAAAAACTAACACATTAACCTTTTTCCAGTGCGATGTTGACGTAAGGGATTTGGGTGGTATATGATTTTATTTGAAACTAAAATAAACGAACGGTTTTCATCTATCGCCTCGAAACCACCCAATAACCTTCATGCGTAGATGTGTGTGTTACAATACGCTAGGCTATGTGAGACTTCTTTCCTTCGTGCGTAGATGTGTGTGTTACAATACGCTAGGCTAAGCGAGACTTCTTTCCTTCATGCGCAGATGTGTGTGTTACAATACGCTAGGCTATGTGAGACTTCTTTCCTTCATGCGTAGATGTGTGTGTTACAATACGCTAGGCTATGTGAGACTTCTTTCTTTCATGCGTAGATGTGTCTGTTACAATACGCTAGGCTATGTGAGACTTCTTTCCTTCATGCGTAGATGTGTGTGTTACAATACACTAGGCTATGGGAGACTTCTTTCCTGCCTAGGAAGCCTACGAGTTCCTGCCTAGAAGTAACCTGTTTTTGCCAAGGAACATTGCTATGCTCCAGTCTGAAGGGTATGGAGAAGCATAATAGTAACAGTTCGTGAACTATTTCAACTTGTCTTAAGGGTGACGAGACGAGGATTCTGCAGCCTTCTTTTTTGAGGTTGGATTTAGGTAGGTTGGTTGAGGTTAACATCGGGTGGACTGTTAGCTTGTTCGTCTATTTAAAGGAAAATGTGAATGAGTTTGATAAACTCAAGTTTCCTAAATTTTAAATCTACTCTGAGGATATTCCTATAGCTAATTCCTCTTTATGCTTTAAGAGGATTATATCTTTATAAAACTTTTATTCTAAAGTAAGTAAGAATTATTTGATTCATATTTTTTACAATCAATATTACTCTTTAAAATTGACAACTTTAAAAGAGTATCAAAACTTATGGATACGTGGTTGAGTGCTCCGTGGCGCTGTGGCTTCGCAATTCAGTTGCAGCGCTAAGGGCCGCGGGTTGGAATAGTATCGGAACAAGTATTTGTATGGCCTACACATAATTGTTCCGGGTCTGGATGTTTGTGCTTTTGCAATTTTCGAGTATGTTTGTAAACTGTCTCCACGATACAGGAGAAAATGCTAGTGGAGGTTACGTTTTGTTTTAAAAAAAAAAAGAGTATAATATTTAACATGCTATGATATCAGTTACATTCTATAAAAGAATAAAAAAACATGTTTGCAGTGCACACGCAGTAGAAGTGAAACCTTCAAATAAAATGAAATATAAAATAAGAATATTTCTTGGCAAATTATTTACTTAATATGATCATTTTCATAAAATATAAGATAAAAGTTTCATTTTATAGAAAACAAATGTTACAATACTTATTTTTAGTGCAATAAGTCAAAAGAATATTTTCTTTCGGGTAAAATTGTTTTGTAATAGCGCTATCTACTTTATTTTTTCAAACAAAAATTGATTGATCCTCAATGTGGTATATAAGATGGCGCTAGATGGCATATAGTATAAGAATAATTTAATATAAATCAGTAAACTATGAAATCATAGTGAATGAATTAGGCCCGCCACACACATACGGAATTCCGTTTCCGGATTCCGATTCGGAATTCCGAACGCAGCAACTCCATATACTGGGTGGCGATTACGTTATCACATTAAATAACACAGCGATATATACAAGTTCATATATGTCGGTTAAAATAATAAAATAAACAATTCTACCAAAAATAAAAAATAAAATGCATCTTTCAAACAAAATAAATAGAGTAAAAATTGACACGAAATAAATCACCTTGATAATATTAGTTTACTGACTAGAAGTGACATGTAAATGCGGCAACGGTGCGGCTGGTGCGCAGTGCTCACGCGGCATCGACATAGGTAATTATTTACTTTATTTAGATATTTATCTTAGCTTGGTTGGGAAGTGTTAATGCATCCACCATATAGTACTGACCTTGACCCTCAGATTTTCACCTGTTTCGGTCTCTTACGAATTATTTGGGTAGTGTTAGGTTAACATCAAGAGAGGACTATCAATTCTATTTGTCGCATTTTTTTTTTTGATTAAAAATCCCAATATTTCTACAGCAACGGGATTATGTTACTACCTACAAGATGGCAACAAGTTATCAAACAAAATGGCTCATACATATTATTAACCACCTCAACGCACAATGAGGAGACCGAAATATTAGAACACACAATTTTTTTTAATAAATAAATTTTTAAATAAAAAACCACATGCCATTTAAATTACTAAAACCTTTGAACACTATTCGCAATCTTAAAATAGAGTGACGGATTCGAACCTACAACCTTTTGAGTTCGCAGTCTGCTCCCAGCCATTAGGCTACTGTCGCTTACTACGCTGTGTTCTATCTCATTCTCACGCAGGCTAAATTCTATAGATGTTTATTGTTTACGTTTCTCTTCTTTGTGTCGCTTTTTTGTTTCATCCAGTTTTAAATCACAACGATGCTAAAGAAGTTTTCACTTCAAATCCATAACGTGCTTATCTTTTGTGTTGTGAATGTTGTTTTACATACATAGGTACATTGCACAAGGAGAAACATCCAGATCCGGAACTATTATTTGTAGCCGTATAAACAATTTCTTCAAGCGAAATTGGAATCTGCAGTACCGCCACCAGTCGCTTTATAAAATTAGGGTCTCAAGCGAGCACACACTACTCAATGGTAAATGGATGCTGTGACGTATAGATATCTGTATCTATCATCAATTAAAACCAAAATATTAGCATTTTGATTTTTAATTGAGGAAAGTATCCTCGGTTCCCTTCATTCACTATACGAAACACAGTAAAGCTGCTGTGTTTCGTATAACCTTTGAGTTTAGTGATTTTTGGTAAATTACTATAGGTAGGGTGTAACTGTAAAATATGCATCTACCTACATTTTCTTATATCCGTATCGGAAATAAGAAAACAAATAAAACAAAAATTATAATTCGTTAGAGTTTATTACATTCAAAAATGTAAGTTATACACGTAGACAAAATGCCCCAACTAAGTTAAACATTAAATAAAGCTACCGGCTGATGTTGAAAAAATTTTAAATAAATTTTCGCAATAATATTAACAAATTAATAATCATAAAAAATAGAAAACTAAATGAAGTTAATTATTTGGCATGTGTTTGCTGAATATAAATCGAAAATGTATTAAAATATATTATTCTAATAGCATAAATACAATATCGATTATTAATTTAATATACATAAACATTTACTGGACACATTAAATTTTATATCGTGCTGTCAAAGACAACGGAATAAAACTACTCGATAACTACACATTTACCTAGCAGTCAAATTTGGTTACTTTGAGTTATATAAATAGATCGATAAAAGTTTATTTTTAACTCGAATAATTATTAATAAGACACGATAATTAGCCTTAATTTACTTACATTAAGAATAGCTAGTCCTATAAAACATCCCGTAGAGTTCGAAATATTGTTTTCTTTTCTGGCCACATTTATCAAAATAATTTTAAGAAATTTTGTGGCAACAGCAAAATGTTTATAATTTCGAACCACACACAGGGAAGATGTTTTTAAAAGATAATTACATATATAAAACAACTACTGTCATTACACACATCTACCCTAATAGAATTGGTGTTACAATACCTTCAGTGGACGAATCGCTTTCGCGGGCATCTCCCTATAATCTATAAACTAGTCATTAATTCAATACAATAGTATTTTCGTCGAAAAAAGCAAAAGCTGCAATACAGTTAAGGCACAAGGTTTTGTTTTTTATAAATATAACTATGTACTTATATTCTTGAAGTTTCATTGTATAATACCACATTAATATTAATTTCTATAAAATACAAGTTCCATTTGTTAATGCAAACATGCTTCAACATTAATTTGTTAATAGGTTAATAAATATTTCTAATTCGAAACAAAAAATAAAGTTTACACAAAAACTCAAATACCATAAACTGAAGACAAAAAAAATGTAACTGCTGTAATCATAGTTACATTAGCTACAAGATCTAAAAATAGAATCATATTAATATGGAAGTAATAAGAGATTTCAGCAAAAGAAATCGTAAAGATTTTTATGCGATATTAAAATTAAACAGAGATCGAGTTCCTTTCAACTAAGACTCATTTTAATAAAAAGCCATAATTATATATAATGTGTTAACTTATAAACAAAAGTGCTATTTAATTATGAAAATTGCACCGAACATTCACTACCACTATTATAGACTTTACAAAATCACACAATAAAATATTTATAACTTATTATGTAGTTGTGTATGGCACATACTTCATAATCTTCATTGAGGTCAACTATTGAATGCAGTTAATGTTTTATTTTTGGTCATTGAAGGCACAAAGTTAAAATATATTGTATAATATCATGTAAATACAACAATCTTAAAAAGTCTTCACCTTTGAATCAATATAATAGCCCGCAATGTTCCATTAGCAAACGGTTTTTAGAAGTAAATTTAAGGCTGTGCATATACTCTCTCATTATCTGCAAACTTAATTTTTAAACATTTGGTTTTTTTCCCTAAGACTTCGTTTTGTCAATACCATTTTTAAAATGATACATTAGTTTGCAGCATAGAACCTCAATCACTTTATTCCTTTTAAACAATAAAAGGCATCTAGAATAAGGTCCCACAAGGGGGTTAGCACTTTGTGAATTGTGGGCCAGGAACTCAATGACTTCGTAAGATTCTTCAACAAGTAAATAGTTGCTGAAAGACTGCTTTTGTCGCATAAGCATGTTAGCTGTTTCCCTGTCCGCGAAACAGACACAATAGTTAAGCAGTAGAAATGTTCATAAATGATTATGAACATTTGGGACAGGGAAAGTGTTAAATATTATGCTTAAACTTTAATACATTTTACTAACGTTAATTAAGGCGCTGATAAGACCCCAAATAGGCTTGTCAGAAACAATGTTAGACAAAATTTATCTCAGCAGCACTGTTGTTTCCAATACTAGTTATAGTTAATAGTAGTAGTTAGAGATATTTCTTACTATTAAAAGTGATAAACTAACTTGATGACTTTACAACAAAAATAACTGCATTTCTTACATATCAAAGTGTGCGGTTGGTTGTTTTTATTTTTATTTTCGATTACTCAACTTATTTTTATGTAATGAATTGTTTAATGAGTTTTAATGAGTTACAAACGTCGTGTCGCTTGCACACTTATGCACTTCTCTTTTATTTATGTAGTCTGACAGTGATCGCATAGACGCACTGTTGCATTTTGTTGTTGTTTGAAGTTGTGTAGATATAATTTTGGTTACTTAAACTAAACAGTAAAAAGATATACACATAAAAACTATGGTATAGAATATAACTTGTATAAACATAGCTCTATTATTTTTAAATAAAGGAAAAATAGTGGACGTGGCTAAAAAAATCGAAACGCCACGTCAAAGCTCATCAGATGTTGTCAGCGCCTTAAGCAAAAGCTATGAATACATACAATAGATTATTTTTTAGTACCTATATTTCATCATATTACCATATTTATCACAAAATATGGCGATTTGAAAATGCATGTCTTGCAGACAACAATTAATACTATCATTGAAAATTCCTGGCATTCAAAATTAAACTTCGTAAAATGATCAACCACAATAAATCTTTCAAAATAGAAAATATAATCTTAAATAGCTTAATCGTATCGTAGGGTACAGGCACTGCATTGCGTCATTCGTCTATAAATAAACTATTTTAGCACCTCTGATTATGTCCTATATCTACAGGTGTTCTTGTGATAATATTATACCGAACCACACTACCATAAGTTAAATATTTGCATAAATATAATAAGTTCAAAATATTTATTAGCATAAAAATTTACATTTTCACACATGTAAAAGTTATGTCAATCAATTTCAAGACATGAAACTATCACAAGAACACTTAATTATATATAATTTTACAATATAAAGTTTATCTCTTCTATTTAACAGCTATTGAATTTTATAAAAATGCATTACATCGTCGCATAAACACACTTAAAGCGTAAGATGACTGTTAACGTCGCGCAAACGCGAAGCTTAGAAGTTGCCAAATTTCTTCGTAACGGTGGAGCTAGTTTCGGACTTGTGGGAACTAGTCATTATGGACTTGCGCTCGACGATTTCCGACGTGATGGTTTGCTTGGATAACTTTTTATCTAAACTATCGATTTCCTTGACCAAGTCTGTCGGTTTTTTCAGTTTGGTCACACTAGACGTGGCTTGGTAGTCCGATGACTGGAACTCCGACGGTCGCATGAACGAGCGACTCGTGTCCGAACTGATCTTCGAGTCCAAAGTATTGAAACGCGAATCCAATGTGCTGTATTTAGAGTCGTTGTCGAATGATTTCGATAGCTCGTCGATTCCCTCGAGCTTGATCGGTTCGTATTTGGTGCTGGTACTCGTCATGTTCACCGGCGATGAACTGTAGATCTTTGTGGTCGTAACCTTCTGAGTGCCATTCGGTATTTCTTTGACTTCAGTAGTGGTCTCCTCGAGATAGTTCGGCCCACCGTAGCTGTGAACCTCCTTGCCGTATGGCGAAGATATCCTCTCGAAAGTAGGCGTCGGGGCTTTCACCAAATCCATTGAATTTTTTGGGAATTCCGTGAATTGGTTGGTCTCGTATTTGGACGGCGTAGACGTTGCGAAGGGAGATTTCACTTCCTGTCTAATTTCAGTAGAACTAAAATCCGCCTTTGGATAGCTCTGGTAGGACTCGCTTTTAACAGTATACTCGGAGTGCTTTGTTCCGCCAGGGATGGCTTCTGTGGATTTTTGATGTTCGGTGAAGCTCTGCCCGACGCCGTCAAATGGTGATTTGGGCGTGCTCGGTTTTTTAAGGGAAGAGTATATCGGCTCTGAAATCTCATCGAATTTGAGATCTCTGGCGTTGAACTTAGGGCTCAAGGGAGATGGGAGTTTGGGCGCGTCGTAACCGAACCGCTGGTCCTGTCTCGTGTACTGGTATTGACTGGACTGATTGGACTCGAATTGGCGTTGCTCCTCTGTTTTAGTATACTCGTTAATAGGTCGCGGTGTGTCGTAGAGTCTGGTCTCGTAGCTGTAATATTGCGATTATTAATTAATCAGTCATGCGGGCACATATCAAATTGAATTGAATGAACTACCCGCAACCGAAAGAAGGGAGGCGTTAGCCAACACCGGCATGCGTCATGCGTTAGAAGGAAGATTAATCACAGTGTAAAAGAGTTATTACTTGGAAGTTAGATAGGGTGTTATTATAAAACAGTAAAACGGTGACTCGCAGACTATTTAAGTAAATTTTAGAACAAGTTGTCGTTGAAATGTTTGCAGAATGATAAAAATGAGGGTAGATCTCGATGGTTTTCGGGTAGATTTACTTTTCGATTGTGATGGGTAGGGTTGGTGGGCTACCCGGTGCGTATAGGATGGAAGAGCCAGAACGAACCCAATTAACTAGCGTTGTCCTCGTACTTTAGGAGGGAAATGCGTCTCGGCGGCGGTGGAGGCGGCCGCTCCCTCTTGTAGAAGACGCGCTCGCCGTCTTGCTTATCGTCGCCGTCCGATATCAAATACGCCGTACGCACCTCCGGCAGTTGCAACGACTTCACGACCACCGTCTCCTCCGTCATGCTCGTCCTATTAGGTTAGGTTAATCACCCGCATGCAGGTTATGGGAAGGGAAGAAGAAAAATCAATCATTAGTTGTTAGTCGCTACTTCTTAGTCTAAGCTGGAATGTCCGCGCAACACAAACTAGCTCATATGTACAGAACGATGTACGGAATGTCGCGGTGGGCGAAAGCGGCACGTTTGTACGTGTACATTGAACATAAAATTAAAGGATCGGAAGCCGGTTTCGAAGCTGATTTTATTACAGCGACTTACTCATGTTTCATCGTTCTATCATTACTGGTCGTATTTTCTCTGCAAACGAAATATTACTTAAGAATTGGTTTAGTTACCGCTACATATGTTAGGCATAATTTGGCTCAGACAATATATAATTAGAATATTAGGCTCTCTATTTTGTAGTATTTTTTAAGTTCTAAGACAACATAGAATTAATAATTTCTAAAAGCGATTCGTGTTCTTGTAGTAATGTTATAAGAGTCTCGAATCTCGTTGAAATTCTACAAGTTCCACCTATCACACCTTACAAACTAGAAACTTACCAGTCAATACAATCTATAAAAAAGTCAATTTCAGAACATTTTAGATATTGACTGGTAATTTGCAAAGAAGCATGAAGCCTTCCATGCGTTACAATATAGTAGTTTCTAGCAGATATATTAGGGCATTTTAGCATTCTTAGTTTATACCCAAATGCATAAAAAACTTCAACAGAACTCTTTAAGAAAATTTAAAAGTTTATAAACTAGTTATAAGTACACAAGTTCTGTTAAATAATACAATCCTTATTAAAGCATTTCCAGATTGCAATTTTTATAAGCATTTGACGTTAGGCATCCAAAGCCGAGAACATAAAATGTTAAATAAAATGTCTTTGATTTTAAAAGTATGAAATCGACTTATCCTATATTCAAAATACGCTAAAAATATTTGCCTTAAGAACTTTATATGTAACGGAATTTTTTCTTAAAATAAAAGTAGCCTAAGTCACTTGTAAGTCCCGTCAAAATCGATCCAGCCGTTTTGGAGATTAGCCGGAACAAACAGACAGACAAAAATTTTAAAAATTGTATTTTTGTTATAAGTGCCGTATATGCATTTAGTAAAAAGCTGTTATTTTAACATTACAAACAGACACTTCAATTTTATTTATTTGTATAGATGTATAGATGTCATTGTTACCGGCGATGACAGAATTTGGTATGCTACAAAGGACCATTATAGGATAAAATATCTGATCTTCCATCATTTATTAATTAAAGTGTCAATTTGTAGATCCACTGCTAAACATAGGATTCCCCCAAATATTGCCTCATACAGACGATGCCAAGGTCGCCACGCTTGGCACCTGGGTTGGCAACCGCATTATTTTGTTATTTTTAGTTGTTGTCAGGAAGATGCTGCTGCGTTCCCTCTGTCACTACTTGCGACACCTATAGGAATAATATGGAGTTATATACACTACCGTTCCTTGTGCCACCACTATACAGGGTATACATAATAGGGTCTTACATAAAGTAAATATGGATTTTACCCTATATATAAGATAATTCGGATTTTCATGTATTATCTTTATGTTAAAGTCGTATTTACATTCGCGGTTTTGGATGCCGTACGACGGTACGATAATATAAAAAAGTATCTATATACGTAATAATACAGTTTTATATTTTTTTTTATATTTAATTAAATAAAACAAAATGAAGTATATTAATAATAATGCACGTTTGTTAAATGGTATGAGATGAGTACATACAAATGATTGTAGCAGAATAATATCAGTCTAAATGGAAGATACAAAACGGTCATACGCTCATCAAATTTTATCCTTGATAGCATCTAAAGATATACCTATATTTTCATATTATTTACAAGCAAATTTCTCTGTTAGAGATAGAGATTATACAATGGTAATGTAGCTAACCGGATGTGTATCTTTCCATTATAATAATACATTGCTTTCACTAAAGAGGGATAATTATGTTTTTAAATCTAATTTTTTTTGTTAAATCTATACAAACCTTAGACAATACAAATTTGAAATAGTTCATTACATGTTATTTCTAATTAAAAAAAAAAAAACAGATTTTCTTTTAGTAGAGGCACGAATCATAAGTGAATAATGAAGGCACATTATACAAAAAGGCTTGCTTAGAAGTAAATGTATCATCTGCTTGCGTGATCCAATGGCAGCGTGTAAAGAAGCAAAGAAATAATTAGAAATGAGAAGACTGATGTTTCACTTTATATGAATATTTGGTCATAGCTTAGATTTAAAATATGTTTTATGAGGTTTAATGTTTCACAAATTTATTTTCAATTAACTAAATAAATATGTACGTTAGTGATTTTTGAATCTATATTAATTTTGGTAATAAAATAATTTCAGATTTCTTACCACATGTAAAAGAAAGAAGTTGTTTGTCATATCAACATCCATTGTTTATGACAGGCATGTTTAAAGATGGCGCACCTTCTCGGTTTGAATAAGCCATTTTTAGTAAGTTATTTATAAAAAAAATAGTACTAAGTTTTTTAAATTATAAAAATATAAAAATACTAACTTAATTATATGATGAAAATAATACATTTGTTGTAAATATAGATTATGTATAACCACAGGTAATTTTTCACAATAAAGGTAAATGTGTAACTTAATTTTGAAATTTAACAAAGCAAGAAAAACAATTTCATATCTAAACTTGGACCAACAACGGTGAGAACACGCACATACGAGCACTTACCGTGTGGTAAACCCTTCGTAGTTCTGCTTCGGAGTTTCATCTTGCGGCCTGAAACTCGAGAAAGTCGGGCTCTGCGCGGTGTATTTCTCCTCCCTTTGGTACCCGTTGGTATTGAAGCTTAATTGATTGGACTCCGGCTTCGAGCTCGGACTTGTGGCCGGCTGCGGGCCGTGTATGGACTGGTTAAGGCTGGACATGTGGTGGGATATGTTGGTGGTGTTTTGTGTCATGTTCGTTGTGTTCTGAGCTGAGTATGTGCTGTTTGGACTGTAGGTGGTATTCGCAAAACTGCTGTTCGGCGTTTTGAATCTAAAACAAAAAATATGCTTTATAATAAAATACATCAAACAATTAAATTGAATATTATTTTGTTCCCTTTCGTTTGTTCAAGAAAATACGATGCGTCGCACCAATGTGTGTTTTTTTATTTCCCATATTTGCAGGTTTCCTTACGAAATTTACTTTCATTGCCGAACACTCAAGTCAGCAGTTAAAATTGCGATTAACAATTTTTCTGGTGCACAGCGCAACAAATCACGGCTTGCTATAATTATTTTTAATAAATGCAGTAAAATTAATTTATCATCAAATAAACTACAATGTTAAATGGAAATAATAAGTTTAGTAAATAAAAAGGCACCGTGTGGTGGCGGCATTGATATACTAAAAACTTCGGTCATAAAATTTTATTGCTTTTTGGCCATAGCTTTGTAAAAACAACTTTAGAGCCATGAACGTAAGGCTGAAATTGTAAAAAAATATGTTTATAATATCATAACTATAACTACATACCTATGTATAATTGGGGACAGTTTTGAATGTTACTTTTGTTTGAGACTGTGCATCTTTAGTTTTTTGTTTATCAATGGGTGGCGTCATTAAAAAATCTAATCAACCCCAGCTTATTCCGTGAGTGTGGTAAGAGGTACCTAAGAAAAATGCTCGGAATATCTCGTAGGTTCCGACAGATGGCGGTGTAACCGCTTCATAAATGCATTGCTTTTTTGGAAAAACCGCAAAGTTGGAAAATTTCTTAACCTGTGGTGGGTGGAGGCGTCGCTAGAGTATCCCGCGAGATGGACGTCAGTGTCCGTGTCGTCTCCAGAAGTATCTCCGGCGCGGAGCTTGTACTTCGCTTGGCGAATTGCAGTCAGACGGCCGCGTGCTTCCTCCAACTCTTTCTCTATACGAAGCACTTCCGACCTGCAACAAAATATTATTCATAATTAGCTTTATTCAAAACAGGTTTTTTTAAAGTCAAGAAATATCATTCATTCATTTTTTTAATCTGTTAAATTTTTTAATATTTTCGTATGTCTCGAAAATTTTGAAGTATTATAATATACAGTTTTACTAAGAATTATATACTATTTTACATGAAAACTAGTTTCCCTTTAATTTCTCTGGTATTGCATGAAATACAATGGTTCGTGTTCCGCGTTCACTGAGACGTAGCGGAGCGGGAAGGTTTGTAACGATGGAAAATACGAGCTCAACGAAACACCCGGAATTAAAAATAAGTTCAAATTGAACGCGATAAAATGAGTATAAAAAGTTTTATTCAAAAGTAAGCTCGTTGCGCGACCCGTCGCGTCCCGCCCCGCCTCCAGTGGACGCAATTTTATACTAAATGCCATTGTATACAGTAAAATTATATCAGAAAATCATAACATTGACATATTCATCATATTATAGATATTTTGGTGAGTTTAATCTAAATTAATTAATCAGGCTATCTGATTAGCCTTTAATAATTTTTTTATAGAGAAGTAACATGTGTTTTTAAATTACTTTTAAAGTTTACTGAAAATTATTAAGAAAAATTAAAAATATTTTTTTAAACAATTGATTTGTTACGTAATTTTACAATTAAAAATGGTTTTTCCAAAATGTAAATTCAAAGGTAACGTCATTATATCGCTTTAGTAACGCCACCGCATGGTGAAATGATAAAACACTCATTTTTACGTTGTCAAAATAGGCTATTTGACTAATTTTGGAAAACAGTTTTAAATGATTATTTATTACATAACAAGCACGATAACATTGATATTTTTGGGAAATCTACAGTATTAACAATGAAAATCAAAGTTAAAGTTTAAATTTCCAAAACCCCGCCAAAAACGCTGATTCTGTAATGGTGCTGGTCATATTATGACATGTGTGATGTGTGTGACACACATGCAAACAAGTCAAAGGTGTGCAGCTGAAGTGAGTGTTATCATTTATCATCAAATTTATTCGACAAAATGGTGAATAAAGGGTGTGTAGTGTAATACGACTATAAGTAGTTCACAGAAATATGGTTACAATTAGCCCGAAGAGACACAAAGAGCAGTTTAGCTCATACGAATGTTTTTATGTGTGCAGATCTTTTATATAAAGTAATAACTTAATCTTACAGCATAAGTTGGAAGGATCCTTTTCAACCACACCCTACAGGGTTCTCTGTAGGGTTTCAAATGCTTTCTGTTATGTTGTTTAGCTATCTTTATAGTTTTCTATGCCGTCTTGTAATGCATATTGTCTTGTCAAACAATAAAGATACTAGACTTCTTATTATATCGACAATAATGTTAAATTTCTAAGTATATCAACATAACCTAAATTGAGATTTTACAAAACTTCTGAATAATGATCACACATAAGGGTTTGTAAATAAATAATTCCTATGGTGTACTTACACTGTTGTTTTCCCATTCTTATGTGCCGTTGCATAGTAATCAGCGCTATTCATAAAGAAATTTGCAACCTGAAACCTGTCTATCTTATTAGGTAGGTTTCTTGTAGCCGATAAGGCTCGCACAAAATATGACTCCAATTTGAAATTCAAAACGAATATTTATGCTGCTAGTTATAAGATGTATTAAAAAAAAACTGTTTCAGATATAGTCCAAAGATCTAACATAGCACCTAAAAACACAGAACGCGAACTACAATAATCAAGGCAGCTATGTTTACTTGTGTGTGACGTCCCCAGAGTTGCAACCAATCACAGGGCGTTCCCGTCACAGATATTAAATTTCAAATATTGTTATGTTATATTTTCGTTCATTTAGCATACATATTTCATAAAATATATTTATTATTTTGTCAAATAGCCTTTTAAAAAATGTCATTGCATAATACTGGTTACATATTATATTTTGTTATGTTTAGACGTTTTATACACAGTCCATCTTGACGTACGTCCCGCCAAGGTCATGCACGACGCACGACGCAAAACAACAATGACTAGCTGGCTTAAATGCTAGACGTGCGTCATCTGCCGTACGTCAAGCCTTTAAGCCAAAATTTAAACTATTTTTTATTAATAATTACTAAAAAAGAGGGAATTGTTAGTAAAAAAAAGTTTAAATAGACTTTAAATGAATCATTCTTTCATTTATATACTTATATAAATTTGTGGCAAAAAAATACAACTTCTCTATTGCGTGTTTTTTTACGTATTATATATCATTTATCTTTTTTTATAATTTTTAATTACCTTACATTTTTTATACAAACTATATAATATTTGTTTGTTCGCTTTTTTGTTATTAATGTGTTCATATGATCTTTTCGTAACAGTATCAGGCGGATTTTTGCGGTGCGATTTGGGCCGATCGGATCGTGGCTAGTGTACGCCTAGCTTTATGTAGTTGTGGTGGTGGTGCGGTGGTGCGGTACCTGGCGTCGATCTCCTGCGCGATGCCGCCCACCATGCGGCGGTTGAGCACGAGGCTGCGCTCGTCGTCGCAGTGGATGGCGTCGCGCGCGGCGCGCACCAGGTTGTCCGTGGACCGGATCACCTCCGCGCCCGCCGCCTGCAGCCGCCGCGTAGACTCTGACGACGGGTCCGCCTTCACCTAAACACCGCCAACATTAAACATTGACTACAACAATACATCCCATTGCATTTCATGTATTGGATGAAACAAGAGACAATTGAAAGAGTTAACGGAGTTGACGTTACGGGATGTAGTGTATTAGATCACCGTGACGCGTCAGTGTGTGTCGGTGTATTTCACATATCCACGAATTATTTATTCAATAAACATGCTGGCTTCCTCAGGACGTTATCCTTTACCGCCGAACACGTTGCAACACACACTCACTTTATTCTTGTTTAATGAAAACGATGAATCATAATACTGCACATAAAGTTAATTACGTTTTATGCTATGCTTTAACACGGGTCTTTTACATTGCAGGTAGGGTTTGCATAATCGAAGCAACTGACGCCTGGTATCTTTCATACTACTTCTAAGCAATATGGTTAATATTGTTATCTTTCGGAAGCCATGAGATCCTAAGGAAAAATCGACATGTTCTCCAAAGTCAATCTTACCTATATACACTTTGCTGCTTGACCAGTTTGGTGTCCGATTAATGGCTAAAGATAAATCTAAAACATACGTCTAACACAGTAGAAGCTACTTCACTTGAGGATGCCTCGTGTAGAGGCGAAACGCGTGTCGTATTTTCGAGAGTGGTGTGTCGTGCCTAGTGGGGTGGTGCTGGGGGTGGTACTGTTGGGATTGACGGTAACAAGTATAGTGCGCGCGATTGAGGGAGGGTGGGAGGTCCCCTTAAAACTGAACTGGACATATCATTTTCTTTCTTTACGTGGAATTAAACAAATTAGTTTATAATAACCCCATAACTAAAACAGTTAAAACTATCTACAAATCGCTGATGGGAAGCAGCTTTACCAGTGTAAGGGTATTGTCTCTGTGGTCATGTATCTGCCCAGAGTTGAGTATTGACAAATTTTATAGCTATTAGCCCAAAGAAAATATTTCATTTCTTGTTAATTATCATTATTATCAGTCTGCGGCAGTCTGCCGATGGAGATAGGTCTCCTTCCAGGTGCGCTTCTAAGACTGGTTTTCAACCAGCATCAGTTTCTACCACAATTTGCGCAAGGTAGCTCAAATTATCGCTCTATCTATTCAGTATCCAATCTCTGAACGTCTACTCCAACGGTTGCCACTTTTGCAGCAGACGCACATTGCCATTTGAATTTATAAACCGCAAAAGGTTTTATCAGTGGCATTAGTTTTTCTCACGCGCCGCCGACACCAGCCCCTCCGACCACTGCCCGTGGTCCGACACCGACACGTGCACGTACCTTGCAGGCGACGAGCAGCTGCGCGGTGGAGGAGGCGACCTGGCGCGCGCTGGAGATGAGGCGCTCCTCGGAGGCGGCGCCCTGCACGAGCGCGTTGGCCGCCTCCACCAGCGCGTGCGCCGCGGCCGCCACCAGCCGCGCCGCCGACACCAGCCCCTCCGACCACTGCCCGTCGTCCGACGAAAACGCCGGCCGCCGCGCCACCTTGCCCTGCGCACACACCACCACACACACCGCACGTTACTCGCACCGCTCACACACAACCCTACACTGACGCTATATACACCAAGCTTCAGATGTTACTTCTCGCATCAGCTCGTGGTTTCATAGCCACAGTCAGTGCGGTCGTCATTGTTTTCATCATTTATACTATAGTATAACAAATGTTTCAATGTAATTTTACTTATTTTTAATAGAATATGGGTGGCAAACGAGCACACAGTCCAACTTATGGTAGAAGAATGCTGTGACCTATAGACATCTAGATATATGTACCTCGATTAAGAATCAAAAGGCAGATGCTGTATAGTGCAACTGTACATTTTTGTTAGTATACGATTTATTTAGGTCAATATGATTTGAGGCATTTATTTTTCAAACAGTCATGTTTTCATTCTATATTATGACGCGTTCTATATTATTATCAATTTTGTATCAATATCCTTATTAAGTTTAAATAAAATAATTTTTTTATATCATATATCATATAAAGGTGTTCCATACATATTTATGGTCCTTCGAGCCGGATTTGAACCAGCGACCTATGGATCTACAGTCCACAGTTGCACTGTACAGATGGAATGCCTCGTTTCCAGTAAAAACGGTCTCCGGTTCTCTACACTCACCATACGAAACACAGCACAACACAGTATTAAGCTGCTATTATACGCTGATATTTTGTGAGAGCTTGGTCATACCACACTCGAAGTGACCCATTCGTGCTACAACCTCTACCACACATAAATATTTTAAAAATTATGCTTTAAATGGACTGATTAAATACTTTACACTAGTAAAGTATTTATATAATAATATTATATATAAAATAAATATTTAGGCAATAAAGAAGCTCTAACTACTAAGTTAGAGCTTCTTTATTGCCAAAACAAATCTGTTTGTTGTCCAAATTTCACTTCGTAACAGGTAGTGGTAAGATTATCCACTACCCCATATCACCTCGTGGGTATCGTAAGAAACAACTGAGGGAAACTCAACAATGAGATGGGCAGCAGCATTTTCTTGATAACAGCTGAATAAAAATTAAATACTGCGATTACCAACCCGATTGTCAATCGTGGCAATCTATGATAGAAGCCATTGTACAAAGCTGGACTTGATAGGCTGTAATGGTAGTAGGTAGTGGTAAAGTTGAAATTTGTATTCAAGACTACAACAACGGTAAAATTAAATTCATTAATTGCCCACATATACCGTTTAAAGTATTCCAATTGCGATTCAAAACTTTGTTCTGCAGTTGACTGCTTAATGGTTCATGATAAAGTTAATATGTATTAATTTACCACTAAAGCTCACTGACATTATAAGCCTTACATTTTTATTTCACTTAAATATAATTACAATTGTTGTAAAGGTTTACATAATTATTTGTTATATTTACGCGAACACTACGTATTAAATAGAACTACTTTTACAGAGGCTCTATCGCGTTTAATTAACTTGTTTTTTATTGATTCCCGACGTTTCGGGTACTTTACAGCACCCATGGTCACGGAGGGCTATCCCCAAGTAGTTTTATTCAGTCAGTCAGTAGTATGTTGTAAAGATTGCCGAAATTAAAGGTAATTTTGATGATCTAAATCATGAGTGTATAAGGGTACAAACAATGAAAATTTCAGATAGCAATCTAGAACATTTAAAAACTTTTTTACATACCATTTTTCATCAGAATAACCAATGAAATTTAACCAAGATATATATCTTTTATGTATTAATTATAACGACGTTTTATTTATTTTATTCATACCTGATCAATAAGTTCGCGCTGTGCTGCAGAGGCGGCGCGTACAAGTGCCGACGTGGCGGTAATTATGGACTTGGCTGCTTCGAGAATCATCTCGTCGAAGTTTAGACTTTCATCTGTCTCCTGTAAGCAAATAATTTATTTATTGTAACATCATTTAAGCAAATAATAAAAATTACCACAGATAAACAAAAATGTTACAGTATTAAAATTTTGAGCTTCTTTCTTCGTAAAACTCGATGCTTTGGCTCACAGTCGATAGGTAATATGTTTGATTCCTGGGTGATACAGAAGATACAACCAAGAATATCAAACATATCTTACCGACATGTGGCATTCATAATTCTTCTTTCTTGGGACTTGTTGTTGATTCCACTTCACTTACTTACCACCATCGATATATATGTACTACGTACTAGATTGCGCATTCCGAACATACACTATGTTCAACTGAACTGTACTGCAATCCGTACAGTATGTCATTAAGTGTGGTTTCAATCTACTAGTTAGTCTGTGGCTTCAATATTCATGCAGTGTGGAGCGGCGCTAATAATACAAGATTTCAAATTAAAGTTTAAGCCTGGACGTAAATAACAATTCAGTAGTCAAGTGAGTAAAATTATTTGTTGTTCAAGCGAATAAATAGGTAATAATATCGTAATATTACAACAGAAAAAATCATGAAAAAATATATTTCTTTATATAATATATGAAACTGATTTAATTATAATTATTACTTATGGGTATATATGTACGTAGAAATTATTATTTAGTGTTGATAATTCTATAAGCAATGACTACAAATTAAACTTGCAAGTCATATCACTTCAATAGTTTATAAATCACAAAAAGATAGCCGATAATTGAATCTAATAGTAATAACTATTACTATGAATATCAAATAATTATTAGAACATTTTCTTTGAGTTTATGGTTACAATATGAAATTTGTAGATTTTATAGTTTCAAGTTCTAAGTATACCTGAAGTTGGGGCGGTTTGCGTGGTCGCAAAGCGTCTAGCTTCCGTGCAGCCGCATCGATGGAGGCCGCTGCCCCCAGTAACTCTGCCTCAGCGATAACCGTCGGATCTTCTGGATCCACCCATTCTGATCCTAGAACATATTATGTAATGTTAAAATAGAAATAGATTTAAGTTTTGAACGCTTTATAATATTAGTGGCCTAGGTTGGACATATTAATTTTTAACCATTTATACAATCATGTATAATTATTTAATGATGATGATGAAACAATTGCGTATGTATTTCGAAATTTTATGGCATTTGTAGCAATAACTGGCTACTAAACAGACAAAGAATTAACCGTGTTGTGTTATATAATAACTACATTAAAATTTATGTCAAATTTAGGTACTACTTTATAAATATTATATATTATTAGTATTTTGGTTTATGAGTTGCTGGTTTCAGGAGTATGATTTTTTTACTTAGAGATGAACACTGAATGCAGGAAGTAGATGGATGAAGGTGGCTCAGGACTGTGCTTTGTGGCATTCTATGGGAGAGGCCTTTATTGAGCAGTGGACTTGTGAAGGGCTATAATGGCTTTGTGGCATTCCTGTAATGAATGAATGAATGAATGAATGAGCACTGAATTTACTTGTAAGAAAGAAACACCAATAATATATAATAGGGCTTCTGCCAGAAAAGAAATCTAATTGTCTTCAAAACGTGAACAACTTTAGTTTTTGTGGGTTGTACACATTTGTGCATAACACAGTCTAATTATGTCGCGTGTTGCAATAAGAGGGACTGAGGTGATTGCGAGGTAGTGTAGGAGGCGAGTGGGTACCCTTGAGCAGCTCGGCGACAGCCAGCATGTCGGCGACGGCGCGCGCCACGCTGCGCGAGAGGTCGGGCAGCTGCGCGCGCGCCGCGCCGCCGGGCGCCGCCAGCACGGCCTGCAGCAGCGCGCGGAACGCCGAGCCGGCCGCGCGCGTCGTCTCCAGCGTGCGCGCGCGCAGCTCCGCGCTCTCCGCCGCGTGCGCCGCGCCCTGGCACACCGCGCGCACACAACACTCACTTATTGCACTGCTTTAGGCCCGCCACATACATTCCAAATTCCGCCCGTCACACTAACGGAAATTTTCCGTTGGAAACTTTGTGGGTACAACGGTATTCCGAATGTATGTGGCCGACTCGTTCGGAATACCAAAACGGAATTCCGTATTCCGCATGTATGTAACGGGCCTAAGGCGAGGATCTCCAAACTTTTAGCGCTCCCTTCCCTTTACCACGAACTAAATATTATGCGACATTTGGTGGACAAAAAATTACTGAATTCGATACGTTTTTGCTTATTATCAGGATATAAAATATCTTAATAAAAATTAAGAATCTCTTCCATAACATGCTTTTCATATTATTACGCAATACTACATAGTTATCACTTAAAAAAAACAAAAACTCGAACGTTAAAGTTATAAGTCAGGTAGGACTTTATGTTTGGTGACACCAAACACCTTTGTCAGGTTTTTGCGCGTTTAGTTCACTTTCGTTACGCAACAGTGGCGAGTGCATTCATAACAATTTATTAACATTTTTGTAACTGTTTTAAATAAAGTAATTTTTTTTACTATTTCAGACGTTATCAATTCAAAATACTTAACAAACAACCAGACACGCCTCCGACACTTTTAAGTCAGGTATACGTACTAAATACAAATTTTATGTTTCATGAATTTATTTGTATCACCTTATTTATTTAACTGTAGTCTTGATTTCTTCTCCCATATAAACATTTTTATAAAGTATTATTTTTGTAAACCAACTTTTTAATAGTAATATTTAAATTAAATTTAAAATCGGGCTTAAAGGACCAATCATATTAAATAGTTCCAACGTTAGTTTAACATCATTCAGCGCTTTTAAAAGTGAAAACCAAATTCTTGAGAAAAAATCCTTTGAGTAAATAAAATCCCACTTGAATTTAAGTAGATACTGTGGCCCACAAACACCTACATACAATGAAAAAGACACGTTATCACACCTGAGGACTAAGAAAGAATGCCGATTTGATTCATAAATCGCACGTAATTCAAAGATATCCTAATAATCGAGTAATATTGTATGTGGAGGGTAAGTAGAGAGGTGAGAGGAGAGAGACCTTGGCGGCTTGCATCATGTCGACGACGGTCTTGCGGCCGAGGTTGGCGGCGGCGGTGAGCTGGTCCTGGCTGCCGGCGCCGGCCGCGCTGCCCGCCGCCACGGCGCGCGCCGTGGCCGCCGTCATGAGCCGCGTGCAGCGCACCAGCTCCTCCGGCGTCGCCGTGCACTTCGGCGCCGCCGGGGACATCAGCACCTGCCACACAACATACACGTGTAACCTCACGCCCCTCACTCTGCTACTTTGCAAATGACACAACACCGATAAAATCCACATAGGTCTCCCCAATACATTGCCTCATAGGGAGGATATTTGCCACAGTTGCCACGCTTGTGAAGCGACTTGCCAACCGTTGTTTTTTTATTTATATTTTTAATGTAGTATTTATCGTATTTGTAATCACCGTGGGGTTTTAGCCGATAAGAATCTCGCATAATCTTTCCGGTGATTACCTCACGAAAAAAATTAAATTTGACATTGTCGTTAGCCAGGTTGCTTTTCAACAATTGATGATCGTTAACTACAAAAATAAACAAAATCTACAGGTCACGTGATCAAACTTTGCGATATTATGGCATTCCAATTTATTTATTATTTATATAGGGTATGTTCCGATATTGTGACTCTGACACTGTGACCACTGTAAGGTGTTACGTCAATTCAGTATAGTGTGAAGCCGTTCCTTTTTAGTTTGCTATACTGGTTACTATTTAAAACGGAACGCAGTCCAGTATACTATCCATACCATACATGGGGATACCATTTCTCAACACTGTTAATTATTCTTACAAAATTTAATTAATATTAACAATTATTCGTGGAAGCTGTTAAATCAATAGGCGCTGTTAAATCAATAGGCGCTGTTGTTTTTTGATCATGTGATCAAAGTACTGCGAGCGCCTTACCTCGAAAGCACCAGTGCTCACAGTACAAAAATGGCGGCGATTTATGACGTCATATATTTCCCTGCGGTGCTGCGGCAGTATACTGGCAGTCCATTACGGAACGAATAACTATAATAAGATTAGGGTATGAGGGTGCTAACCACGGAGCAAATACAAAGAGAAGACGGCCTAAGCAACTGTGCACTGTGATTCTAACTAGGTCCTGACGTCACAACAGTGGGCGTGGCTTTAGTTAGTATACTGTCAGTGTTCGTCCTGTGCGCCTATGTGTCGAAAATCGCAAATCGGTGTATTTTCGTATTATCGGTATATTTCGATGAAGTGTTGTGTTTTATCGTGTAAAAACTACTCAGATAGACGCTCTGATGCTATGGATGTTATCAAATTTCATTTGTAATTTTATACCTAATTTATTCAAATAGTTCTAGAAAAATCTTTTTGCTTCGGCTTTCGATTATAATTAAATATATTCGACACTATATGGGGACACTTTGTGTCATGGGAACTAAAAATATAAAGGTACGTAGAGCTCAGTATTGGTAAAATAATCATACGAAGGCGCTGAAATTTGTTTTGCATTCAGTCCTAAAGAATTTTAATAAACAAAATATTATTTTTATAATAATTTTGTGTACAGGCCGCCATATATCGTCAAGGTAGCTAAACTACATTGCAACATCGTTATGGAACGATGCGAGTAGTTTTACTATTTATCGGTAGATGAAAAATAGTTAAGTGGGCGGGGCTTAACACCCCCTCATCCCACAAATTGTCACGCGTTGTTACATAGTGAAATCTAATTACAACACCTCTTTGTATTTGCTCCGTGGTGCTAACAATCAGTTCGAAATAAAAGTCCCTAAAAAATTAAGAGAAAAATAAAAGAAAGGTAATAGGTAAGAAGTCTTACTACCTCCAAGCTTAAACAAACTGTATTTATTACACTTTCGCCGTGCCGTATGAACGTACCTCAATTTCCTGCGAGATAGCTTCGATTGTAGACTCCAGTGCTCTTGTACCGCGTGTATGCTCGTCTTCTACGGCCTTGACAGTCTTCAGCAGTGACGTTACGTTGGTTACCATAACCTGTGAATGAATTACGAGTAAGTAATATACGAGTACTAATATATGTCAGTAATTCACTTATCAAGTATTATTAGTAATTATTCAAAAGCATAAAACTTGCACTTTATGTATATTGTTATAATGTGTTGATTAATAACCAAAACATGTTTCATAACCATTGTAGAATAAACCAGATAACATTATAATAACATATTTCCCCAAAAATCCTACACCAAAGCAAATGTGCAATGTTCATTGAAACAAAAATGTAGCATGGTAGCAGATAATTGTCAATATTTTTATTTCGTCAATTATTATTAAAATTAAAAAGCATTACCGTAATCAAAGTATTTTAGCCTTTTTTTATAATAAATTTTATAGGTGTAGAGAATAAAGAAGCATGAGATATTTACAAACGACAAAAATACACATGCTTTTAATTTTTTGTTCAATATATCTTAAAATGGATTAGGATTATTTATTATAACATAACTATGATAATGAAACGTGTGTTGATAATAATAAGTTAAGAGTAGTTGTTGTATAATAGGTACAAATACATAAATAAAAATATTACGTGGATATTTAGGGTTTTATAGTCATAGCACAAAAATATTAACATTATTAGAAATATATCTAAAATAAAGCAAAATAATAAGAAATAAGCCTTATTTTATTCATCAAAACTAATATGTTACTTGGTTTACTAATGAAAGATCAAACATACATTTAAATAAAAGCTTTGGGTTGCCGACGAATATGAAAATTGTATCGATGGGCGATAGAACATATTAATCCCAATGCGAATGCAGTCAAATATAAAAGCTCATGCCGTAGCAGGAAACCCAAAAGCTTTCAACCATAATAATAAACGATATAAAATAAATATACTAGATATATAAAGCTGATCGTGTGTACGTCAATATTGGACTTTCAAAGCTTCGCTGTGGGGGCGTGTAATAAATGAAAGCTTGTGGTTTTGAAGTTAATTTTTTGTAATATCAAGCGGCGATCTGAGCCACCAGGTACCGTGAAATGGAGGAAAGGCTTTACGTTTCTTATGAAATGTGTTTAGTGGTACAGTTACGTGTTAATGGCAAGGACCTAAGGTCGAAAATATCATGCCACACACACAGAGAGCGACACATAAACAAAACTAAACACATTTCTAAATTTCATGATTATCACACCTTAACTGAAAATGATAGGTTTGTATTGATGTCTTAAGCATAAGATTTACAATTTGAACGGAGAGTTTTGTTAAATAATAACAGAGTTTTTATAGATATCCAAACATATGCTTAAGACACCAACACGTTTATTAAGAAAAAGAAAACGACAATAATGATCCGATGATCCAAACACCAGACAACATGACAAGCGACTCTTCTCCACACCATGCGATCCATTGCGTGCTCTGCATGACTTGTTTGTTAGACGTGGTGCACGGTCGGTTAATACATAGGCTATTTGGAAATCTGACCGAGTCATTGTCGCGCGTCGTCACGTTCTCGCTCTCTCGGAATCTGCTATTCGTTATCTCGTCCAACATTCTAAGCTGCTCCTCCATTCGACTATTAGGTCTAGATCTTCTTGTACTATTTATGTACTCCATAATAGTACGAATTCTTTTTAACTCTTCTTCAGTAGTTTCTTTTTTATTGAGTATTGCTTCATAAAAATGCCACCAATTATCAATCGTACCGAATTGCTGTTCCCTGTTTCTTAGGATGTCTTCGTAAATCGACCACCAATTATTGGCGTAGTACTCTAGGGGATAGGTACGAGTCATGTCAAAGATTTCTAAGTTGTTTTTAGACTCCTGCTCGTTTCTTTTTAATCGTTTTAGTGTATCTCCGTTAGTTATGACCGTATTGCTGTAATGGTTTACATTTTTAGTTAAATTTTGACTTGAATGGACGTTTACTATTACGTTTCTATGGAATGAAGGTGGCGAAGACGGCATTTCCTCTCTAATAGGGCATGAAATATTTGTATTCTTAGGTTTCAGATTCTCTTTTCCTTTAAATTCATTTTCATGTTTGTATTTTCTTATAATTTCCTTGTAATACTTTTCAAGTAAGCATAATTCTTCATATGTATATTTTGATACATCGATTTGGCTGTAAATGTTTATAATGTCCTGGATACGCACAACTTTTTTCTTCTTACCTTCAATTTGTACGTTAGACAAAGCCTTTAACTTTTCGATCAGTGGGTCAAAACCTTTGTAGATGAAATCTTTTTTTGCAAATTCAATTAACTTCAATACAATATCCTCATATTTCTTATCATATTCCAAATCCTTATTGATGGCTTTGGATTTATCGACTTCCTCGATAAATGTTTGTAGTGTCTCTTTCTCCTTTTCATATTTATCTATTTCAGTTTTTATTTCACCCAAAACTAGCTCATGTCCGCTAAAGCGTTCCAACTCTCGTCTTGTCTCTTCCATCTTTTCTAAATTTCTTTTAGCTAAAGCTTTCCACCATTCAGTATCGTCTTTAAACAATTTCCAAAATTCTAATTTAACCTCTTTACTTCTAGATTCCGGTCTAACAATTATTTCATTAGCTTCATCTTTTTGTTTTTGTTCTGGACTCTCAGACTCCGAGTTTGTTATATCGGGACTTTTTGTATTTGAATCTGATCTATCTACCAAATTTACGGGTTTAACTTTTTTCACTTTAAATATTGTGCTTTTTAATGATGGCGCCTTTTCTGGCGTTAGCCGTTTTATCGGGAGGGTAGTCTGTATTGTTTTAATGGTACTTGTTGTAACTTCTTTTTTAACCGGTTCTGGAATTATGTCTGAATCTAGGTCTTCTATAACTTGAGATAATCTTTTCATTTCGTTATCCAAATCAGATGAAGCTTTCATTCTTCTTAGTGTATCCTGTTTTCTATTAAATTCTTGTTTTTCACATAGCTGAATAAACTTATCAATTAACTTTTTTAATTCGCCCAAGAATATGTTTTCGCCGTATTTCAAAACCCTCCAGTCCATGTCGAATATACTGTTTCGCGAAGTTAGATTGTATCGAACATTCAAATCGTCGTCTTTTACGCTCCTTTCTGGGACTTCATTCATCAAGCCTTCAATATATGCTATTGCTTCCTCGCAATTATCATGGAATATAGAGGGAGAGACGTCGTCATCTTGGCTAGAATAGTCTAGAAGCTTGATAAGTTCGTCTTCTTGATCGGATTGGAAAATATCAGTCTCGGAATCGCAAGAATTGTAGTCGGACCTCAGACCAAGGTTTACAGAGCGCCGTTTGGACTGACGCGGCACTGTGTTAGTTTTGATGGGTAGACTCCAGCGCTTCGTAGGGTCGCTCAGCCGCTATTGGAAAACCGTGAATAAGTCGCGATTAAAGTCCAATATTGACAACATACAATGCATAATAAACAGACACAATAACGGGACAAAAAGAAAATACAAAAAACACAATGTGTACATTTTATAAAATTTAAATTAAAGTAATGAGGTATTTCAAATCTGTAAGTAATGAACTGCATATTAATCAATAACTATTATAGTATCTAGTTTACTTAATACTGTGAATGTTATTATTATATATATTTATATATAACTCATATGTAACAATTCATAACTGCTATACACAAAACTGCACTTAACAATGTTATGAAAAGGTGACATAGTCAAAACTTTCGTGGATATTAACATAGATATAGACTTTTGCTATTGTGCTTCTGTGAAATAATAATTGTAATTTCCAATTTTTTCATTTACGTACTCGATATTTTAATAAATCCAATAACTGAAATCATTTCCTATTGTAAGTTCTAATATTTTTATGGTGTATGAAGAGATAGAAGTAGAATTAGCAATATGGTAAGAAGAGTTTTGGGGGCACACATTAAACAGATTAGCTGTTATAAAGACATTTTTATATTACGATTATTTCTATAGTCTGGCGATTGTGGCCGTAAACGGATTCTTACGTTGACAAATTGGACTCTCAATTGGGAGTGTGAATGTGAGGTTATGATATTTGTATGTGTGTTTTAACGGATTGCTTGAGGCGCTGTATGTCAGGGGATAGTACCGATAGTTGTAAGGTGTATGGATATGTAGTGCGTGTGCCGATTTTTGAGATCCGTGTACGTGAGCGGTGTCTATGTATGTATGTGTGTGTTGATGGAGCGTGTAAATGTGATACGGTGGCGTGTGAATGTGTGAGACGGGCGAGCGGGCGTGTGGAGACGTGTGTGTGTGTGTACCTTGACGGCGTGTTTGAGGCGCTGCATGTCGGGATGCGCGACTCGACGTGTGTGTGTGTGTATGTGTGCGCGCGTGTCCATGTGTACGTAGGTACCTTGGCAGCGTGCTTGAGGCGCTGCATGTCGGGGTGCGCGACGTGCTTGCCGCTGGCGGCGGCGGTGGCGGCGGCCAGGTCGCGCAGCGCGGCGGCCGCGTCGCGCGCCGCGTTCAGCACCAGCACCTGCGGCTCCGCGCTGCCCGCGCCCAGCGACATCGCGCCCTGCTTCACCACTTCGCACAGTTGCACTGCGAACAACGCCAATTGTGACCGTTTAACAACTTTCTTTTAACGTAACTGCACATCCGAATAATGTTTTGCAAAACGACACAATACATGACTTAGATAAATGGTCATAATATGCCATGGTCATAATATGCTTTGTGCTGGTTTAATAAAATCCATCACCCCATATCGTCCCGTCCAGTAATTAAGTTCATGAAGTGATAAATAGATCCCTTGGCTTCGGATAGATGGCGGGTTCTGGCTAACAAGCGCAACGATTAAGGAAATTCCTCCCTACAAAGAGGTCTACGTCCAACAGTGGATTTTATAGGGTGATGATGAAGAAGTATATTTGTATCTAAACAGAAAATAGGATGCATGCTAATATTGTAGAAACAAAATGCTAACTGCATACGATTTCTATAACAGATAAAATTAAACACTACCCAGCATAAGTATATTAGGATGTATCTTAAGCTTAAGAAGATACTTTAAAACAAGTGTTGAAAAAAGCTTCAGAAAAATAGAAACAGCACCACTGAAATGAATAATTCTTCGCTATTTTACCCAAATGAGTGATTAAAGTTTAATCACTCATTTGGGTTTCAAAAGCTATCAATACTATATAAGTATATTTTATTGTCCTAATCATCCTAACTAATCTCAATTCTTCGAGCATCAAACAAATGAGCTATTCCACTTCAGAACCAGATAAATCAAAGTTATCAATTAATCAGAAAAAAATGTATCGTGGCGCATTAGAAAGTTATTAACTTCAAAAATATAGTTTATAATTATGTCAAAAGAACTTGTAGCGTAATGGATCAAATTTGTTCACTACCTAGTGATTAGGTTCACTTGCAATTTATATCAATCTAGACTAGAAGTCTAAGCACAAACCTATAGTCCTAACAGCACTTTGAGCAGCGGACGCAAGTTGTTCCTGTGTGCCGGCCGCTCCGCCCACCAATGTCTTTGTGTCTTCGACCAACGTTTTTGCAGTTTTCAGAATATTCTCACGATGGTTGGAGAACGTATCACCTTCTTTGTCCGAGTGTAGGGTACCTGAACAAAAAATACTAAATTTATTATCCTTGAAGTTTGGTAAAAATAGAAGAAATTTTATCGTTCAATTTAATTCCTTTTAGGGAACGGGTGGCACAGAAATCATTTGTAAAAATTTATAATCCATATAAGGGTGTCAAACTCGATTCCCTGTAGGGTTATTAAAATAAAGGGAAGCTAGCCGGTCAGACTTGAAATGATAGAAAGTATTTTATTTATAAGTTGGTATTTAAAACATTTGAATGTAGTCGCTAGCTATCGCAGTGGCGGCCTGAAATTCTATTCGCTGTGGTGTCTGTGCTACGATCGGATGTTAGTCAACATGGCTAACCATGGCGATGTCTTTTTATTCTTATATATTCAGCAATATTATCCCATATTTTGTTTTTAATACTAATGCTTTTGCTTTGCTTTTTTTGCAAGGTGTGAAGTATCACAAAGTACTGGATAAATTTGCACTTTTTCTTTTAAAATCTGTGTATTTAGCGCCATTATGCATGCAGTACACGCGGCCTTTTGTAAAAATTTGCAACTGACCGCGCTGCAGCCACCGGCCACCGATAGACCTAACAGGCGGAGGGGGCGGGGCATGCGGTCGCGGCTAGCCGCTCGCAGGCCGCGTCATGGCCGCACGGGTTTGCAGGCTCACTTACATTACAAGCGAATACAATTGGCCGCCACCGCAAGCCGTTTCTGTGTGGTAGACGCTTAATAATTCGTAGGCCGCGTGCGGCCTACAGTAAGCAGCAAGCAATACTAAGATTTGTAAATATACGAGTTGTCTGGTACTGCAATTTATCGCAACTGCTAATCCGCCGAATAAGCTTAGCGATTTCGATAAATCTTGCTACGATGCTTGACGATTTAGTATCAACTATTTATTTTGTTAAATGTAAGTTAAAATTAAAATAGTGTTTTTGTTTTATTAAGCACCTTGTTTTTTTTTAAAGAATGCTATTATTGTCATGTAGCAAGCAGCCTTTGTGACATTCTGATGTCAATTATTTAAAAAAAGTAAAACAAATGAAGTTGGGTAATATACGGTGGAATTTACCGGCGCTGGCGAAAAGTATGGTGGTGTCCAGATCGCCAATGATAGTGGCGATGGTGGCGGCCGCGTCTATGCAGGCCTGCGTGCCGCGCGAGCCCGCCTGCAGCGCGCTCAGCACCGCCACCACCTGCGGACAAATTATATGCTGACGTTTATAACTAAAATATTTCGTTTCTTGTAGTGTAATGTGACATACTAAAAGTGATCACAATAGTTTCATGGTACGTTTAGATTATCGGACGAACAACTCGCTGAGTTATTCGTGGACGAGTACGACACATTTACATATTCTTCTGTATTCATTCAACGTAGATCTTTTAAGCATGGATGACGTGCGTCTCGTTGCCACGACTTTATTTCTACTTAATATTTATAGACTCACATATGTTTATTTTATTAATATTTATTTAAAATTGATTTCTAGGATCCCATATCACGGGTACTCCTTGATAAAGTTCTATAAATAATAGTGGATTCGTTACTCCAATCAGGTATTTTTATTATATATATTTTTATATTATTTTATAGGAAAAATAATAACTACCTGTTAACCACAAAGTCCATGAGTCAAGTGAATAATGACGAGTATATAAACACACATACGAATATATACGAGCATTCCTTTGACTCGTGCTAAAAAATCGACATCGAAACGGGAACAGGCGAATATTCGAGCTGAGTAACGAGCACACCCGAACAAGGCGTTTACATATACTCGTGCCTATTCATTTGTGCTCGTCGAATATCTAAACGTTGCATTAATTTTCATGTTAATGTTAAGGTTTTGGTTATTTATGATGTCGTTAAAATAAAATATGTAGGTTTCGCTTTAATCCATTATTCTCATATATTGTTGGATTGAGATTTCTGAATAAATTAAAATTAAACAAGTTAAAATCCATATTATTGTATATAGTGTAAGAATTTTGATTTTGTAAATATATTGTATTACTCTTTAACTTTATACTATCTGTCTTTTTCTTTACGTAATCAAAAAAACAAACAGACAATGTCTCTTCTGTATTGTATACCATCTTTTCACTTACAATATATTTTAAATTGTTTGTTTATATATAAAAATTACGTATCACATTGTTTGTCCGCGATGAACTCTTAAACTACTGAACTGATTTCAATGAAAAATTGCACACTGTGTGTAGTTTGGTCCAACTTGAGAGATAGGATACTTTTTATCCCGATAAGTGACCTTCAATTTTTTTATTGCTAATCTCAGGAGTTTTTTTTTAGGAAAGCAAATGGTCGTCGGAAAGGGCAGAACAACGTCTGCCTGGTCAGCTAGTACGTATATATACTTTAATATCGAATATTATTAATAAATAAAAAACATTATTTTCCAAACGGTGATAATGACAGTCCTCTATAAACACTCCCCTGCGATTAGATTGTATCTTGTACTCTAGCGTTTTTATCCGTTATCTTTTGTTAATAAATTTATATACTTATCTATAATAGCATATTTTGTATTAATTAAGAGTACATATGTTAACCCTAGGCAATATTTTCAAAAGTACCGCAAAACGAATGCCTTTTCGTAACAAAATGTGTGCGCGTAGTGCGTAGTGCGTAGTGCGTAGTGCGTAGTGCGTAGTGCGTAGTGCGTACCTTCTCGTTGACGTGTCGCGCGGCGTCGGCGACGGCGCGCTGGTTGTGCGCGACGGCGGACAGGCGGCAGTGGCCGCCCGCGCGCACCAGCTCCGACACCGCCTCGCCCAGCTCCACGGCGCACGTGCGGATCCTATACGTTTATATAACATTTTTTTAACACGCTTTTATTAGCCTCCCATCTATCTATCTATCCGTGTAACGGAATCTTTTAATGTAATTTTCAACCAACCTGTAGACGTCCGATTGACTTGACAACACAACAATTTAATAACTTTATCCTGATCAGATTACTAGGATAATTCGCTCCAAAATCATGATCAAGATCTAGAATGATGACTCTCATGATCAATACGTGTTTTTTAAAATTTTATTAAATTATTTCTTTAACCGTTTTGCCCAGTGGTCGTAAATGCGACTTGCTAATCGTGAGGTCTCGGATTCGAATCCCAGGTCGAGATAAAATTTACTTTTGAATTTTTCTATCAGGAAAATCTCAATAGCGGCCCAGAGTGAGAAAGTTAGCGGTGTTTCATCTCTGATCTCTAAACGGCCGTGTCGGATTATCATAATATGAGAGTGCACCTGTACTTGCGTACACTCTCTGGCACTGTAATTAGACACTTTCTGATACATTGTCTCAATGGAAACTAGCCGTTAAGACCCCAGGGGTAACAACGAATCTGAATTTTCAATGATATATATAGACGTCTATGAACAACAACATCTGTATCTTATTTGCTACTCTACTAAAAAAAAAATAGAATATCTACTAATAGATTTTCTACAGTGATAGAGCCACGCGGCAGCTTTAGCTGTCGCACGGATGGGCCGGCTCGAACCGGGGTGGTACCACGACCTCACAGAAAACCAGCGTGAAGTAGAGGCTTACCTCTGCGTTTCGCTTAATAAGTGTAGGTGGCCGGAGGCCCTTTTTACTGGAAATGAGGCATTCCATCTTAGTCCTCACGGGTGACAACGCATCTGCATTTTGATTTGTAATAGAGGATAGATGTAGGTGTCTATGGGCCGCAGCAACCACTTACCATCAGGTGAACTGTGTGCTTGTTTGTCACCCTTGTCGTATAAAAAAAAGATTGTCATTCATACTAAAAATGATTCAATTAACAATATGATAAACTAAAGCCCACCTGTTGGCGATGTCTGCATTTGGTGTGGTGGCAGAAGCACCCAGGCTATCTCCGGCCAGCTGCTCGTACTTGCCACACATTTCGTTGCCCACTTCCACCAGTCGGCTTGGCTCCGTTGCAGATTTTGCCGTCTACGAAAAATATATCACCAATATTATTTAAGAAACCTTTAAAGTTTAAAAATTGCACTTACTCGTTATAGAACAGAAGCTTTGATGTAACCTTAGGTATTAAGAATATATATTGAAAGAACTGTTTTGGTAAGAAATGTTTTTCAACTAAAAGAAAAAGGAAATTAAAACATTTTCATGACTACTCCGTTCATTGTTTGTGTTCATTCGTCCGTTGACTTTTAGTAAGTTATTCTGAGCATCGTAAACTGAAGAAACAACAGTAAACCTTGGATAGCTTAGTGTTTACACACAAATTCTGAATGTATAATAGAAATTGATAAATTACCATGTCAGTAGCCAGCCGTGCTATATCCTTCGCGGTTCCCACCATCCTCGTCTGGTAGTCGACGAACGAATCCGTCTCATCGAACGATCCAATTAGTGACATCCTAAAGTGAAAGACAGACTTAAATAAATTATTTTTTGTGTTACGGTTTAAAACCATGTCAAGTAATTTAAGACTTTTAAGTTGTAAATAATTCAACGAACTAAACCACTATGCTTTACTTAGATAATAACGCAAAGGAATTAACACTCGTCAGAAACACACTGCTCATCTATTTCTGCGAAACTTTGGTAATTTACAACTCGATAATTAATAACTGGCGTCATATGTAGGATACACACATTTTTTTCATCTTCACGGACGTATAGACAAGCGATCTTCAACGAACGTGCACACTGCGTCCGATAGTCTGCAGTCTGTTTGAATACTAACAGAATATGTCGTAATATCTGTTTATAAATGAACTTTCTTAAATTACGTCATACGGTTTTCATGACCAGTGATGAGATAATAGTAGTTTTTTTTTAAATAATCTAAGTGCGTTAGTTTGATTTAGTGTTAGTTCTATTATAATAAGAACTATAATACTTATAACACCATATAATTACAATATGATTTTTTTATAAGGGCAAAGAAGTCTTTTTGGCGCTTAATCTTTCGTAATAAATATAATCTGATATAAAAGAAGAAAGCCAGAAGACCGCAACTTTTACTTGATATCTTGCGGAGACGGCGAGGCCATCAACTGGCGTAGGTCACTTGAATTATCTGCATTCAATCATTGCGTTTGGACGAACGCCAACTTATTAAGCCGATACTCAAAATTAAACGTCGATGAACTAAGCTATTAATATTATATTATATTATTATTATATTTTTTGTTGAATAAACCCGGACTATCGCGTAAACAGAATGGCGAGTGTTTAAAAAAATTATGGTACACCGTACAGCTTGGGACAGCTCAAAGGCATATTAACAATTTTATTTAAGAGTTTATATAATGTAACCTATCGTGTGGCAATTAAAAAAAATGTGTAAATGAATAACGGTCAATAGAATTATTTAAGGCTTGTTTTTCTTTTTTACAAGAATTATTTGTTATAATATCCCACAATAACATAAATACTAAGAAAATAGTTTGAATGTAAGAGATTCACAACAGGCGATGCGCGCATTGGTCGACACGCACATAAAATTTCCAAATAGCGTCCGTCACTCGGCCTATATATAAAGCGTACAGCTGACTAACCGCCCGGTTAAGGCCACATTAAGTATTTATACGCTGCTTTAATGCGAAGTTTATTTTTACCATTCAAACAACAAAACAAATAACGGTAAATAAACCGATTGAATAAAATACTATTATTTTACGTATAGTTTATGATCAACTAGGTAAGTTTTACCATGGACATAAATGTGGACTCTTTTATTTTGTTTTTGACCATTGTCGTAACATTATTCTTTTGGGTATGTCAAAAGTAGGAGATATAAATTACTCTCTTCTCTCTTATTGTTGTCAACCATCTGGTTGTCCGATGGTGGAAAAGAGAGGGAGTATACCTTTGGCTATTACCTCCTTATATACATATTTTTTACAAATTTTAGAGTTACTAATTTAAGGAATTGCTTCCTATAACTGGATACGTCACGATCATTGACTTTCATATGCTAATAAAAAAAAACACGAAATATTTACGAGAAGGGGTTACATTTGAAAGACAGCGCTATCTTCTTTCATGTGCAAACGCTAAATTCGTGTCATTTTGTGAGTAGAAAAAGGATTTAAAGTTAGTGTACATTGTAACCGTACATTTTAGTTGGTAAGCGATCTATTTAGGTCAACATTTGCGTCATTTATTTTATTTTTTGAGCAGTCACGTTTTCATTCCGAACACGGCGGAAGCGATCTATATCATTATCAATTTTGTATCAATATCATTTAAAGGTGTTCCCTACAGTTAGGTATACAAAATTTATTTATGTAGGTTGGATGGTTATACTATGGGTTTAAGAAGAGTCCTTTTTAAGAAACAGTGTCCTTAGCGCGAAATTGACATTTGGTGTCAAATTTAATGCCATACATTTAGGTTTGTGTATTTTCCATTTATTAAATCAGACTATAGTTTTAACCTGAGACTAAATACAAAATTATTTTTTTGATAATCTGGCGTGTGTTTTACAAGAGGGAATTAGTAGCATGAAAATAACGAATGTAAGGCGTAATGTGTGTAGTCGCGGTGGGAGTGGGTATTGTGTAGTGGGTAGTGGGTACCTGTGCTCGGTGAGGCGCGCGACGGCACGCGCGAGCGAGTCGAGCAGCGGGCCGACGGCGCCGCGCTGCGAGCTGAGCTCGCGCACGTGCGCGCTCAGCTCGCCCAGCGCCGCGCGCGCCAGCGCACTCTGCGCCTCCACCTCGCTCGCTGCGCTCACCGCCTGCACGTCCGCACATCGCACACCGCACACATCAATACATTACAATACCTATATCACATTTTTAGAAAAAAAAACATTGTACATACGTTACAACTCATCATGATTACAACCCTTTATGAGTCTATTGCTGAACACAGGATTTTTCCTAATTAATATGGAAAGGAATTTACGAGATGAAACCACGCTGCAACTATATTATAGTTGTAGCACGAATGGGTCGGCTCGACCAGGGAAGGACCACGCTCTCACAGAAAACCAGCGTGAAATAGCAGCTTAACGCTGCTGTGTTTCATATGGTGAGTGTAAAGAACCGGAGACCTTTTTTACTGGCAAAGAGACATTCCATCTTAGTCCTTACGGGTGACAACGCATCTGCGTCTTGAGCCTTTATTGAGGATAGATGTAGATGTCTATGGGTCACAGAAACCACTTACCATCAGGTGGACTATGTGCTCGTTTGTTACTCTATAATATAAAAAAAATACCAGCGTAAGATAGCAGCTTAATGCTGCTGTTTCATATGGTGAGTATAGAGAACCGGAGAATCCTTTTTACTGGAAGCGAGGCATTCCATCGTAGTCTTCAGGAGTGACAACGCATTTACATTTTGATTATTAATCAAGGATTAATGTAAATGTGTATGGGCCACAGCATCCACTTACCATCAGATGAACCGTGTGTTCGTTTGTCACTTAATTATAATTATAAAAAACGATAAAAGCAGTAAGAGGTATATGTTAGTGCAGCGGTGGAAGTGTACTGACGCGCGGGTTGCCGGCGGCGGTACGCGCGGCGTGCACGAGCAGCGCCAGCGTCTCGAGCACGGTGCGCGCGTGCTGCAGCAGCGCCGCCTGCGCGCGCGACTCCGTCGTGTTGGACGCCGCGCCGCCCGCCGCCGCCACCAGCGGCTCCGCGTACGACACCTGCGCAACACGACACCTCATTCTTCTACTCACTTCATTTAATCCGGGAATTTCCTATGTTACGAGCGGACTTCCATGTATGCTACTAGACGGGCACTACGGTACTAAAACACTAATGCACTAAGTTACGATCGATTCCCCGTAACTTCCTTAGTCTACTGCAAGCAGCGGAGAAGACTAGTCATTTGTTTTGTAGATAGAGTACGTTGATTTCGACAAACTCACACTGATTTTGTTTAATGTGCCTAAGAAAACGCTGTTATTATTTATGTGCGAACTTTGTCAACGTGGTTTAAAGTTTATTTCAGATAAACACGTAACTTTAAAGATAAAAATACATTTATTGCATAACTGTGTACAATATGATCTTAATACAAAAACATAGTTTTAAGTTCAACAGTCTACCCATGTCAGATACGCAACAAGGATAAAATAAATTTAAAATTAATTATTTACTAACATTACTTTCACTAAAAAAAACTCATTGAGATAGTAAAAAACATTTTCAATTAACAATTTTCTTAATTTTGTTTTGAACATATTCCCATTTAATTGTTTAATAGCTAGTGGTATTTCATTTTCATAATTAATATCATTTGAGTCATCATTAGAAATAAATATAGTTGCATCATCGACATACGTTACGCATAGATGGGTAATTATGTTTGGGAGCTCGTTAATATATAATAGGAATAAAGAGGGCCCCAATATGCTGCCTTAGGGTACACCCAATATTACATTTTCAAATTCAGATTTAACTACCTCAACCATTTTTGTAGATTCATTATATATCTCGATAACTGTTACTTGCATTCTATTATTTAAATAATTTTCTACTAATTTAAGTGCTAGTCCTCTTATTCCTAAGCCTTCTAATTTATATTCTTCTAACTAATTGCATTTGCCTAAAAACGTAGTCGTCGAAAATGAAAATACGACTGCGTGGCATATTTGACATGCCAGCTCCGCGCGGGCATCGGCGGTTTGCGCTGCCCAGCTGTGACACAGTTTTTGTTCTGAATTGCCAATCTAGTAGTATACATAGAAGCCATTGGTTTAAATACTAAGTGGATACGCCAGGGGTCGTTCCTGCCATTATCTTAAATAGTCTGTTTCGAATCAGGAGTTGCATTTCATGACCTTGTGGGCAATACCCTGTCGAAGTAGTCGCGTTCCAACTGTGGACGTGCATGACACGCACGTGCCTTTTTCGTTGTGCAACGCTAGTCACATTTTTACGCGTTCATCGCCTACCCCTCGCTATGAACACGCCGTGCACGTGTCACAACTACGAAAACCTATAGAACTGTCGCCAGCAAGACTGTATGATACTGCAAGAACTATTCTTATTTACTTAATGAAAAAGAAAAATGAAGATCACCGCATAGTAGCTTTTGAATTAAGGAACACGCCGCGCCGCTCCGAATCCAAAAATCGCAGGTGAGCAGCTCATTTGGTCTTATGAACATGCAATTACCCGCTAGTCCTTCAAATTTACCGTGGGTCACACCGCATAGACTAGGTTTTTCTGGTCACCCCCGCATACCATTTCTAGTTTCATCTCGAGTTACCGATTCTTACAAAATCTGAGGTTCGAATCCCGTAAAATTAAAATTACTTTTAATTTAATTAAATTAATTATATATTTGTAGCCCATTTAGAGACGTTTCCACCACTAAGCTTTCCCTTCGCCGTTACATATATATATCTGTCTAAGACGAAGAGTAAGCGGGCGATATTAGCTGGACAAAAAGTTACATTAATTTTTTTTATTCGGAACACCAACAGCTTTTAAGCTGGCTTTTCACTATGGGATATAATATATATTATATCCCGAAATATAAATTATACCCGCGATTGGCTTTCTCACTGTGAGATATATCTTTTAACCAGTGTGCGTTCGTGGTCATTGGATTACCCCCCTTTATCCCGTAAACCATTCTACGGAGGCGCGGAACGCTGGCGGGGTGCAGGGGACGAAACATAATATGAAAATATCGCTCGGTCGATCGAAAAAATATTTATAACTTGAGATGTAATATATATTATAGCTCAGTGTAAACGGTTCCATATGAAATGTATGGTGAGCGATATTAATTTATATCTCGGGATGTAATATATATTATATTATATCCCATAGTGAAAAGCGGGCTTTATACATTTCACTTATTACAAAATTTTAAATCTACGGAGCTATTTAAAAGTATTCGCATACGAATATTGAAATGTATATAGACCAGACCACACAAGCTTTATCAAAACAAAATTTATCAATTAAAAAATACAAAAAAGGGAGATCGCTAGTCATTAATAAGAATAATAAATGGCAACGGCCCTTACAAAGGAGCCATCCAGAAGGAATTGACATCCACGTGGACGTACCACCCATTTATTGTAACCGCCTGGGATCTATTAATATACGACGAACACTATCTGTATCGGTTACCGTGTATACCAGCTTTCTAAAGCAAGGAACAACAAGTGGTCTATACGATCAAAAGCTTTATTGAAATTGGTAAATATAATATCAACTTGTGCTCATGAGTCCATTTGTAAGGAGGTATAATGATTAAAAACCAATAGATTGGACACAGTCGACCTTTGTCTTAAAAATACATGTTGTTTGTTTTTGTTTATTATCAAGAAATAAAGGTCAACGGTTTTTTCCGGTTGATTAAATTATATATTTTTTTTAATCTCGATTCATATAAACTATTTTAAAAATAGATTAAATTAAGAATTTAATTGAGAATTTTTTGTACGAGTATATACGAGCGTCAAAATAGTTTCTGAAATACAATGTTTTGTTCAACCTGGCCTAAGACTATATCAGGGTCGCAAGAAACTTAAACAATTGGATTTTAATGATTTATCGCTGTCGCGCTGTGCCCGATCGTACGAAGTGAACAACAGAAAGAGACAACTGCCACTCAGATCTGATACTAGATTAATTTAATTTTTTATGAACAATACTAGGATATTGTAGCTATGTCTGTATGTCTTTTTCTTTTATTTTTTTATGCTCATTAAATTTGTATACTGGATGTCTTATAACGGCGGTGGTATAACTAATTGGTTTTAGTGATTTTGAAAGGTTCCTAGTTTTTAAAATAATACATGGAAACAAAAGTAAATATTTTACGATACAATTAATTCTACTATATGGCAGTAGTAAATATCTATGTTTATCATATGCCAGTGATAGACATAGATTGTAGCATCATAATATTGAAAAATGATTAGAATGGCCTTACAAGTATGTTGACTGAAAATTTTATCCCCGCAATTTTACTACTTACCAGCTGAACGACTGCGTGACCAAGATTCTCCGCTTCGCTTTTAGCCGCAATGCGGAGAGGTTCCAGTTTCTCCAGCATCTCAGCAGCTGCATTTTCTATTTGTTCAGAGTAGCCTGAAATACAGTATTCATTAAGTGTTGTATAAACAACAGACAGTAAGTTACCAGGAAAATGCTGCTGCTAATCTCCTGTTTCATGTGCCACAGGAGCCCCTTACAACACTTACGGGATAAAATGGTTTGATGGATTCTCTTAAGCCGCCTCGACACGTTACTTGGTATGTTTATGGTTATAGATAAAATGCTTACAAGGTTCATGAGCAATTATGAACATTAAAATCTATGACAGTTTGAATAAATAAATTCAAGATCAAATGAAAAAGTTCATTGTCGTCATCGAAGTCCACTGTTTAACTTAGGTCTTACCATAAACATGTCCCATGAGAGGGATCCCAAAAAAGGGTCACCACGATTGGTAGGTTCGCAGCACGTATCGCTGTTTTTTTTTTATTTTCTAACTGACATTAGGAAGACGCTGCTGCCCATTTCTTAGTTTTGTTTCCCTTTATCGCTTGTTACGATACCGTCGGGACGGTAGAGGTAGTGCATATTTTTACACCGTCACTACACGGTTTAATATAAAAGTTGTGTTTGTACAATTAGTCAGTACCAAGCTACCCTATTACGAACCTTGCAATGTGTTGGCCTGTCTCGGTTGCAGCTCCTGTCCAACGGCTTGAATTGCAACTTGGTCGAGTTCGCGTAGCTGCTTGTTTAACGTGTCGAGAGCTGCGGCACATTCGCGTTGACCTGGCGCTTTTTCGCTGTATAGCACAAGAAATGTTTCATGAAAGTAACAAGTGGAATGCGGGAAGTAAAGACTGTGTAAGAACCTCCGAAGGAGGCGGAGTTATAGCCGAAATAAGAATTTTTAATATTTTGGTTTTTGGCCATTTTGACCCCCTAGGAATGTAATGAGAACTTTTTGCCCCTATACTACCATGACCCCCATGACATCCTCTACATGATAGGCTATTCAAAATGACTAGGCCTAAAATTCAAGCCCCTCCCCCCCCAAACTCTAACTAAAAAATTAAGGCTAATATGTAAATATCACAGAAAATAAAAATATATCAGGAAAGAAGTAATTTAAATTTCATTATTACATCACAGGGTTCCTTCACGTTAAATCTTTCTACTATTCGCATTAGGTTGAATACGATTCGCGTCCTGTTCTTCCCTTTTTAGACATTATATTGTTTGATTCGCCATCAATTTATTTATGGTGTACATTATAATTACTCGATTTTTCTGTTCGGATCTGTGCTATGTTCACTAAACGACTTAAACTACATCACACATGTTAGTTACTAAGTTTAAATTATTAAGGACCTACTGTTGGTTTTATTTTGTAATGTGCATGTTATTTATTTAAAAAATTTAAGCTATAGGTGAGAACCTACTCAGACCAACTAAGAAAGCCGGACGGAGTGCTGCGTACATTTTCCTGCACACATCTTTTCCTTCTTGAAAGTTTACCACTGGACTCATATATATGCACCTAAAAGTATGTTGTTGCTTGCAAGATATTTTTGATACATTAGTGTACGTGAGTGCGTGTTCTCACAGTAAGTTATAAGTAATAATTTATGTGCACCTTCCCTATTCGCAATTCGTTGTAATCAACAGTTCTTTGCGCAATAAGGTTGTCTGGAAGAAATCGCTTACAGAGCGTATCTTCTATATATTGGAACGAAGTTCCTCCTTTGACGGATGGGAGCTAGGCGACAAAAAGTGTAAGATTTCTTCATCACTACCCCTTGTATCATAGTGTAGACGGCCTTGGCGGCGAAGTAAGGAAGTGAGATAGAATAATATCATCTCCCTCGCACTTTTTTGCCATGAAAGAAATATTATTTTATTTCAAATGACGATTCATTTTAATAGACGCTAGTAATTCATTTATTTGCATTTGTTAATCAATAATATAATACCAACGTTTATCAATAATAATATACTACGCAAGGAACTTCTTTCCAACCGAGTGTTCCACGACATTCACGCATTTTTTTTTAACTTCATTTTGTTTCGTTTTTATGTGTATTGATGTACAATAAAGAATAATATTCATTGATTAAGGCTACAGCATGGTTCCGTCTTTCTTTCTTAATTGGTTTGAGGTTTTCAATAATATAAAAATAAAATAAAAGAGTTATTGACGGTAACTTGACTGCCAGAGGTTTAAATAATGGTTTGATGTGGATTTTGATACGTAAAAGTGGTGCTATTTTGTGTAATATTTGCGCATGTGAAGTTATAAGTAGAAATGATGAAACAAGTGCTCTGATGGTGGTGTGAAACTTAAGATATTGTGTTTTCTTAAGGGCTTTAAAATAATAATAACTGGCCTGTCTAAGGGACACTAGCGGAACAGAGCGGAGTAGCTATAGCGTTTTTTCTCGATACAGAACTGTGTCATTTCTGTCATTACGAAACTCTCACATAACAATTAAAACAATAGAATAACAATTTCACATATTATCTCATATCATATATACATTATAACAGTATCACTTGGTGGCAGCGACAACTCTGATACAGACCGGCTCAGTCGCTCAATCGATCTGCACATTGTATGAGGGCGAGCGGCCTGTGTTGTTAAGCAAATCCGAAACAACATGGCCGTCATTATTGTAATTTATAATTTTAAAAAGTAAATAGTAATAATGTGATTAAAATTTATTTATATATGAATGGTAAAAGTAACGTTTTTAAATTCGACGTGGGTGAATTTTTTTTTGCAGCAAAAACAGACCTATTCGGCATTTTTTTAGTCTAATGAGCAGAGCGGCTGTAACTAGTTTTAATATACAGGACCGTGTTGACTTATACTTTGACAGAGGGGAACGCCTGCGTTTGGTATTACCATCCGGTCCGCCGGTGGCCCGTGTTTCTCTATGAAATTTTCTGAAAACTTTGCATTAACATAATATGGTAAAGAAGTTTTTAAACAAATTTTTCTGTAGGATAATTTTTTATAACTTGACACTGGCAAAAGTATAACCGTACGAGTCCATTAGCAAATTAAAAAGTGAACAAAAATGAAACGTAGTAGTGTTTACCGTATGTTGGTGACGAGCGCTTTGATGCTGTCGGAGACGGTCTTGCTGTGCGCGGCGAGCGCCTGCCACTGCGCGCGCTCGTGCGGCGCCAGCGCCAGCGCGCGCGCCGCCTCCAGCATGGCGCACGACCCGCCGATTATGTTCCTGCACACACACACACACACTTGCACATGCTCCGTACCGTTGCTGTTTTTATTACTATTGCTGCTTTTTTGCGACCCATACACATCTACATCTATCCTTGATTACGAATCAAAATGCAGATGCGTTGCCAACCCCGCGGACAAGATTTTATGCTTCGTTTCAGGTAAAAAGGGTTTCCGGTCCTCTACACTCATCATATGAAACACAGCAGCATTATTGAGCTGCTATTTAACCTTGGTATTCTATGAGTGCGTGGTCCTTCCCCACTCGAGCCGAACCATTCGTGCTACAACTGCAGCATGGCTCTACTACGTAAAATGCTTAATCTACTCGTCGACAATACGATACAGATCTTCTTCTATAACATACCAATTGGTACGTGACTTGGGAAGACGCTGTTCAGGCAAGTTGGTTTAATTACAGATTTTTCCTATCGACCCATCCATCCTAATCTCTTAAAGCCTATGAAATTCTTATAGAGTGAATATTTGCCATAGTTGCAGAACAGGATAGTAATCGTAGTTTTTTTTTTAATTATTTTTTGTTTTCATGAGGGAAATGCTGCCCGTCTCTTATTTCCTTCTGTAGCCTCTTACGACATTCTCGGGATTATATGGGGTAGTGGCGCTAGTTGACACCGAGGTAAATTTTTTTGTTACACAATGTAATTTAATTGAAAAGTTGTTTTTTAGTAAAACTTTATTAGTTTCTAGAATATTATATTAATACACAAAACAATGCGTCGGTGGTTTGCTCTTTAACTTTTTGCATATTTTTAACATTTTTTTTAATTTTCCTACTTTTATGAATATCTGTGGTTTGGTTTATTTATTTTTAATGTTATTAATATAAAATATAGCTAATAGTACAAAAAGAAACAATAACTTTAACATTTTCCGAACAAATTAATTTCCCCTCTATGAAATCTGTCAAATATTATACCTCACCTTCTAGTGACGCCGCCCTGGTGGCAGAAATAGTCGTGGATGCCCTCATTTTACCAAAATAAAGTGAAAACATTTTTGAATCAGTTATTGCATCTTATCATTGGACAGTAACAAGATCTCCGTTTTAGCTATATTAATAGAAAAACTGTAACTTCACTTTTTCTCGCGATGATATCCCTGCGCAACAGTGACGACAGGTTTAAAGACATTGGTAAAAGACAAAAGAAGGTAAAATATGGATAAAATGAAACAACAGAAAGGGTTACCTGCCGCAGACGAGGATGGCTTCCTGGCTGGCTCGGGCCTGAGGGGAGATTCGCGCAGGCACGGCCGCGAACTCGGGACTGTCCGCGAACTGGCACAGGCTGCGCACCGCGTCCAGCAGCGGCCCAGTAGCCGCGGCGCAGCGAGCGCGGTTAGCCTGCGCACAAAAAACTCTTCTCAATTGCACGTATATTTTTTCTTTCTTAAACTTAATTTTATTTACATAGTGTTATTACAGAAAATGACATTTTTATTTTAAGTATTAAGTCTATATGTTATTTTCTTTTCCTATCTACACGGGACTACATTTTAACGCGATATATATTTTTTCCAATGCCTTCCACTGGCAATAACTGAAAAAACAATCGCAAGACAATAACTACGCACACAAGTGTTTTAGATAGTGGCGTATTCTACTTATAATATTTACTTAGTCACTTAGTGTATTGTGACTATGCATGTTTGAGCGGTGCCGTTGTGACGTTCCACGTATTATGCGAATCCATGATATGTCACATGACAAGTTCGACGCTGCAGAGCGTCACATCTCCTGTTGACAGTATACAACATCGGAATGGCAACGCTATCAACTTATTGCTTCCAGTATCAGATCGAGAACTTAATAGTCTAAACATTGCTGCGTTACCAAGAAAAAATGGTATGCACAAAGTGTACTTACTAAGCAGTTAAATCAGCCTCTTGAGTATGAGTTTTTCTATCGTATCGAAATAGTAATTGCTTTCGAGTAAAGTTTTATGACACCTCATAGTTTTATTTACATCCGCCACTGGCAATTTTAATCAATGACGATACGAAAACGTTAAAGTGTCAAAAACTTGTGCAAATTGCACTACAAGCAGTAAACTTTGCCTCAAGGGTAAAATGTACTAGGGTAAGGAGAACAGGCTAGTGATTAGCATTGCGCGCGCGCGACTCACCTCGCTGTAGTCCGCGTCGAGTGCCTTGATCTCCTTGACAAGTGCGGCGGTGGAGTTGGCCACGTCCTTGGCGGCCTGCACGAAGTGGCGCTTACTCTGCGGTTCGGCCGAGCGGCCCGATGCCACGCGGCATGCGTTGCACAGCGCGCTCGTGTGTTTCGCGATCACCGTCGCCGCGGACAGCACCTGGTGAAAAAGAAGTTGTTAAATCAAATTCATTATATGTAATAACTCGTCGATAGCCTAATGTTTAAGCTACGGACTGCGAAATGGGAAAAAAATGGTGAGTTCGCCTTTCGCTTTTTAACTATCGTGAAACATATCTATTACAAGCAATTTATGTTTAGTTGGAATAATTGATGGGGGATGTATTAAGAGCATTGCTAATATTTAAAAGATAATATTAATAAAATACATAAAATATACAAATAAAATTAAAACTGCCTTTACCTGTTGTTGATTACTGTCTTTATCGCACAATGTTTTACAAGCCTGGTCTATGGCCAATGCGGCGCGGGCGAATTGCGCCTGATCAACCAATCCTGGTCTTCCTGCGACACTTGTCTCGTCCGATACTGCCACCTATTGTACAATACAAAAATATGTTAGATCCACATTACGATAATAGACTTTTAATGCTAGTTTTATAAATTACGCAATATGACGTATTCAGATACCGTAAAGAATTTCGTAAATAAAATACTATTTATGACAGTTAATGTACAATTATTTAACCCTGGCAAAAAGACTAGTCGTACAAGTGTATAGTAAAAAAAAAGAATAGTGTGTAACGTGTACCAGGTATGCGGCCTGCGCGGTGCACTCGACGAGGCCCTGCACGGCGGCGGCCACGGCGGCCACGGCGCGCGCGAACTGCTCCGTCTCGCCGCGCTTCACCGCGCCCGCCATGCCCGACATGCCCTCGCCTGCGGAACAATTTCAAACAACTCAATTACTAGTTCAATTACATTTATATTGCAAGAAGATCACATTATTAGAAAATATTTAATGAAAGTATATTTTATCATTTACCACTAAAAACACCTTTGTTCTAGCAGCCAAAAAATTTAGTCCTTTGACTATAAGAACAAAGGTGTTTTCACGGAATTATTTTTATATAATCTATATTATTTGTTGAAGTAAATTAAACAACAATAAAGAAAAAATAAAACGCGTATGTGGTACGTACTGAGGCCCTTGCTCTGGTCGACGACTGCGTCGAGGCAGGCGAAGTAGCCGAGCTCGCTGAGCGGCTGCGTGGGCGCGGCCAGCAGCGGGCGCGTGCTGTCGATGCTGCGGATGGCGGCCGCGCACTCCTTCTGCCCCGGCGCCGCCTCCGTGCACACGTCCACCTGCACACACCACACACCATACACCACCCTCCGTCATTTCGCTTAACTCTACGCACCGCACACCGACAACAATTGTCATTTATTATTGACGGAAAGCATTAACAACCATGTCCCACCGCTCGCCGTAGGTGCCGTACACTTCTCGCGACCTTACTTTGTTTTGACAAAAAGCCAATACCACAAAACCACGCTCTACTTGTTCCCGTAGGTGCGGCACGCAAATAATTAAATATTCAAACAAAAACAAAAATAATTTGTTTTTACGTGGTCGGTTCAATCGGGGCAGGGCACTACCTCTAATCGGCCAGACGATTTCTTTGCAGTATTTTCATCAATCACTGACAACTTTTTATAATCTCCCGCGCCAACAACCTATGAGCTTATTTTTGTTATTTTTTTTTATTCACTTTCATTCATTACACCTCATCAAAAGTCTAATGCTGAACATAAAACTCTCCCATAGGTTACCTAATAATTGACATAATTGTCCCGCTTGGCAGGCGGGTTGGCAAAAATAGGTTTTTATTCATATTGAGTTATTATCATGAAGATGCCCATCTCCTATTTTGTTTCCTTCTGTTGCCTCCAACGACACTCATGGGATGATAATATAGGGTAGTGAATTCTCCTACACCGCCACTACAACACATATATTTCATACTAGCTGTTCCCCGCGACTTCGCTCGCGTGTTAGGGTTTTTATGTTTTTGCGCGGAACCCTAATTCTTTTTCCAAAATAAATGTAGCTAAGTTACTCCTTATGAAATCAGTTACCTGCCAGTGAAAGTCCCGTCAAATTCGGTTCAGCCGTTTCGGAGATTAGCCGGAACAAACAGACAGACAGACAGACCGACAAAAATTTAAAAAATTGTATTTTAGTTATAAGTACCGTATTTGATTTCATATGCATTTAGTAAAAAACTGTAATTTTGACATTACAAACAGACACTTCAATTTAATTTATTTGTATAGATTAATATACTAAATATGCACTACCACATACCATTGGCCTATATGTTCGGCAGCGTTCTTTTGATACACTGTAAATGGCGATGGCAATACTAAATACTTACAAGACGATTGATGCTTTCCGTTACTGCTCTGGCCGCCGCTGCCAACTGGTTCTTAGCATTGGGTCTTGTCAAATCCTGATAAAAAAATACATGAAGATTTAGTTATATCTAAACAATAAAATGAAATCAAATTTTATAAAATTAAATTATTTATAGCTTACTTGGCTAACGGACTTGGCAGTTCCGAGCAGTTTAGACGAATTAACAGTCACGGTTTTCATGGAGCTGACCATTGTTGCTTGAGCTTCTCGATCCTGACAAAAGACAATTATATATTATAATATTAATATCTTTAATATGTTTTATGGATAATGTATTAATTAGCAGCACTAACCTCAGTCTGTCCTGCCATTTCCATTGATACCCCAAGTAGGCGGTTGAAGGCCTGGCCGAACTGGTGGCCGCTATCAGCTAAAGCTTCGGGCTGTTCTACAGCTTGTACAACGTCAGAAGACGCTGTGCTGAGACCGACAGCTGCTGCGTTCAACTCTGTTTGCAGTTCGCTGAAAAAAGTAAAAAAAATTGTAAAAACTAAATATTTAGATGAACTCCTCGATTCGAATAAAATCAATTAAAATCTGATAAGACTCCGCCAAGTAATCCTAATTCTTTAATGATAGGATTTTGAACTAACTCACCCATAACTCTTGTCAGATGGCGGGAACTCTCCCATGTTAAGAATGTTGAGTGTCTCGTTGATGTTTTCCATAGCCATGTCCAGTTCAGCATGTGATGGTACTGCTTCCATTGTTTGTTCTAAGTTCTATAACAAAAAAAAACTTAGTATTCAGTCACAAAAATATATTATGACTTTCTTCACTTATATTCTTAATAACTTTTCTTACGTGTGAAATGTCTTTAGCGATGGCCACAATCGAAGCAGTGTCTACGTCTTCCGATGTGTTCATGTATTGTTTAACAGTCTCTACTAGAGTCAGTGACGAGTTCAGCACTTGGCGACCAGATGAAATCACACTGTTTGGATAAAAATAAACATAATTTAAAATAAGGAATAATTCAAAATACCCTTATAATACTCATTGTTTGTATATCTATTCAATTTTTTTTCAAAAATATGCAAGTTTAGCTAGGTAAAATTAAGTGAACAGCAAATATAGGTTATGATAATATCTATATAGGTGAGGGTGTAATGTTATGTTATGTGTAAGTATTAAACTAATATTACAAGTGTTTAGTGAATCAAGTCAGTTCAGTTTAAGGCATACTTCCATAATTAATGTTTGTGCCGTAACAGTGAATCTTTACATGTTAAGGCCCACACCCTTGGGGAGTATTTTGTAAGTTTTTATTTAAAAAAAAAAACCAAAAAGAAAATCACATGTTATACAATAATGTGCGTTTTAATTTGTTTATGCATACAAATATAACAGGTTATAACATAAAATTATCCTCCCCAAATTTTTTTTCATGTTCATTTTGCGTTTCAATTTTCAGTTCATCTTGCGGCAAGCGCTGTGTTGCGTCTTGTAAGTTTGTCCAGTTTATCCTCTATACCCGTGCGCTTGTCGCATGCAGCTCGTCTATACCTTACGCGCATCGGTTAGGCAACCCACGAAGATTTGTAATTATCTTCTGTTCCGGACCCACTCTTTTTCATTGTAATTTTTTAATGTTCCTTTGAGAAGTACGACCTCAAGTTCTTTATCTTTGTGCTTGCGGTGCCACAATACTTTATATGTTCGATAATCATCGATAAATTCTAATGTTTTAACTTTGTTTTCCGCCATTTTGTATACTAAAATGCACGAAATGTTGTATACGAACCCACCGGGACGGATCAGCTTTCGCTAGAGGCATATACTGTTGTCGAACTAGTTTTAGTGTATGCACTATTGTATATAGCGCTATGGTTGCTCAGGCATGCGTTAGAGCAATACGCAAGATGAACAGGAAAGCACACTGGTACAAGGACGTACCTATATGTGTGCTGAATTTTATATAATCACGACGAAAGCTTCAAATGAAAGCTTGTGATAAGCAAATGGAGCAAGCAGTTATTTTGTTAATTTTTCCATAAAACAAAATCCTTCTAATTACAAAATATCGTTTATTTATAGTCTACACCGGAGACTATGGTTAGGAAATTGTCCTCTAATTAAAGAAATCCCTAAGCCGCGACGCCACATGCATCAAAGGGAAATGTAGCAGAAAAAAAGTTGACAAAAATTATTGCGTCTAGTAATAAGTTATATATAAAATGAGTTTTATCATCTTTCTATGATTTTTCAAATAAAAATGTATTTTAATTAAAGCCACAGAAAAAAGCAAACATTTTTGAGAATATCAAATGACTTAAATCATTTTACTCTATTCAAGTGTTGCCATTTACTATAAACATACTATTTTCGTATACACTTTGTAAGACTACCAACACTACTAACAAACACAAAATATTTTATATTAAATTATTATTAGTAATAACTATACTATCAGCAATAATAAAAATAAAAGTGATATAGTTGAAAATAAGTCTCTTACAAAGAACTTTCTACAATAATATATTATATCAATGATAGTAATATGTAACAACTCCATTTAATGTTATGGCAACACTAGCTAAAACAAAATGTCACTGCTTTTTTTTTACTTGCTTTACAGCTCTGGGTTCTGGCCCTTCTGAGAGTGTCACTGTATGAGACAAAGGCCCTGGAGCCATGCCAGAAATATACATTTATAGTATGCAAATATATAACAGACTTACAAAAAAAAACTCTCAATTATGTAGGTACATTATGTTGAGAATGTATTATAGTCTGCGCGGAAGTGCTAGTCATCGCCTTAGGTATGTGAGCGGCAGGACGGGGGAGGTAGACAAACATCAAGCTGACGCAGTCTGCCGTCAACCGCCGCGACGGTTACACGATTCAGTTGTACGCGACAGTTTTCTCCAAAAATACATGAGATAAATATTCTAAGATGGGTCCGCCAATACCACGACAAGTGAAAAATATTATTTATAATGTACATAGTTTTTTTTTAAGACGAAAGGGCGACAAGGAAAGTATGGAACACAAATATGATATGAACATTAATAAATTAGTAGCAGAGGCTACAGGAGTGTCTGCCCGCACCGTAATGCGAATTGTAGCTGAAGGAAATTCGAGTCTACAAACATCGGAAATTGCAAAATTTTCATCTCCGCGGAAACCTAAAGAAATAAAAAAGAGAATCCACATTGATGATTTTGACATGGGAGTTATACGAAGAAAAATTCATCAATTTTATACTATTGATAAGAAAATCCCAAGTATTCGTAAGCTGCTTGCAGCTTTAAAAGAAGATGGCATTGTGAACTGCGGTTGTACATATTTACGACAGCTTTTACATAAGATGGGATATTTATTTAAAAAATGTAAATCTAAGAGACACATTTTAATTGAGAGGCCCAGTATTGCTGAATGGAGAGTAAGGTATTTAAGAGCTATACGGAAACATAGAAATGAAAACCGAAACATATATTATCTGGACGAAACCTACGTTAATAGTAGCCACACCTCCAATATGTGTTGGCAATCCGAATCTGAGCCTGGAATTTATGCTGATATTGGCAAAGGGCGTCGTTTGGTGATTGTTCATGGTGGTAGCCGAGACGGATTAGTTAACGGTGCCTTAACAATTTACAAATCTGATTCGAAATGTGGGGATTACCATGGCGATATGAATGCCACAAATTTTCATAACTGGGTTAGTCACAAATTGAAAAATAAACTAGCTCCTAATTCAGTGGTCGTAATGGACAATGCCTCCTACCATTGTGTACAGGTAAAGAAAAAACCTACTATGTCAAGTTTAAAAAGGGACATGCAAGATTGGTTACGCGAACGTAATGTTGAATTTACACCAGATAATACAAAAGCCGAACTCTTTCATTTGATAAATAGAACTCAGTCCGAAAAAATTTACGTCATTGACGAAATATTAAAGGCTTCAGGTCATATCGTTCTTCGCCTTCCGCCATATCATCCTGATCTCAACCCCATTGAGCTTGTGTGGGCCGATATAAAGAACAATTTAGCTACAAATTATATAAATACTTCATTGGACGACAAAATTCCAATCATCACAAAATTGTTTTCTGAATTCACTCCAGGAAGATGGCAAAAGTGTGACGACCACGTACAGAAAATCGAGAACCAATATTGGGACCACGATATGAGGTTTGACAATGTAATAGACGAGTTGATCATAAACCTGGGAAACGATTCAGATTCTGAGGAGGATATGGAAATTGAAGACATGTATAGTAATGAAGAAGAAGAAGATATGGATTAATTTTGTGCTATAACGGATTGTTTTTTTTTTATAGGATAAGGGTGACAAACGAGCACACAGTGCACCTGATGGTAAGTGCTTGCTGCGGCCCATAGACATCTACATCTATCCTCTATTACAAATCAAAATGTAGATGCGTTGTCACCCGTGATGACTAAGATGGATTGAGGTTTTAATAACCTCCTTATTTGTGATACAAACCCACAGGTCGAACATAGAATTCTCGCAGTATGGTAATTTAGGTTTAATTTGGGTGGTGAGTTTATAAAACTGTTTTGTATCATAAATAATAAAATGTAATTAACGCTTTTAAATACGTGTTAATTTTTGTTTAGCCCGGAAAATATAAATAATTTACCCATTATATTAATTAAGACAGTTTCTAACATGGTTATCCGGAGATTTATCTGTCCTCAAATATCTCGTGTGCGTCTTGTCAATCGCGTCCTCCCCCGTCTCGCCGCTTGCATACCTAAGGCGATGACTAGCACTTCCGCGCAGACTATAAGCTAACATCAAACAACCACAGGATGCACGACTTTTTCCAAGTGACATAAGACATAACCCTAAAAGGTTCAAATCTAAATATCTTTTTTTGACGCCTTCTCAGGACAACATTCTTTGACAGAGTTATTAAGGGACTGACGCTTAACATTTTAAGATATTTTTGATATATAGACGTTATCATTCCTTCTCAACTAATTTTATGTATGAAAGTCTGCCATTGTTCTTTGTAATAAGCAGTCAAATTCCATACATTATGACACTTTAGTTCGCATATATCCGTGGAACTTTACGTGGTAGAGCCATGCTGCAGCTATATTATGGTTGTAGTACGAATGGGTCTGCTCGAACGGGAAAGGACCACGCTGTCATAGAATACCAGCGTAAAATAGCAGCTTATTGCTGCTGTGTTTCGTATGGTGAATGTAGAGAACCAAAGACCCTTTTTACTGGAAAGGAGGCAACCTATCTTAGTCCTCACGGGTGACAACGCATCTGCATTTTGATTCGTAATCGAAGATAGATGAAGATGTCTATGGGTCACAGCAACCACTTACCATCAGGTAGACTGTGTGCTCGTTTGTCACCCTTATCCTACAAAAAAAAACTTCAATCATGAAACATATTTGAGTTTAAGTGTGAGACTATATATAAACTAGTTCTAGTAATAAGGGCGCATGTATTAGCGTGTGCGTGTGCGTACGCGTGCGCGTGAGTGAGTGCGAGTGAGGACTGACCGCATCTGCTTGTGCGGGTGGCGGTGCGCGTGCGCCACGGCGGCGCGCAGCGGCGGCGTGTAGTCGCGCAGCGCGGCCGCCAGCTCGGCGGCGGCGCGCCCGCAGCCGGCCGCCTCGCGCACGCGCGCCGCGCCCGCCAGCGCCGCCGTCGCCGCGCCCGCCGCGCGCCCCGCGCCCTGCAGCCGCGATGCCGCCCACTCGCTCTGCACCACACACACACAAACACCAATACACTACATGCTACCATCACGGCTAACAATCTCCCGCTCACCAAATGTCGCTATTTAGGACTGAGGTAAAGTTTTTTATTACACATTATCATTTAATATAAAACTTAGTTACAGATAAATGTTTTTCAGTTTCTAAAGTATTATACTGATACCTACTCAAAACCATTCCTCAAATTTTCACCATTTTAACATTTTCTTTTTTTTATACTTTCGGATTATCCTTAACTTGGTTTATTAATTTCTTATCTAAATAATATAAAATGAAACTAAAATCACAGAAAGAAACATTTTCCTAACTATTTAACTTTGTCAAATATTAATAATATTGAAATTTGTCAAATATTAAATTTTTATCTATAAAATTGCCGTTTTTTATGAAATAAGTTAACGTAAAATGCAGCCAATGAAAGAATCGCGATCCTGACAGATCGTAATCGAACAGACGACATAACATAGCATAAAAAATAAAAAATTTACCATACTAACGGATCATTATATCTTTAAAAATATATCATTATGTCAATTTAAAATAAACGTTATATATTTGCTCTAAATTTAATATTAAATAAATAAGAAAACAATGATTTTTAAAACCATACTACGGTGTTACAAGGATAGATCAATTATTTACTTTGTACATGCCAAAAATATCAAGTAACGTAATGTTATTTGTCATTATAGTATACAATAATGCGATTAATAATAAAAAAATGTAGAAATAAAGTTAATAATATTATAAAACGGCGCCCAAAATAAACGCGCGAAGGCAAGTAGCGTAATATGAGTAACTATTTTATGTATATTTCAAAAAACAAAAGTAAAAGTTTTATCTATTTTCTATTTATGGTTGTTTAGGCCAAAAATGGTCATTTTGAGACGGCAACCAATCACGTTCGACTTAGCATCGCCCAATGGTACCAGGTGTCACGCGTGTCGCGGGGAGGGGGCAGCGGAAGGCAGCTTCCCAGCGTTTGGCGCTGGCGGGCGAGACAGTGGCTCGAGGGCAGCGGTGCGGTTAATTAGCGTATCTCTGTGACCGCTGCAGAAGTTTTTTCGCGCGACCGGTTTTGGGTTATGGTCTAGATTTTTGGAATTTGTGCGCGTTACTACGCTACGTAATTGTGGTTTCGTGAAAACCGCCTTGGTTTAGTTTGTCTAGATTTTAAGTTCGTGACAAGAGGCTTGTATTGTATTTGACTGATTAAAGTAATTTCGTTGGAAAGTAATTGCGTGCCGCTTGTGCCGCGCTGCTGCCACGACTTTACTCATGTTCCATAAATTACTCGAATTTTTAAAGTATGATGAAAACATACCGCTAATCAATAAACAAATGACGAATTTTGAAAAAACAATTCCATGTTTTTAAAATAAAATGAATTTGAGATTATAATTCTTAACCAAACAAATATTTTTTTTAATTGAAATGGTCGGTACTGCAAAACGGCAATTTCATAGTTTTTCACCTGAAGGTGAGGAGATAAAGAGCCCTCTTTACCTGTGTTTACGCACATACTCGTGCACTATATTCCTGTCCCGCACTTGGCTAGTCTACGTTTAGGTCGGCCGCCGTAGCCGAAAATCGGTCTCAAAGACATTATTTTAATTCTAAATATGAATACTTATAATAAAGATGTACATCAGCATAGATCACTTTAAATGTAAAAAAAAAAAACGAATAGCTCTGAAGTTAAAATCTCAAATATTAAAAAAATTGTCATGTTTTCAAATATTGATTTTTCATTAAAAAGACTAAGCTTTCCCAATAAACAATTCAATTCAAAATCACATCTAAACAATACTTCCAAATATAATAAAACTTACCGTTTGTCCAGGCAAAGGTTTGAGATCGAAAGCTCTCGCAGCTTCCTCCATTTCGTCAAGTTCAGCTTGTAGACTGCGGATGATCTCTGCTGCAGCATCCAGTTCTAATCCTTTGCAGGAGATTCGAGCGCGGTTGACAGCCGATCTACGAAGTATTTCTTATTATATAAACTTAAAAAATATCGGTGATTAGCTTACGAGATATCACTTTCTATTCATAGTCTTGTGTTTAACTTACATATCACACTTCATATGCCTTCAGAGCACTAATATGTATCAATTTGGTGATGCATTAAAGGTACATAAGCTTCGGTCAACAATGTACAACTAGATAATGGGTAATAAACAAAATCAAAGTAAAAAAACTATAGAGAAAATAGTTTTGAAATTAAAATTTTATAACTATTTTCTCTATAGTTTTTACTATATGGCAGTGGTTAAAACACCTTATTAACAATAAAACCTCACAGAGTATTTGCGAGGCCCTATTTATTGTACCACATTATAGCCTCAGGCTGGTTCGTTATATAGTTAGTCGTAAATTGTTGATCGAAGTTCAGTTTCGTTCAAAACTAACGTAAATCAAAAGTAATGGAATTTGAGTCTATTTTTTTTCCTTTAAAGAAATAAATTTTGTGGCCGCACCTGAGATCAGCACAGCTGGTGGTGAACTGATGAGTAGTGTCGGCCAGTTGCTTGGCGGTGGGGCCATCCGATACCGTTGGTAACACGCTTCTAGCCGCTTGGATAACGTGGCTGCTGGGCTGTTGATTGAAATAAAAATTAACTTTCACGTAGTAAAATAAAATAAAATACTTCTGTGATCCTCTATAAAGGAATCTCAGATTACACGCAAGTCCTAGGACTTGCGTGTAGTATAACGTTTCGAATGTTTTTTCGATGATCAGGCTTACAAATTATTTTACCTGTAGGAAAGTTTCGGAAGCGGATATGAGGTCGAGTTGGGCAGCAGCTTCTCCTGGCCTCGCGGCAGATACCTTGGCCGCTTCCACCACTCGGGGAATCTGTTCGTTCAGTGATCGGCACTCTTGCAGTAATGACTCCTGTGAAAAATTACTTATGATAAAAATATCAATTGAAAAATGTAAGTCTATTAAAAAAAAAACAGACTAGATATTGATATTATATGTTTACTCGTATACAACACTAGAATGTAACAAATTTTTACGGGTTTTATCGCACTTTTTTTTATAGGATAAGGGTGACAAACGAGCACACAGTCCACCCGATGGCAAGCGGCTGCTGCAGCCCATAGACATCTATATCAATCCTCTATTACAAATCAAAATGTAGATGCGTTGTCACCCGTGAGGACTAAGATGGAATGATATATATAATATTATTATATTCCTGTCGTCACGGGGGTCTGAGATTTTTAATACCCAATTATGAAGATTTTAATATGATGATAAAAAGAACTTAAGTATGGTAAAAAGCAAATATGGATGTCCATTCGTTTATTAGTGAAATTTATTTATGAACTAATAAAAACAATCAACGAAATCGGTACAAATTTGACACTTATTATGTTTAAACAACCAAACAAACCTGCGAGTATTTATTTGTATTGTGCTGGGTGGTGTTGTGCGCAGAGGCGATGAGTTGCGTGGCGCTCGAAGCGGCTAGCCTAGCGCTTTCCTGCAACATTAAAAAAATTACTTCTATAAAATGTTACAATTTATCAGAACTATTACGGTTGTAATATTATCGTTTTTAATTTAACAAAATAATTTTAGAATGTTGCCTTTTTTAATTACCTGAAGTCGCGCAATCTGCGAGCCGACGATGTCTTGACCTTGCGCGTAATCCACTGTAATATAGCGCACTTCTTCCGCCGCTCTGCGCAACGCTTCTTGCTTGTCTCTGTCCTGTAATAAATATGATTTACTTAACGGTTAACGTAATAATGAGATCTAACGGTTTTGGATAAACAAACCATCAAGGCACAATTTCGACATAATCATACTTCTATCACACTTACAAAATAATAATTTGTGAATAATTGTTTAGATGAAATAAAAGCAACTTATGGTTACACCGTTACAGAATATTAAAGACTTTTGCTGAACATAGGCCACCCCCATAGACTGCCTCATAGCATAGGCGGGATATTTAGCATAATTGCAACACTTGGCAACCGCAGTTTTTTATTTTTAGTCGTTATTAGGAAGACGCCGCTGTCCATCTCCTGATTTGATTCCCTCTATCGCCTCTTACGACACCCACGGGATGATATTTTTTTTTATGGGATACGGGTGACAAACGAGCACACAGTCCATAGTTGCTGCGGCCCATAGACATCTACATCTATCCTCTATTACAAATCAAAATGTAGATGCGTTGTCACCCGTGAGGACTAAGATGGAATGCCTCATTTCCAGTAAAAAGGGCCTCCGGCCACCTGCACTCACCAAGCGAAACGCAGAGGTAAACCTCTACTTTACGCTGGTTTTCTGTGAGGTCGTGGTACCACCCCGGTTCGAACAGGCCCATCCGTGCGACAGCAAAAGCTGCCGCGTGGCTCTACCACTGTTAAAAGCTAGGGGGTACTACCCCACACGGTTTGATTTTATAATATATTATTTACAGCTAAAAGTGTTTGTGTATTTTCGTTTGATTTTAAGTATTGTTCTATAACACAAAATACGACAGTACGTACGAATGTGTTCAAAGCATTCCTGTGAACATCACTAACAGAGACAATGTTACCTGAGGAGCGGATGCACACAGCCTAGCAGCTTCGACCATACGTGCAGTAGCATCGGCTAGGAGTTTAGCAGCTGCCAGTAATTTACGCTGTGAGTCCGAAGGTTGCGTTTCTGCTTCAGTCTATAGAAAACATAAAACAAGATAATGATAGTATTAGTTCGCATATTTGAAAAATAGCGGGATTTGTGATGATTATGCCAATAATCTATACAAATCTATACTTAATAATATAATAAAGCGGAAGAGTTTGTTTGTTTTTTTGTTTGTTTAAACGCGCTAATTACTGGAACTACCAGTCCGATTTGAAAAATTATTTTTGTATATTATAGCCAGATTCATGTGAAATAGTATAGGCTATTTAGCATTAAGCTATATTACTCAACTAGCCTTAAATATGGATATTTGTTAAGCAAGTCAGAAGAAAAAGCTCTCCCGAAATGATTTATCCGCGTACGCTGGTGTTATGGTTAGGGATACGTAAATACAATTTTCTAGAAAAATATAGATCTTTACTCCGTCTAAAAAAAGTCCGCGATACCATATGTCTATTTCTTATACATAAGACATAATTAGGTATTTAGTGACAAAAAAATATTGAAAATTACAAAAGTGATTTAGAAGCGTTATTATTAGGCATGGCCTATTTATCCTTACGAACGAAAGTTACTTCATCATCAAGACAATTTTATGAAAATAAACTTTGTTCTTTATTTCATGTTATTTGGACGCATAGTTTTAAGAGATAATGTAAAATTAAAATAATGCAATAAAATTAATTAAAACTTAATTGAGTACTTTTATGACGATGATTAGTTACACCTTTATTTCTGAACTCTTTCATTTCACGTTGCTATGGTATTTTGAAAATTTTATTGATTAATAAGTATAAGAGTTTGATAGCAAATTTATCAAGAATCATTTCATGCCTACACACTTTTCATGAATCGTGTACGGTTTTCTTTAAAACTGGAAAAAACCGCGCTTCTGGACACTTTCTGGGACGTGAGAGGAAGAAGGGGGAGGGGGGGAAGGACGCTCAACCGGTAGGAAGAGGGAAAGTGGATAAAAATTAACTTCGCTCTACATCATACATAATGCCGACAGATAAAAGTACTAATATAATATTTAATTGCAATTATAAAATGCTTGAACTAGGTGTCATGTCATGTCGCGCACCTCGGACACGTGATGACGCGGGTGAAACCGCGGGGCACAGCTAGTATGTAAATAAAGTTAAAGTGTCTGTTTGTATTCTCAACAGATTTGTACCGAATGCATATGACAGTATAAACGGTACTTATAACAACAAAAATAATTTTGAAACTTTTTGTATGTCTGTCTGTTTGTTCCGCCTAATCTCCGAAATGACTGAACCGATTTTGAAGAAACTTCCACTGGCAGATAGCTGATGTTATAAGGGTTGACATAGGCTAGTTTTATTTTAGAAAAAGAATTAGGGTTCCATGGAAAATTTTATAACCCATGAAATCCAATAAATTCCACGCGGACGAAGTCGCGAGGAATTGCATGTCTTACCAGGTCGTCACTGTCTCGTCAGTGTAGAGAACCGGAGACCCTTTTTACTGGAAACAAAGCATTTCATCTTAACATCAGCATCTTATCATCTTGATAAGCGGGCTACATCCGCTTAACATCAGGTGGACTGTGTGCCCGTTTTCTGTGTGACGTTGTCACCCTTTTTCTATAAAAATAAATAAAAATAAAGCGGATACTAGGTTTATTTTCTCTAAATAACGGTTTTTCACTGCCTCGTTGGTCTAGTAGTCTTATCATGTGGTCCCGGGTTTGAATCCAGGGTTGGACTGAAATTAGGTTTTCCTGTGAATAAATTCTTAGTACTTTCCGGTGCCAGGAAGTTGCCGTCCACCTCTAAATCTCAGAAAGCACGTAAAGCCGATGACCCTGCGCTTGATTTTTCTCCGGTCGAGTCGGGTTGGCGTCTCGTCGGACTACGAGAGTGAAGGGGAATAGAGTGTGTACTTATATTTACTTACAGTCGTGAGTTATGAGCAATAAGTACGTGTGTCGTGAACCTTATATAGTCGTATCACAGTATAAAGACCTTACAGCTGGGAAACGAATGTACTTGTGCAGAGAAACGGTGGGGGTCTGCGGGGTAGGGGTGGACCGACCGTGTTTACCGAGTCTGATAGACAATTATTTTATTTTATTAATTTTAATTTTAATTGACGCTTTCGAAAAATATAATATCTAGAATAGTGAATTAATGTTATAGTTACATGAGTTACTAAGTAAAATTGAATTCAAATGTTTGTTTGCTTGTGTTGTGAATGCTTGTTTTCCTCATTTTTTGTTGATAAAATTGTTTATCCGAATGCGAATATATTACATAATTAAATTTAATAATTGAAAACTGAAAACATATTTAAAAAGAAAATGTCACGAAAATATTTACCAGTGAATATAATATTCAAAATAATTTTATTTCCAATTTCCCTAGCTTACACGCTGGCCGCGAGAACCTACGCGGGCGACGGCATCGCCAGACATCAAAAGGCGTTTCAAAAATGTAAGGTCTTAAGACTGTAGTCATATCTACCTAAAGGAAATGATAAGTCACACAACGGCTTGGCCCAAAGCGTCGGTGACGTGCGCGCGTGTGAGTGCGCACGGGTGCGTGTGTGAGTGCGCACGGGTGCGTGTGCACACGTGTGCGTGTGTGAGTGCACACGTGTGCGTGTGTGAGTGCACACGTGTGCGTGCACGTAGGTACCTTGATGTCGGCGATGAGGCGCGCGGTGGCCTGGCCCAGCAGGCGCGCGCGGCGCACCATCTCGGGCGCGTCGTGCGCGTCCGTGACGCGCTCGCTCGCCGTCACCACGCTCTCCACGTGTGTGTGCGTGCAGGTATACGTACCTTGATGTCGGCGATGAGGCGCGCGGTGGCCTGGCCCAGCAGGCGCGCGCGGCGCACCATCTCGGGCGCGTCGTGCGCGTCCGTGACGCGCTCGCTCGCCGTCACCACGCTCTCCACGTGTGTGTGCGTGCAGGTAGGTACCTTGATGTCGGCGATGAGGCGCGCGGTGGCCTGGCCCAGCAGGCGCGCGCGGCGCACCATCTCGGGCGCGTCGTGCGCGTCCGTGACGCGCTCGCTCGCCGTCACCACGCTCTCCACACTGCGCTCCATTACTGTCGGTTGCGCGCTGCGACGCTCTGCACGACCATTTCACATTATTTTTATAACTGTTCATTATTTGCCTTCCGCAAACTATCTATAAGAGGCACCAAAAGAATAACAGTGATGTGGCCTGTGGCGACAATGCTACATCTTATTATTTGTTATTTCTTAATTTCTAATCAATTCATTTATTCATTCATTCAACCTTAAAATGAGGATGGGCGATAAAACACTTCTTACTTTAAAACAAATTTTATAAACCTAGAAGAGGCCTTGTTTAATAATATCAGTCTTGTAAATCATACTTGTCAAACCGTATTAATAATGCTATGTTATTTATAAACTGATAACAATATGTAAAATATTGAAATCCTTTATATCCTTAGACACTATTTTTATTAATTTCATATTAATATACTTGTTATATTGGGAACACCAACAGCATTGATACATTTAATTTATTACAAAATTTAAAATCGACTCAATATATGTTTTTTTTTGTGAATTTCCCTAACCATGCATGTGTGACACAAAACCGCTAATTGATTTACAACTTCAATTTGTCCCTCGTAGAGTGCCACTCATATAGTATTTGCTTATCGCGGTAGGTAACTACGAGTGATCGATAACTGACATGACACATCTTAACTAATATCTACACATTATATGATTTTGTTGATGGAACAAACCTAAGTGACAGTGAGCCAGCAGTCTCTCCAACTCCTCGGAGACTCTCTGAGCAGCAACAGCGAGCTGCTCCACCCCAGGACCTGCAGCTTCTGGCGCCTGCCTGCTGGCTTCCACTAAACGCTCGACGGCCGCGCCTACTTGACGTGCCGCGCTAGTTAATTGCTCACGGCACGCTGGGTTGTGTAAAGTTGGTGCTACCACCTATGAAACAAGCCATCATAAATAATATTTAAAAATCAGTGCCAATATATTTTATTTAAAATTGGCATTTAAAAAGCACTTTTTGAAAATCAGGAAAGCTACACCATCATTTCTACAAGTCCCTACTGCGGATGACCTTGTGAAAAAAGCGCCAAGAAACTCAAGTCAAGAAGTCTAGTTTTCAATGTAAAGTTAACTTCGTAAAATGAAAATAAAAAATATAATATGTTAAAATAATAATAACATGCGATAAATATTAATAACTTAATTGTATCAATCAATATCCAATATACAAATGATTGGCCAAACACAATCTCATCGATAAACTCTATTGCCTCCGTAATAGAGGGGGAGAGGGGGGGGGGGGTCAGAAGTTTCCAAAAACAGCTTTAGGCTGATTGAAAAGACACTATAAAATTACAATATTGGACAGTTGTTCGTTTACTAGTAAAATTATTCCAACGCTAGTTTGCAACCTCATATTACGTTAAAGTTTCTATAGTTACCTTAGCGCAGGCGACTAGTTGACTCGTGGCAAGTGCACAGTGTGTAGCAGCCGCAATAATGTTGTTCTGCAGCGCCTGATCGTCCTTGCATTGAGCCGCAACGTTCTTGGCTTTCAGTACCAGCGCGGCGGTGGTATTTGCCACCGCTTTAGCAAGCGACAGCAGGATGTCCTGGACAAAAAGCAATCTGATCTTTGTATTCCTCAAAAAAAAAATATGGGAGCAATACTAAAATTATGTATCACTTAATATAGGCATATTCAGAGAAAAGGTTTGTTATAAAACAAAGAGAAAAGATGAAATTGATACACTGTAGTTTTTGGAATTTATGCGCCTACCATTTTTTCATAGCAATAAACACATTGACAACTTTTACACTATAGGTCTTTTAACAATGTAAGTATAACGTTTCCATATAAATATTATTTACAAAATTACACTTTTTAAGAATATGTTAAAAAATAGAAATTAACAAATAATAACAATTCCCGTTTTACATAATTCCATTACATTCAATGATTCATTGATAACAAATAAAATCCTTTTTTTTATGACATGCAAAATATTTTGTTGATATAATTTGTAATTTTAAGAACATTTGAAACACAGTCCGACAAATAGTTAACCTGATATTAGTGGCTAAAACAGTCCATAGACGTTCGGAAAGAAATTTAAGCAAGGCGACAAAGCATAATCAATGATGACGATCAGATAAAAAGCGTCACAGCGTATAAAGTGGAAACTATTCATCATACATCATCAAGACCTCGGCTAACAGAAATTTGGTAATATAATATATATTATTCAGTCAACATATTAATTTTATGGCAAAACGATATACCATTTTTAACAGACTTCAAAAAGGATGAGGTTCTCAATTCGAGTGTATGTTCTTTTTAATGACATCTAGAAATGTTATTGAAAAGAACATACGCAATATCTTCAAGGGTGGTCCCATATAAATTTAGAGAAAAATTCCACCCCTAATAGCAGCAAATAAATAATTACTTTTTTAACAAATTGAAGTCGGTTTTTAGTTTTTGTTAAAAGTTATAATCATTGCTTTAAAACTTAAATGTTTCGAATAATCTATATCACTTTATAGAATAAGAGAGAATAATCTATATCCATTTCTACATACGAAATATCAGACAATAGTAGAAGAATCAGACCTTTAGTATGTTGTACATCATTACAAACGTAAGAATTGAGTCAGTGAAATAAAGAATTGTTTTAGTAACGAAGAAATATAGTCTGTTTCCTTACAATGACGTTTATTTTGATTAATATTTTAGTCCCGTCACCATTTTAAAAAAATATAATAAATAATACGTAACTAACCGCCCCATTGTGACTAATTATTATATTATTATTTTTAAAAACTAATTATTGATGAAAAAAATATATTTATTTATTCTGTTTTCTTGAAAAAGGGAAATTATTATTATTACCAAATTGTGGAATTGTGTTAAACATACAAAGTTACGTACGATGGATGTGTTATAAAGAACTTTGTATTTAGACGGGATTGGCCATAATGCAAACCATGTTAACTGAATAATTCATAATAGAATAATTAGAATGATATTTACAATGACCAGGGGTAGATTAGTATTTTACTGTAGTCGAGATTATCTTTGTCACTACATTTACTTTTACGGACAGTTAGTCGTAAATAAAAATCCAAGTTGTGTTGAAAAGCAAATGTATTAACAAAAATAATAAAAGCAGTGGTTGCTTAATTATAATTATCTCTAAATAGTTCTTAATCATTGTGTAAATAGGGCCAAATTAGTTGTATCATAAAAAACAAAGATAACATTAATTATTGAATATAGATACAACACAGTAGAAAGCTTTTGTGTTTTTTATAATAAATAACTATAAAAAAAATCAAATAAATTTGTAAAATATAATTTGTGATGTTTTATGGGAAATAATAAATATATAATGAATATGTTTAATTTAAATTTTTGTAAGTATTATTAAGTTAGTCATTTAAAAATACTGTTTAATATATCCATTGCAATAAATATTGCTTTCTTTTATCTTATTATTATGTTATACACAATGAGATGAGACGTTTGTATATTATAAGTTTTTTTTACTTTAAAAATAACTAAAAAACAAAAATCGTGCATAAAATCAGCAAGTAATATTATAAGGATACAAAATAATTTAATTTTAAATGATGTGAATCATAGTAGAATGTTAGTTAAGATATAATTACAATAATGATAATGACTGTAACTGTGAGTTTATTTTACAATAGAAAATAAATTCAAGCAAAATAATACAGTACAAAAATATGCAAAACTAAAAGCTATAAATGAAATGTAAATCTGTTTGAGATTCTTATAGGAACATTTGTCATGATGAGAAAAATAAACAGACACATTACAATATGATGTTAATATTTTTTTACGTGTCTGAAGCAAATCTAAAATCTGACATTTAAACTTATACTATACAGATTCATCTGAGATGGACGGAGTTGTAGTAACATAACATGAACAAAACAAAAATCACACTATTTTTATATCACTGGTCATGATAATATAAGCTGCCACTATTATAAAATACAAAACTAGGGCTATCCTAGGGTAACAATTAACAATATACATAAATGTAATATTAATATAATGCTAAAAACGAGTACGATTACGTGCAGTCTTTTTCCTTTCAAGTTTGTCTTTAGATATTTTTAGTAAAAATTGTAGTTTATTGCGGTGGAAAGTAGGAAAATTAAGACAAAGAAAGCAAAGGAAAATGACAGTGTTACAAAAATCTTGAGTGAAATAAATTCCTCTAAAACTAATAAATACCTTCCAATAAACAAGATATATAGTAATATTTTTTTAGCATTTTAAGTATGTGATGTTATAAGTAATAATAATATCAGCTCCTTCGGACCTCTTTCAATGGAATATATTCAATATCACCAACATATATTTAAAATCCTCAGTATATGCTGTGTATTGACAGATTTAGACTAGATTGGACTACATTAAATCTGTATTGGCAAGCGAAGAAAACAAAGACAGACAAATGCGACAAATACTTATAAATTCAATATATGGCAAGTTTAGGCTTTTTTAAACTAAATTGTAAAAATCTGTCAATTCCATTATCACTTCCTATAATTGGAATAAGCTTTCAAGTCTATACCTTATCATCCAGTCTTAAAAAACAATCTTTTATTATATCTGAATCTTTACGTAGGTTCTGAATTTTACTTAGAGTATTTATAATAGTTTGCTTATAAATACTGTAAGGAATTTTATCATTTTTATTCAGAAACGTCTGCAATTTTTAGAACTTATAACAGTTAAGTGATGTGAAGTGAACTTCAATTCAGTAGTCAAAATTTCATCATTCAATAAAAAATTGAGAAATTCATTGTAGTGTATAAAATTCATAACATTTCGAAACATTTTAAGTCAGCTGTGGCGTTTCCAGTATGACATTCGTCATTTGGTAAGAATTTTTGAATTAATAATAGTAACAGTACAAAAAGGATGGACATTACACAGAGTATATTCAACCAATTTTCTTTCCATATCTTACTCAGCTCTATCTCTAAACAAACACAATTCGGACAGCATTTCTCATCAGTTCGAGGACAACGCTGTTTACAAAATTGACAGACACCTCTCACCGATTCCGCCTCGGTCTCTGAAAAGGTTGGATTGTAAAATATGCGAATTTCGGTCTTTTCTTTTGAAGGTGCTTTTGTATTGTTTAACTCTACAGTGGTTGTTCTGTTACGCGTTTCACTCGTATAGTATTTTTCACTACGTTTTATAAATGTTTCTAAGTCGTCACGTTTGAGGTTCAGTTCCTTTTTATTGAAACTAGCTTCTACTACCTCTTTGAACGTTTCTTTTGTTGTGAGAGTGCGGTTGTATTTGTCAATGTTAAGAATTTTCATATTTACAGAAGCTGCCATATTTTCGTCTGATCCTGTTTTTGATAAGTTGTTTTGAATAGTGAGATATTCGTTTCGTTTGGAATTATTGTATTTATTGAATTTGTCATTAATATCATTTTTGTCATTATTGTCTGATAGGAAGAAACGCTCGCGCAGTATTTGATTCTTAATCCGTCTGTTAATGTCAATATTAGCGTAGTCATGCTTAGTTTTGTCGCTATTAAAGTTCACATTAACATAATCATGGTTACAGAAATCCTTTTTCAGATTAGATACCTTTTCTGACGTAGTTTTCGGTGGCAGTTTTAAATCTGCTGAGCTTGAGCTCTTATCGTCCTTGTGATCTAAATACTCCTCGCAATTTTCCAAAATTGATTCAAAATCGCTTTTGTTACTAGAAGTACCAGTTGATGACGTCTTACTTTCATTAATTTCGTTAAGTGTCACAGGTCGACCTGGTTTGAAGTATGTATTACAATACTCCAAGCTTCTGTAATAGTCACTGTCTGATTCTTCTTGTATGACATCAAGTATCCTCCCCCATGTGTTACTTGTGTCTATTTCCTCATATATACCTTCATCCTCTATGTGTTTAACTCTATTGCAGTTTTCATCATCTATTAGGATAGTTTCGAAATCAGATCCATATTCTTGTTTGTTCTTATTACCAAAGAAAGCTTTATAGAAATTGTCGTAACAGTAGTTAAGTTTTCTGTACAAAAAAGACTTTTTGTTGTTTTTACTTTTCTGCGAATTGTCCGTGTTAGTGATAATTACCTGGGTCTCCTTGTCCTCTTCGGTTTCTTCGCCGATCGTGTAAAGGACGGAAGTAGACGCTTCTCCGACACGAGAGGCAGCATTGAGGAGATTCTGGCGAGGCTGCAAACAAAAGAAAGTTTATTTTCTTAAATTAGGGACTTTTATATTTATTACACACTTTTGTATTAAAGGTACAAATGTCGACTTAATGCCTCCTAGCGTTTATGTAAGACAGACATAATATGGTCCTTCAAACCGGATACAATATAGATGTATTACTTTTACTTGAACATACCTCCTTGGTTTCTGGTTCAGCGGCCTTCAACAAATCGCTGAAAGCGCTACATAATTTCCTAGTAGCGTCCAAGAGTTTATCTCCATCATCAGTGTCATCCATGAGTGCGGCAATCGTTTGTACGCCTGTAATAAACACATATTTGGATTACATTGATTGTGTATTTTACTAACTCATCATGATTTAACACAAACTTTTGGTAAAAATTTATTATTTATAAATCTTTAATTACCTTTCGTCATTTCCGGGAGGTTAGTAGTAATTGTGGTGATTGCAGCTCCCACTGCTGTGTGATCCACTTCTTCGGTTGGTCCTACAAAAATATTACATTTTAAATATTTATTGATCATGACGATTGAAGAAGGTTAAAAATATACTACAAGAAAATGTAATTATTTATAATAATATATAAAATACATTGAAGTTTTACACACCTGACGTAAGTGTGACGACCTGTGCAGTGGCGGCATTCATCGCAGCTATTTGAGAAGTCACTACTTGCTTGCTGGTGTCCATGGTCACTTGTTTCCATTTAACTGAGGCCGCATCTTGTCCAAGAGCTGGTAGTGAAGCCTGTTAATTAAAAATATAGCAATAATAAAAGCTCTTTACAGATACTAATTATAATACACGTACCGTTATAGCTAAAATTCTTTAAAATACAAAAAATTATAAACTAACCCTGCTCAAACTCTCCTCGGTCTGACGGATGATCTCCCGGCCGCCGGTGATGGTAGACAGCAGTGCGCGCTGCGGCTCCGACAATATCGACGTCACGCGCGTTTGTTGCACCTGCGACGCCTGCAATTTTGTTATTGAAATTTTTAGAGAAAAATAAACAATCACTAAGTTTATTTTTACAAATTAAAAGTTTAATATCTAGATATATCGCCGTGTAGTGGCAGCGTAAGAGAATTCACTACTCCATATTATACCGTGTGTGTGTCATAATATGCAACAGAAAGAAATTAAACTAGAGACGGGCAGAAGCGTTTCAACTATGGAAATAAAAGCAATAGACTTTAAATAGGCTTTTTTTATAGAAGAGGGGGCAAACGAGCATGCGACTCACCTGAAGGTAAGTGACTACCGCCGCCCATGAACAACCGCAACTACCAGGGGAATTGCAGATGTGTTGCCGGCCTTTTAGAAAGGTGTAAGCTCTTTTCTTGAAGGTTCCTAAGTCGTATCGATCCGGAAAATTCGCTGGTGGTAATTGAGAATTATGAGCATAGAGCTAAATATATTATATCTGTTTTCGGTAACAGTTTTACGAGTACTTGTAGCTTTAGCTTCATCAGTCTACCGTCATTGAAAGCCGAGAATATGGTTATAAAAATGGACTGATCATTACGTATCAAGGTCTTCGATTGGTACTACCTACAGTTTGCCCCCATACCTACTGAAAAAGGGCTAGAAGAACCGTCAATTTTTATTGATAATTTTGAAAAAATTATTTATTTCATTTATATATTTCTTCAACAGTTTTCTATCAGTAGACGAAGTAGTTAGTCTTTATTGTATATCGATGTTCATACTTTTCTTTGAATATTAATGACTTTATTACAAGAATCAATGCGATATTTAATGTATAAAATTAATTTAATCGTAAAAACGCTGTCACAGTTTCTCGTGTGCAATTTAATTTATACATGTTCAATTAACTTAGTCATTTAAATATAACGACTTAATCAATACATTTTTTTCCCTAGGGATTGCTTTTATAACATTAGTGGGGAAATGAAATAAATAGTGTTGTGTTTAATTGCTAAATCACATCTGCATAATGAACACTAAATATTTTACGAAAAATACCTACACAACCCAATTCGTACACTGCATAGTTCCATGAACAGTTATGAAGGCGTGAAACAAACGAAACATAAACGTGAGGATTTTTTTATATACAAAAAATAAAGAAAGAAATCAATTTTATGTAAAAAATGTAAGACATAGTATTAAGCATAGTTGCCACATTTTTGTGACAACTTTCTCATCCCTTTAAGGGGTCTAGTATCTAATAGATATATTTGGTAATCGGTTTAGATTTCTTAGATATTAAATGAGCATTAAAATATGGACTAAGTTAAATATATAAAAGTCTATTACTTTGAAAAGGAAAGGTAGCCTATTAAGGAGTTTTATGCATAGAATTAAGTAAAGAACTACATAAGAAAAAAATACTGACTGTAGGAGGCGTGTGGCCGGTGATGATTTGCCCAGAGACCGTGGTTTGCTGAGCGCCGGTCAAGTGGCCCACGGCGAACGGCTTAGCACCTAATTATGTTTAATGCAATATAACAAAGCTGCTGTATTAAAGAAATATTCGCAAATAATCAGATGTATAAATGCAATAGATATTTTATACAAGCATATTATATCTAATTGATTAATATAAACAACCTCTATGAAAACTGCGAAAGTAATCTTGTGCAAAATAAAAGTGTAAAACTAAATTGCAGTGCGTTAAAAAATATAAAATCTAAATAATTAAAAATAAAGGAATATAATTTATTGAAATTATCATTAGTTAAAAACAAAATTACCTTCAGCTCCTGGCCTAAGAACAGCCGGTTTAGCGACAGATTCTGTATTCACTTTGCCCGACTTGAATGTGTCGTGTTGAATAATATTGGCCCTGCAGCAATCAGTATTACAATAATTTAGAACATGATGACGGCAAGACAGCTCGACTATAAGGAAGCTTATATAAAGTGGTGAAGTGTTTCTACAGGCTGTCGAATATTATAATGAAATTCTTACTTGGACGGTGAAACTGAGTCTTCCAACATGGCGGATCCCTCATCGCCTTCGATGCCCAGGTGGTCTTTTGCGCGTTGTTTGCGTACAATGATATCGATGTAGCCGGCGATCACTTGGAGAATCTGTTCGGCTTCTGTCGTTTGCACCGAATAGTACTGATCGCTGAAAACAAAATTGATTTATATTACATTTTGAATAACAAACTAAGAAGGCAATATGGTAATTAATCAAAAGGATGATGCGCGAGACTTGAAATCTACTATACTACTATCCTAACTTCAATAAAGGAGATGACTGGACTTTTTCTTTTACCAGAAGGCTATCAAAGTTACCTGTAATCACCAAAGTCCAGAGTGAAGGTGTTTGGGCTAGCGCACCAGCGCCGAACCGTGGTCAGCGGCCAAGTCTGAAGTATCTCTTTCGTTTTCTCGTCCAGACGTAGCACGGAATCTTTTGTGACACCAAGAAGACGTGGGACCAATTTATTTTTGCCTTTCATTTTTTCCTGTAAATAAGTATTACGTCAGCCAGACATGTAAAATTAGAATGGGCTTGCTTAATAAGTATGGTTCTTAACTTTTATTTTAACATTTTCCCATATCGCATATAGCTTTTAAGATAATAACAAAAACTGAATTTAAAGTGACTTTTAAGATAGATCACTATAATAGATAGGCAGGTCTTCTTTTTGTTTAAGTTCGTGAAATCTATACAAATAAATAAAATTGAAGTGTCTGTTTGTAATGTCAAAATTACAGCTTTTTACTAATTGCATATGAAAGTATATACGGTACCTATAACAAAAACACAATTTTTAAAATTTTTGTCTGTTTGTCTGTCTGTTTGTTCCGGCTAATCTCCAAAACGGCTGGACCGAGTTTGACGGGACTTTCCCTGGCAGGTAGCTGATTTCATAAGGAGTAACTTAGGCTACTTTTATTTTATAAAAAGAATTAGGGTTCCGCGCAAAAATATAAAAACCCTAACACGCGAGCGAAGTCGCGGGGAACAGGTAGTCGAATTTACTGAAAGTCTGTAAAATTACATGTGTCTATTTACCTTGACCAGGAAGAACGCAACGCCATATGTCTTCAAGTCTCTCGCGCTTTTGGTGTAGAGCACTTTTGCGTCCAATTCGCTCAAGCCAATGTGTTTGCGGTGCTCTTTGAATATTTTCTTCTCTATACCTTTGACTTTTACGTAAGACGAGGGTAGAAACTCTTTGAGGCTGTAAAAATATAGAATTAAGTGAGATACAATATTACTTGTTCAAGAATTGTCTCCATTGTGAAAATATGAGAACTTACTCTAAGAAGCCTGGTGTATGTTTGTCCTCCTTGTGATCACCGAACTGAATTTGACATTGGATTCCGGCAAACTCGCATGCTGTAGACATAAACATAAAACAATGTGATATAATATATGAAGCGAAATGATATACAAATAAAACCGGCCAAGTGTGTTTTGGGCCACGCACAATGTTCAAAAACAACAAAGGGTTCCATAGTTGCCCGTTACAATACTAATAGAATTTTATTACATATTAGAAATTTCTACTAAATCAAGTGCATTTTATAAGTTAGTCGACTATTACTTGTTAACTTGTTGAGCTTAGTTTTCTTTTAACTTCTTTAAATATACTACTATCGTGCATACTTTTCACATTTCCAAAAATAAATATTTCGTAAACGGACCCCTGAATCGAAAGTGTTGTTCCATACACCCAATATTGTTGTTCCATACACAGAATGGAGTAGGATAAAAAAATGTCAACTGTATGACCCGAAATAAAAATGTATTTCACAACTTTACAATTGTGAATAATATCTATAACTATGCCAAATTACAGCTTCGTAGCACCTAGGGTTTCTGAGCAAAACGGCGGAAGGATGGTCGGACGAACTTGACGAAACTATAAGGGTCCCTTGTTGTTAAACTACGGAACCCTAATTATTAAACAGAATTTGGATAAACTTTATTATCTTATCAATAAAATTAGTATTTAAATTCACGCAAAAGTTTTGCATGTTTTCTTTGAATCTGACAGTAACATGTGCTCTTTTTATAGGATAGGTTGACAAACGAGCACACAGTCCACATGATGGTAAGTGGTTGCTGTGGCCCATAGACATCTACATTTATCCTCGTTTGCGAATCAAAATGCAGATGCGTTGTCACCTGTGAGGACTAAGATGGAATGCCTCTTTTCTAGTAAAAAGGGTTTCCAGTTCTCTACACTCACCATACGAAACATAGCAGTGTTAAGCTGCTATTTGACACTGGTATTCTGCGAGAGCGTGGTTCTTCCCCGGTCGAGCCGACCCATTTGTGCTACAACTATACTACTAATATAGCTGCAGCATGGCTCTACCATGTACAGACGTACACGTGCTAAACTGAAGAAGGCGATTTCCTTAGAAAAGTTAACTTGGCTTGCTGTTTCACAAGATATGATAAGAGTTATAAAGTAAATCAACCAGCCTATATATGTCCCACATCTTGACACAGGCTTCATTTATGAAGAGTTCGCCACGCTGTCTTAATGGCGTGTTGACGGATTGCATATTACTGTCCCTAATTTTTTTGAACATCTGACTTTCTCATGTTGCCGTTGAGACGTAGCAATTCAGTACTTAAAAAGCGATTAACTTATTCAGTTGTGTTGGAAGATGTCGAATTCGTGATGCTTGCATACTATGAAATTTAAGTAGAGTACATAGCCCTTGAACCGTAGTAGCATAGGCTCATGTAAGTACTATAATAATTTCCAATTTATAATAGCTTTTGGCAAGATCGTATTTATTATAACATGGTGTGAAGGCATGAGTGTGCAAGCATCAGTGGGTATGGTCGTGCACGTGAGTACGTGTGCGTACGTGCGTGCGTGTGTGTGCGTGCACGTACCTTTGTCCTGCGTGATGGGGTGCGTGCCGGCGAGGATCGCGTCGCGCGCCTGCACATACAGCAGGTTCAGCTGCACGGGGTCGCGCGAGTCCACGTTGCGGTCCGAGTAGAAAAGCTTGCGGCGTAGCAGAAGTGTTTCTGTGGCTTCTACACCCTGCTCGCGTAGCGTCTTAGACGGCTCCACCCAGTTCACTGGCGTACACAGTTACGAAATCTATTACTACATATAATCTAGATTGTTAAATTTTAGTATTTATAAAAATTATCATCTTTTAATTTGAAAATGAAAGAAGTGTATGTAACCCTTGGGCGTATTGAAATGTAAGAAGAGAGCTAATATAATACAGGTTGTGAGGCATTACCTCTTAATACTCAGAAATGACAATGTATCTGTGAACTACTTCGTTTAAAGTTAGCTGCAGGTGTATTGTTTTTGCTGCAATAGACACTTACTATTTACCTTTGATTGTCAGCTCATTTGTTATTGCAATATTATAAAAATAAATAATGTATGGATGGTAAAGTCGCACAATTCACCTTCATCGTCTGTTCTCAGTTTCTTTCTAAGCTGCTCCATTTTAGTGTCGCGCTCCTTTTCCTGATGCTTCCGCTTTAGGGTTAGTGTTCCATAATTGGGTTTTTCACATGGATCTACTTCTTCTTTTTGTTCTTCGCGAACCTAGATTTAAAGTTAAAATGTTTAAAGAAAGCCAATAAAGTATTATTGTTAAAATAAAAGCAAATTTTATGTTTTTCCCTTTAAATGAACTTGACAAATGGGTTAAAAGCTTACAAGACAACTTTTACTGTCACACATTCTGCAGATTTGCAATAGCTGTCAATTAAAAGTATATTCGCTGTTAAATAAGAAAATAATCATAATTTTGTAATGTTTTACGAAGCTCTAGAACAGAAATGGCATATTTTTCAGTAGGTAATTGAAATGAATACATAATATAAAAGTGAAACTTATTGAAATATTAACGAAAAAGAAAAAATACGAAAAAGCATTTGCGGCATTTGCGCAGTAGCTAATAAGAGTAGCTTACCAGTCCATATTCGTCGTAATTGGTGATGCCGATTTTGGTACATATCACCACCATCAAATTTGCCACAATCTGGCTGTCGTCCACCAGAAGTGTTTTTACAGTGCCTGCATGAAATTAACGTTAGTCGTGTTATAATAAACCAAAAACAGTGTAATAGATGGAACATTAGAATAGACAGCATAAGAAGAAAATTTGCCATATGAAGCAAAACTCATTTAAACACATTCAAAAACATAAAATGATATTGAGTTGCAGGTTTCACGATCATAGTTGGAGAAACCGGTAACCGTTAAATATATATAGACGGCTTCGTGGCGCAGTAGCTTAGCAATGAGTTGCAGGGCTGAAGATCGCGGGTTCGAATCCCACACGGAACAAGTATTTGTATAGCCTACAAATAATTGTTTCTGGTGTAATGATTGCCCATGCGCAATTTATGTATGGAAACTGACTTTACGAAAAAAGAGAGAATCCTAGTGTGGGGATAACATTTTTTTAAAGTTTATAGCATTAGTAAGTGTATAGTGCTGACCGTCAAGCATTCTGACACGTAAATTGCGCATCTTCTTATTGTATTCCAGCAGATCTCCATTGCGCAGCATGTAATAGTCGAGACTTCGTGACGCTTCCAGCCATATTCCTTTTTTATTGTCTTCCTCCGATGCCAAGAAGAGTCCGTATTCTTTTGCTGTTAGCACAAAACAGAAAAAAAACCTTAAATCAAAATTAGAACTGTCGCAAGGAGTTGTAAATCATGTAGATAAGAAGTTAAAAATAAAATTTATATGCTATATGGTTCTGATGTAAGGTGATTGGTTAAATGTACACTTTTTATAACAAAAAAAGTTTTTTAAAATAAGTATTTCATCATAAAATAATTCGTGATATTTCATACTGTTTTCGAAGATCCATACGTACGGTCACTAGAACTAGCTTCAAGTATCTTCTCGCGGATGATGCGGCACGCGTCGTACACTGTCGTGGAAGGGTCGAACTGGATGGTTTTGACAACTTTGCCGCCTTCCAACGAGATTTTTAATGATAATGTGGCCATTTTGCTGAGGGATTGTGCTCTGAAATCACAGATAAAAAGCAAACGTTGTAATTACAGACGTCTTATTTCAGTTGTTTCTACTGAAAATATTTGTAAAACTGATAATAAAAGTATCAAGACTTTATGGGGCTTTCTAAAATTGCTTTAGTTTTATTCTTTTTCATCACCAGTCCGTAAAAGTCTACTGCTTAACATGGGCCCCTCTCCTTATTTGGGTTCACTGTCATCACCCGATGTAGGGAAGATTTCCACGACCGCAGTACCAGACGTTTCACACCCATGACGCTGTTTCTGGTATGTTGTCTGGGTAATTTACGTCAGGCGTACACATTGTCGTCTCTTACCGACACCTACAGGGAGAAATGAACACATGCATTTATTTAAGCCGCCATTTGCGTTTACTGCTCTAGTTTTAGTTGGATGCAATATTTGACATTTTGCTGTTCATTTGATTATAATTTTGAGAAGTGAGTTGAACGAGTCAATGACACGGTTTATGACATTTTTTATAGAATGGGGGTGACATACGAGCACACTGTCCACCTGATGGTAAGTGGATGCTGTGGCCCATAGACATCTACAATCTACATTTATATTCTGATGACTTCATGAAGACTACGATGGAATGCCTCGTTTCCAAAAAGGGGCTTCGGTTCTCTACACTCGCCATACGAAACACAGAAGTATTAAGCTGCTATTTTATGCTGGTATTCAGTGAGAGCGTGGTCCTTCCCCGGTTGAGCCGATCCATTCGTGCTATAACCATAATATAACTGAAACGTGGCTCCGTGATCCTCAACGTGTAGTACATTATAACTACTATTCTAACCCAGGATTTGTATGGTACATTTGTTGCGTTGCTGGTATTATAAAAGTGTTATTTAAGCACTATAAACAGAGTATCGAACTAAACTTGATGAAGCCACTTTGAAATCATAACTAAATCTATGAATCCCAGACATACAAGTTACTAATAGGCGAATTAACAACCGATTGTAAGTGGACCGAGGCCGAGTCACCTGTGTATAGTTGCGAAGTTGTCTGGCCTCTCGAGGTCGAGAGAGTGCGCGCTGGGCCTCCTCTCGCGCGGTCTGTCTTGGCTGAAGGAGCTGTGTCGTGGACGGCTTCGAGATTCCTGCATTAAAAAGAGACAAGTTCACATTGATGTAAAACAAAGATACCTTCACTTAACTGCAATAAAAATAAATTTGAATAATATGCTTACTATTAAATATGTATTTTTAAAAAGCACGATGAGCTTGAAAGAGTCTTAAAATATCGAAATTGTAAGAAGAAGTCAGTAATAGTTATATTAAATTCTATTGCCTTTCTTTTGAGCCGATTATTCTATGTTCCTTATTATTTTATTACTTGTAGTATTAACACGAGAGAAGTGAACAAAGTGAGTGGATAAACAATAATAATTACATATTAAATTAAGTGATTGATGAGTCATAATAAAATAATGACTAATATTACGACAATAATCATTGTTAGTCATTGAAACTAAGTCATTCCTGTCAAGCAACCATAAAAAAATAGTAAATGTTCACTCCGTATCAAAACCTAGTATTATTTAATTTCTTCTGATTGCACTTAAAGTCCTCAAAAAAACATTATGTAATTTTAAATTTCTCGAACTTCTTTATGCTTAGAAAATAATTATATAACCATTTAGAATTACATTTTTTTTTTATAAAATTGTAGTAACAAACAAACGTGGTAACTATACGTGGTAGAGCCATGCTGCAGCTATATTAGTAGTATAGTTGTAAAACGAATGGGTCGGCTCGATCGGGGAAGGACCACGCTCTCACAGAATACCAGCGTAAAATAGCAGCTTAACGCTGCTGTTTTGTATGGTGAGTGTAGAGCCGGAGACCCTTTTTATTGGAACAGCAGCATTCTATCTTAGTCCTCACGGGTGACAACGCATCTGCATTTTGATTTGCAAACGAGGATAGATGTAGAAGTCTATGGGCCACAGCATCCACTTACCATCAGGTGGACTGTGTGCTCGTTTGTTACCCTATCCTATAAAAAAAAACTTACAGTCCACCAGATGGTAAATGGCGACTGCATTCCAAGGATTCCTACCACTGACATCTCAACGTCTTACTGTTCTTATAAGACAAATGAATGAATCCTTATGGCGGAATTAAATTAAAACGTAATCAATACGACAAGTTCACGGCTAAGTTCCTTTAACTTTAACGGTATAACATTGCAGTGCCGGGCGCACCCATATGTATGTGAGCCAGCGTCGTCGAATTGCTGGAAAAAGAACAAAAAAAAGCCGCGTGTCGAGGTAGCGCACGACTACCAGATCGGGGCAAATAAGTATTGCCGGCTGTTTAATAGAAATTAGATACCTATAATAATGCTTTTAAATTTATACATAATTATTAACTTAATATGACTTTTTCATTATAACAGAGCGCCATACTGATTAACAATCGGCCGGTAGCTTGCCGACAGGGATGTGACTAGAAAAAATTAAAAAAGATTCCCTATTCAAGATAAGCAACAGTATCATTGTGCAGCTATTTTATGCTCCAAACTATAAGTGCGTGTTCCTTCCTCGATCGAAGCGACCAATTCCTGCTACACCCATAATAGAGTCGCAACGTGGCTCTATCAAGTGGAAAAGTTCATTAAATAATTAGACATCAGTGTAGACACTTTTACACATTTTTCTACCGACGTCAAAAAGGAGGAGGTACGCAATTCGACTGTATGTTTTCTTTTATGTGTGTTACCTCTATAACTTTATTTCTGGGTGCACCGTTTTGATGATTCTTTTTTTATTTGAAAGCTGGTACTTTCAAATAAAAAATGGTTGGTGACCACATGAGGTCCCATACAAATTTGATCAAGGTCTGACCAATAGTTTTTGAGTTATTCTTAACAATTTATATTGAAGTCTGTTGTACAAAATTTTTAATTTTAAATTATGTTAGCTGACTTCAAAAAAAAGGAGGAATTTCTCAATTTGACTGAAATTATGTTCTTTTTTCGTATGTACTATGTTAGCCGATATGAGAACCAACTTTAATGATTATTTTTTAACAACTTTTTGTTTACACTTCATGGCTGGTTCTATGTAAATTTGAAGATTCCACCACTAAGGGCGGGAAATCATTGATGAAATTTTTAATCTGACAATTTAGACTTCATTCTTGTCAAACACTGCGCTTGCGATATTCCTTAGTGCAATTAAATGGTCAAGGAGTTTTGGCGGGAATTTGACCGGCGTCGGTTTGCTGCTCCTGTATTATTGTTTAAATAATGGTTTGAAGTGGACTTTGATATGTAAAAGTGGTGCGATTTTGTGTATTAAGTGTCTGCGCATGTGAACTATTAGTGGAAACTGTGAAACAAGTGCTCTGATGGTGATATGATTCTCAAAATAAGGTGTCTGTCTGCTTAGGCGCCTTGAGATACCATCGCCAACCGTCAGCTCTCTGCTGGCTCAAGTTGCCGTCAAAATCTCCCAAGGGCTGCACAATGTGACGCATCAACATATTGTGAAGCAGTATACTATAAAGGATATTATAATATATTGTAACTTCAGGCTCAGAAGGGCTAGATCCCAGAGCCGTAAAGCCAGTTATTAAGAAGAAGAAATGGTCAAAAATATAAAATTTTCTTATTTGATGTCAGCTTTAAATTTTTATTAAGTGTTTTTTTTTTTTTAAATACCTATTATGCTTTTATACAAATTTCATTTCGTAAAACCAATCCATGATATACAATACTAAAGCGAGTAAAAAAATCGAATACCCTTTCCCCTCTCAGCTGTAGCTGTTCGTGAAACTGAGCGTAAGCCTCGCCAAGATGACATCATGTTACACTAATGTATTTTATATCAAGGTCGGTGACATGGTCTTGTATGACGTTCTCAGAAAATATACAGTTTGTTTTGGTAAAAAATTCGCTACTATACAGATTGTATCTTATTTCGACGTATAGGTTCGCAAAAAGGATACAAAACCCAAAAACAGCTGTTTTTGAGATATTGATTACAGATTTTGAGATATTCACCCTTGAAGTTCTGAATTTGATTGTAGTTTTAATTTTTATCGACTTGCTGAAGTTGTTTAAAGGTTGATTTGACTAAACTTCAATTTATACACGATTAAAATACTATAATATCAGGGATAAGATATTCCAGGATTAATAAATCTTGAGTAAAATCGTGTATCCTCTTCTAATTACACGGAATCTAAAGTATAGCTACTCTTGAAATAACTTTACGTGAACAGCACAGTGAATGACGAACCAATGCAAAATAAATATTATTCTATAACGGGACGATGTAAAAGGTTATATCATGTCCACTCGCTTTTTTGTATTATAGTGTCTAAAATAGCTGTTAACAAGTTTCAATGCCGAGTTGTTTGTATGGATAGAAGTTTTATTCGTTGTGTTTGTTTTTCTTGTGTCTTATTTCTTGATGTTTTCAAATACAAAATGAGTAAGGATAAACGAAAAATATAATAATAATTCGAACGAAATGAGCATAGAATTGTCACTGACAGTAGTAATGCCAGCTTACCAGGGATGAAACTTATTACAAACCCCATTAAAATAATCTTGGAATATATCTGTTTTAAACGATGGTTTAGAAACTATTCCTAATTAAGCACGCTATTCTAAGAATTGTAAATGGTAAAATGTAAAATTGATTTATCTCTATATATAAAAATCAGTTGCTGTCCGTTAGTCTTGCTAAAATTCAAAAACGACTCGACAAATTTTGATGAATTTTTTGTGTGTTGAAATGAGTCTCTAGATGGTTTAGATTCACATTTGGATCCGGTAGGTGCCGCTGTTGTCGAGATCCAGAAATCACCCGTGCGAAGCCGGGGCGGATCGCTAGTTTTCAAATAAATGGCAATTCATTCTAAAGATAAAATTTACCCCCTTTGGTCGAATCCACCCATATGCATATAAAAATATTGAATCCTACGGACTATTTCGGAAAATATGACTCATTT